AAAACATTAAACAATTAACATAAAACTTATAAACTACAGTAAAGATAAATGCTAATTATCTGTAAGTGACGCTTGATGGATAGGCACTAGCACAATTTCCTCCATTTAAATACATTTCAGTAGTCTGAGTCTCGCAACGCCCTTATCATTACTATAAATAACATACTTAATACATATTTATTACTTGTTAAATGTACCACTTACGTCCGGCAATTAAAAAACGTAAAAGCAACTTATTATTTAATTAATAAAATATATGAGTTTAAGAACAATGATTTATGATATAAAAACCATTATCGATTTGGAAAAATAATTTTTCCATGATCGCGTTATGATAAAATGTTATGTGATCTGTCTATTTTTTAAAGAGCAAAGCTAAATGGTCTTTTTCCTGGTGTATTTGCTTTGCGGAGTTTTTTGGTTGAAAAGTACAATTTTCTTTAAAAAAAAAAACAAAAAACTTGAATAAATACAAAAAAACAAAAATAAATTACATATAAATATAAATATATATATATATATATATATATATATATATATATATATATATATACAAGTTTAAATATATGAGATACAAGAGATAAACAAATTTACTTTTCTTTTGTGTTAAGGTGTACACTATTTAATGAGAACCTTTTGATTTTCCGGAACTTAAAGGGTTATCAAGATGACTGTCATATAAGGTATAAAATGTAAGTATCTATAAAATTGTGCACACCTTTACTAATACATCATGGACATATTGGTACCATATATCTTTTTAATCTCTTTAAAAGTCAGCTACTTGAGATTATTACAATTATGTGATTCGGGAGAAAAAACTACTCAAAATTGCATAGATTTATCGTGGGAAAGGAATATGTAAATAAAGACTAAACTGACGACATTATCAGCGAACTATCCTACTTTTAAGTAATAAAAATTCAACTCCCAACTACCTGTTAATCTTTAAGAGGATAATAAAGCATTTTAAATAGAAAATCTCTTTATAATAGGTATAAAATAAACATTTCTAGTTTTCACATGTCTGACTATAAAATATAAAAAGATGGCTAAATTTTGAAAGTTCAGTCTGCGCGAGATAAATTAAAATAATGGCATAGGATTGTGAGAGCAGACGTGCGCAGGAGTATCTCACGCGATCGCTGCGTCCTTCCGATCCTATCAAGGGGTCACTGTGTCGGACGTTTTGGCATTCCTTTTATGTCCACAATATATCTTCTAATACCAAAAACAAAACTTAGACGCGAAAGACGTGTTGAATACAAACGCCATAACTTTTCGCAATATCCTACCAAATATGAATTTAGTTGCCTATTCAAAGACAAAAAAGTTTAAAAGTGCAGTGGAAAGTACAAAATAACGTTTATACTCGTATATCTTATCAAATCAGTCAAAAACCTTTTTAAACAGGTTAAAGGTGATGTCATTGGCAGATAAATATTTGGAACAGCCTACGCCGCTAAGAGGATTTTAATTAAATTGCATTTTACCGAAAAACAAAGATGCCGCGAGTCGTCGCACTAATCAAGGGCGGTAGCTCAATCAAATGAAGGCTATAAATCTTCAAAAACCAGAAGATTCAATTACACGGCTACCGGAAGGCTAAGAGAGTGGCAATAACAAATTGTCCAAGATAAATAAATTCTTTATAATGCGGGAGAAGCTTTAAACTCGTTTACGTTATCTTGCCCCGTTACCGCACATTTTAAGGTAAATGGTTTACTCCAAAATTAATTACACCTTGAAAAAGATGCCGCAGGTAAATTAAAATATTTAAACAATTTATAATTTTCAAGAGATTACAACGGACTGGACATCTTAATGCTCTACTGTCTATGCCGTAGGCATTAGATAAAAAAGACGTTCATTTTAATTTCAACGTTTGATGATCACGTCGATAGATATACTGAATTTTCTCGTTTTAATCTATATATACATATAATAAAACTGTACAGGTCGAATGTCTGTTCATAGAAAAAAAATGCTAAGAACCGAGTCAGGGGGATGTAAGAAGAGAAATAGAACAAATCCAGATTTTTTTAATTTTTTTTGTTTCTCTGTCTGTTTGTTTGTACGGGCTACTCTCCGAAACTGTTGGACTGATTTAAATGAAATTTTGCATGGTGGTACCTACCTTATATCCACTGTCAATTTCATCCCGGAAAATTAAAGAGTTCCCATGGGATAGTTACACAAAAACTACTGATTGGATTTTAATGAAACTTTACAATAATATAACTAGTTCATTCATCAGAACAATAAATAGGCTAATTTTTATCCCGGAAAAATCCCGTGGGAAATCTGTTTTTGTTTGTCTAGAGGCAAACCCGAGCGAAGAGAGGGTGAGCCGCTAGTTTATAATAAGCCTACTAATACTAGAAATGCGAAAGTTTGTGAGGATGTATGTATGTCTGAATGTATAAATATATGGATGTTTATTACTCTTTCTTGCAAATACTACTGAATGGGTTTTAATGAAACTTTACAATAATATAGCTTATGAGCTATATTATACATCAGAATAACACATAGGCTATTTTTTATCCCGAAAAAATATACGGTTCCCGTGGAATAAATTTGTTTTCGTTTTTCTAGAGACGAACCCGAACAAAGCGAGGCTGAGCCGCTAGTAAATAATAAATATTCCAAATCAAATAATAAAGAAATTTCGGCAAATTATAGGTTAATTTGCCTTTAACAAAACTCACTAAAAATATTTAAAAATGATTATATCAATTTTCTAGACTTACCTTAGCATCGCTCGTACGCGTTCCTAAGTTCCCTTTGTATTTTCCATCTTGGCAAAAATTAATACCTGTACCCAATATATATATATATTACTTCAAGTCAAAGTCTATCGGTGTATTAATTAAATTTCATCGATTTTCATCCAGCGTTTCAGCATGTAGAAGTAACAAGCATACACACACACACACATAAAATTTCACATTCATAAGAGTACTGAGTAGTGTTATAAGTCTTAATCTTATTTATAATGCCCGGAATATGGCATCCAAATCGAAAAATGCATCAGTTATAATTTTAAAAGTACATTCATTATTCATAAGACACACGTACGAAGATGCTCTAAATAACATTTCCATCACGTGGGCAGAGAATTATTAGGGCTAGCGACAATCCATCTCTAGATCTGTTTCTTTATTTATCTATTGGAGGCATCCGAGTCGGCATGCCGACACGATGGGATGTCGCCTTAAAGATCGATCTCGACCACTATTTCGCGCTTACCGGTACCACAATTGGCAATATTAAAAATATACCTTATTATAAAAAGCACACGGTTCAATTTAATTAGAGTAAGTGTCAAAAGATCTTGATTCGGCCATACGGTCAACCCTATTTAACAAGATAGCCCGACATGACACCTCTCTCGATCGATGAAGCGTGCTGCTATTTTCTTGGCCGTTGAAAGTAATGTTATGCATTTGGAGACACGATTCTTAAATTGATATAACAATGTTATTTAGATAGCTGTACTTAAATGTTACTTATTACCTGATATTTAAGCTGAGCGAATAAAGACTTGGTATGATTGAACAAGGTATCGATTGAACAAATTGTGCCTAATTTTAACATTAATAATTTGCTCGTTTCTCGTCAAATTCAATTTAATCTGCAAAGAAAAGAATTGAATAAAAATGAATAATGAACTTTCCACCCATTTGAAATATGGTTCCTAATCCTCTGATTCATGGATCCAATGTAGCACATAATATTTTTTATACATAAAAACCTATATTCCTAGCTTTTTGGGATCGGATTAAAGAGTGTTTGTCTATATCTTGTGTGTTTGTCTATTGTACTCCATAGTAGACCAAAGAACTACCTCGGTGGTCTAGTGGCTGGCTACTGATCCGGAGATTCAGGGTTCAAGTCCCGGGTCGGGTCAAGTTTAATTACAGAGTTTTCTGTTAAGATATTCTCAGTAATAGCCCGGACCCCCGTGTTGCACCCCGTGCCTCGGAGAGCGCGTAAAGCCGTCGGTCCTGGGCCTTAACTCTCACCGGCGCGTACACGCGCCAACACGCAGACTACAATATCCCCTGTGCAGTTGGCTAGTCTCTGTGAGATTGGCCGAAATCGATCAGGGGGACTTTAGAAAAGAAAATACCTCAATCCATCTTCAATACTTCTTAATTCTTCTTTATAGGGAAAATATCTACGTGGTAATAAGAAACTCTCATCGCCTATATTACCAGAATATCCAATACCATTGCGGTAATAGAAACCGCTACTAGCTCTAAAGTGCATTTCTAATTAAATATCGATACAACATATTGAGATAGACATTTGGCAGAAGCTTCATAATAAATACGTCATATCTATCTCTCATAAGCCCCAACAATCAAAAGATCCGATATCGTTAAAAGATTGAGAAAATTAATAAAAACATCTACTTATCTAAAATACACAAATATACAAAAAAACCATGTATCCCAACGATCGATGGAAAATTCAAAATAGAAAACGCCAACGATGAAGTCATCTATTAGTACATTAACTATGTATTTACTAAATAGAAGTATAAACTGCAATGATGTTACATAATTTCAATATATATAAAGTATATCTTACTTCTAATATTATCCAGTGTTAAGTAACCTTAAACGTTATCTTAATGTAAATTGGTGCACTAAAACGAACTGGTGCCAAGTTTTGATACTACGCTACCCTACATACGTACTGAGTTAAAATAGGAATAGGTCGTAGATTCGATTTATTTTCGTCTTGCGCGCAATCAGCGCTTTATCTTTACGTTATGGAAAAATACTAAATCTATATCTATATTTGTTCAGCAATCTTTGCATTTTATGAAAAATGTTCAAATAATTTACTGTCCAGTGATAACAAGTAACAACACACGTTCAAGATAAAAACAATGCCAGTACAGATTAGTTAGATAACCATTGCAGTGAATAGACGCGCTTCTAGTATTCATCCATGCTTGTGTATTCCAGAGTGTATTTGCGGACAGAATGTTGGTGATTTTATTAAGCGTGATTGGATTATTTTATTTAGGTAAGCTGCTATAAACAAAATATATATGTAAGCAATGCGATTAACAAAACTTACGACATGTAATTGGACCCATTTATGCAAAAAAACAGCCATGTGCGTAAAAGTACCAACAGAGTTATAAGCATTTTTCTGTCGATAGTTGCACTTGGGTTATGTTTTGTTTTTCTGGTTATTTTAAAATTGAACAATATTTATATAAGTATTATTTATTTTTTATAATTATTTTATTTTTTATAACAAAATGCTTATAACTCTGTTGGTACTTTTACGCACATGGCTGTTTTTTGCATAACTAGGTCCAATTGTCGTTCTAACAGAAGGGTTTCATCATATCCTTTTATTTCGGTTCATCGGTAAGATTTAACAAGGTGCGACGCCCGCGCCCCTGTTTGTAGTTTGAACACAATGGAAACGTATCGCTTCGCAACTACCGCTTAATAAATATTTATTCAATACACTGTTGACAATCATTTACATCGTGACAATACCGCGTCGCCACCACAAAGCGTGGGCCGAAGTTTTTTGATGAGCATCGCTAGTTCTGAAATTAGGTTAGTGTAACTCGAGATAAAGAGTATACCATAGTACAAAATAGATAGCGCATAAGGTAAACTAAAACATTAAGGTTTTTTTCGCAGATAAGAGAAAAATATTGTTTGTATGATTAATTCTTAAAAACACTGCCAACATGGCAACATTACAATACAGGACTTAGTCTATGGACCGATGTTACATTGTTTAAGATATACTTAATAGCTTCATCTTTTATTTTTAACCCCCGACACAAAAACGATGGGGTGTTATAAGTTTGACGTGCCTGTGTGTCTGTGGCATCATAGCTCCCGAACGGATGAACAGATTTTTGTTTTGTTTGAGAGGTGAACGATTTGTCATTTTCGAAAAAAATATAAATAACTTATAGAGATAATTTTAGTCGTATATAACTTGTCTTTGGTAGCACGAAAGTATAACAATTTTCATGGCGATCGATTATTATTATAAAAACGTTCTCGATGTAAGACATTTGTGCAAACAAAGCTATAGGAGGACTTCCAGAAATTTTGCAGTTTTGCAAAAACAAATATTACATATTTATTTAATTACTAGGATTGCCCGCGACTCTGCCCGCGTTCAGAATACAAAAGCTGCAATGTAAGAGTATAGTAATATTACTATACTCTGTCTGTTACATTGCAGTTTTTGTATTTTTCTCAGAAATGAGACATTTTTCCGCGGTAAAAAGTACCTTATATATTGACCCGGATAACCAGCTATCACCATACCAAATTTCATAAAAATCCCTCCAGTGGTTTTTATGTGATGCGGTAACAGACAGACAGACAGACAGACAGACAGACAGACAGACAGACAAAGTTCTAAAAACTATACATTCGGCCTCTGTATCGATAATAATGTCTATTTAAATAAGATTTTCCAAAAATATATTTAATTTACAGATTCGGCTTGTAGGTGACTTATACGTAATATATTTAGTTTATCATATTTATATATTAACTTTCCAGAAACATAATATTTATAATTTATTTAATATTTAATTTACGTATTAATATCATATAAACATACACCTACATTCATACAATACAAATATTTAATTATTTATATTTATAAATTAATATTTATTCATATTTATTTTTATTCACAAGCATAGCCGCGCGAAACCCGTAGTATACGGCGGAACGGAATTTATTTGTCTCCTACCGGCCAATAATGATTTTTCTAACATACGACAGTCGACGCCTTACCAGCTGATGCTACTTACTAGTTTTACATTATTTAATCGTTTTCGTTAGTTTTTGTATGTGGACTTCTTGTGTTTGTACCTCTAACGTGTGTATTACTGTGTATCTTCCTAAACTTCTCCTTCTGAACTATTTTTACGTGTGTGTTGACTTTTACAATATATTATTTTATCAAGTGACGATATTTAGACTTTCATTCGTGTTTTCTCTCGTCACGACCAACAACAACCGCTAAACTGGTGACCCCGCACAGAACACCAGGGAAAATAATATCCATGCACTCAGCAAGTCAGGGATCGAGCGGATCGGAGGCGGAAAAATCGCAGAGCCATATTACTTTGCGTCAACGACGACCGCGCCCCAAGATGGCGACGCCCATTAAATGTGCTTCACCACCGCAGATACCTCCCCAGATAAGGATACCACCGTTTTGGCCTGAAAAACCAGCGATATGGTTCGCGCAGGTTGAAGGACAATTTGCAATTATGCGTGTAACCGATGACACGACAAAATTTGACCACATCTTAGCTACACTCGACAGACAGTACGCTGCCGAGGTTGAGGACATTCTCACCGGACCCCCAGACTACCAACGATTAAAGGACGAGCTTATCAGGCGACTATCAGCATCCCGTGACAATAAGGTTAAGCAGCTGTTGATGCACGAGCAACTCGACACTCGTAAACCATCACAGTTCCTGCGCCACCTACAACACCTTGCTGGACCCGAGGTACCGAGGATTTCGTAAGAACCATTTGGACCAGCCGACTGCCTACTTCCATGCAGTCAATTCTTGCATCGCAGGCGACGCTACCCCTGGACGCACTCGCCGACCTAGCCGACCGTGTCCACGACATCGCGGCGCCGACGTACCAGGTCGAAGCGGCCGCGACAACGGCATCAGCAGCAGTGTCACCTATTGATCAGCTGGCACGTCAGGTATCAGAGCTGACAAAGCAGGTGAGTGCTTTGACTATACAGTCCCAACGCCGTTCGCGACCGACTGAACATCGCAAAGATGAAAGACGACGCGGGCGATCAACATCCCGTATAGCCCGAAAACGCTCAAAGCAGCTGGTAATGACGACCAACAACTGTAACAGTTCCAGCACGGGTCGTCTATTCATTAAGGACCGCAGCACCGATATACCATATTTAATAGACACTGGTAGTGATATTTGTGTGTATCCACTTTCCGCGCTTTGTGAGCGCAGGTGTAAAACCTCATATCAGCTCAGTGCTGCCAATGGTTCTGCTATTGATACGTACGGTTACATACAGCTCAATCTTAATTTAGGCTTACGTCGGAACTTTCCGTGGCAATTTGTCGTAGCTGACGTCACAAAAGCTATTATAGGTGTAGATTTTCTATCACATTATCGCCTCATCGTCGACGTCAGCCAACAAAAACTCATTGATAGCCTAACTAATGTCAGCACTGTAGCATGTTTAGATGTAAGCAATAATGTATCTAGTGTTAAGGTAACAACGGGTGGTGATAGTGTTTATCACAAAATTTTAGCTGAGTTTCCGGAAATAACACGCCCTGCTGGTACTCCGGGAATCGCAAAGCATCACACTACACACCACATACGTACTACACCAGGTCCACCTGTATCATGCACCCCTAGACGCCTCGCCCCCGACAAATTAAAAATTGCAAAGGACGAATTCGATGTCATGTTAGCGAATGGGACCGCACGTCCGTCTGACAGTCCGTGGGCATCACCTCTGCACCTCGTCTCCAAAAAAGATAACGGCTGGCGCCCTTGCGGTGATTATCGCCAACTTAACGCGCGAACAATACCCGACCAGTACCCAATTCGTCATATTCACGATTTTTCGCATAATTTGTCTGGTTGTACGGTATTCTCAGTTATAGATTTGGTTAAGGCCTACAACCAAATCCCTGTCGCCGAGGACGATATTCCCAAGACCGCGATTACCACACCTTTCGGTCTATACGAATTTCCCTTTATGACATTTGGACTTAGGAACGCCGGTCAAACTTTTCAGAGATTTGTAGACGAGTTAACTCGCGGACTCGATTTTTGTTACCCGTACCTAGACGATTTTTTAATATTTAGCAAAACCGCACGCGAGCACGAAAACCACTTACGTCAACTTTTCGAGCGTATGCGCACTTATGGCGTACTTGTTAACACCGCCAAATGTGTTTTCGGCGCGTCTGAAGTAACGTTTCTAGGGTATCAAATCTCTGAAAAGGGCACTAAACCTCTGGACAGCAAGGTACAGGCCATATCACAGTTCCCACCTCCAAAAACCGTCCGAGAACTCCGACGATTTTTGGGGATGGTGAATTTTTACAGGCGATTTTTGCCTAACGCCGCTCAAATTCAAGCGCCATTAAATGCCTGGCTGACCGGATCGGTCAAAGCTTCCCATCCAGTCGTCATAGAGGGGGATTCACTGCGTGCATTTGAGGCTTGCAAGAAGAGTCTTTGTGATGCTGCCCTTTTAGCCCATCCAGACTCACAGGCTAAGCTAGGACTGGTCACTGACGCCTCTGATACGGCGATAGGTGCAGTCTTGCAGCAGCTGAAGGATGGAGCCTGGCAGCCGTTAGCATTTTTCTCTCGCAAGTTGAGCCCATCGCAGGTGAAATATTCTCCGTACGATAGAGAGCTCCTTGCTATTTATGAGAGCATAAAATACTTTCGGCACATGCTAGAAGCCACTCACTTCACAGTCTATACTGACCATAAGCCAATATGTTATGCTTTCCATGAACGGAAAAGTAACTGTTCGCCACGTCAGTATAGACACCTCGACTTCATCTCGCAGTTCACCACCGACATCGTCCATATTGCCGGCAAAGACAACTTGGTCGCCGACACTTTGTCGCGCGTTGATGAACTGCAGGTGCCAGTTGACCTTGAAGTGATGGCCAAGCTCCAAGCCACAGATCCAGAGCTGGCAGAACATCTCAAAGGCGATTCTTCTCTTCGCCTCACTAGAACGACCATACCTGGGAGTCGTACTGTCTTGTACTGCGACGTCAGTACACCGACACCCAGACCTTTTGTTCCCCAACAACTGCGTCAGCAGGTATTTAACTGTCTTCACTCACTCAGCCACCCTGGCGCCAATGCCACAGCCAAACTCATTTCCCAACGCTTCGTCTGGCCACTGATGCGAAAAAACTGCCGTGAATGGGCTAAGGCGTGTTTGTCTTGCCAGCGCTCGAAGGTAACTAGACACGTTGCCTCACCTTTAGGTACGCACGATTTACCTTCAGCGCGTTTCAAACACGTCCATATAGACCTGATCGGCCCATTACCATTTTCAAACGGATATCGGTATTGTTTGACAGCCGTCGATCGCTTTACGCGATGGCCGGAAGCTGTCGCCATCACCGATATCACCGCTGAAACAGTGGCCAAAGCATTTGTATCATGCTGGGTGTCACGATTTGGTTGTCCTACAGATATTGTTTCAGACAGAGGCCGGCAATTTGAGTCCGCCCTGTTTCAACAATTGTCAAAATCCATTGGATTCCAACATCGTAGGACAACCGCTTACCACCCGCAGTGCAATGGCTTAGTGGAGCGTTTTCACAGGCAACTAAAAGCTGCCATCATATGCCACGGTGACGAACACTGGACCGAATCGCTTCCATTAGTACTCCTCGGCATAAGAAGCGCGTTTAAAGAAGACCTACAAGCCTCATCCGCAGAGTTGGTGTATGGTGAGCCACTCAGGCTACCCGGAGAGTTCCTCGGGCATGATGTGGCTGGTTATACTACGGACTTAACCGACTTCTCAACGCGGATTAAGTCTTTTGTCAGGAAACTACGTCCAGTCCCAACGCAGCATCATCAATCAAAGCAGAAGACATTTATCTTCAAAAATCTAGAATCCTGTAGCCACGTATTCCTAAGGGAAGACGGGCTACGGGGCTCACTACAAGCTGCGTACACTGGTCCACACAAAGTTTTGACGAGAAGCGCAAAATTTTTTAAAATTGACGTAAAGGGAAAAACCGTGACAGCATCAATAGACCGCCTTAAGCCAGCCTACTTATTATCCGATTCAAACCCAATACCTCAACCATGCAATTCTCCACCTCCAGACATACACCCCGATCACACAACTGCCAAATTCATAACGCGTTCCGGGAGACACGTACACTTCCCTGATTATTATCGTCCGTAGACACGGCCTCTGGGGGGTAGTGATGTAGGTGACTTATACGTAATATATTTAGTTTATCATATTTATATATTAACTTTCCAGAAACATAATATTTATAATTTATTTAATATTTAATTTACGTATTAATATCATATAAACATACACCTACATTCATACAATACAAATATTTAATTATTTATATTTATAAATTAATATTTATTCATATTTATTTTTATTCACAAGCATAGCCGCGCGAAACCCGTAGTATACGGCGGAACGGAATTTATTTGTCTCCTACCGGCCAATAATGATTTTTCTAACATACGACAGTCGACGCCTTACCAGCTGATGCTACTTACTAGTTTTACATTATTTAATCGTTTTCGTTAGTTTTTGTATGTGGACTTCTTGTGTTTGTACCTCTAACGTGTGTATTACTGTGTATCTTCCTAAACTTCTCCTTCTGAACTATTTTTACGTGTGTGTTGACTTTTACAATATATTATTTTATCAAGTGACGATATTTAGACTTTCATTCGTGTTTTCTCTCGTCACGACCAACAACAACCGCTAAAGGCTCAATTAGAATTTTATTATAGGTGTAGATGTATATATTTAAGATGATGAATTAACAACAAAAACGAACTAGCGAGGAGTAGTTGTGGACAATTATGTCAGACGCCCATCATCCACTTTCACGGGCCCAGTGGACGATCTCTTCACGCATCAACGACTGATAGACCACCTTTACCGTTTTAGGTTTCGCTAGATTGATACAAAACTTTCGGATTCAACTTTCCAATACATGAGCCTTAGGTGTTTTATAATGAATATATTTTAGCTACTTCTTATTATTTTCAATGCTCGTGTTTTCAATGGTTCGTTCCTATTGAAAAACGAAAACAAGTCTATCTCACGGGAACCTTATATTTTTCCGGGATAAACAGTAACCTATGTGCTATTCCAGACTATATAAATCTTTGTGCCCACCTTCCCTACAAAACCAGCACATTATTATATAGTAGGTATATAAAAAAAAAGAAGGATTTAAAGGTAACGGATGAATTTATAATATAAAGAGAAATTAAATCCCTTTACAAATATACAGTACAATGATATAAAGTAGAACAATTCCATAGCTACATAAGTAAAAATTTAAAACTGTTAACCTACGGTACACCAATTGCATGCCAATTCTTCATGACGAGATTCCCTGCTTTCAATAATTACGTATACGCGCAGTTGAGATCGAAACGTCTGCGATGGTCGGTAAAATGGCGCGAAACGCGAGAAAATGACTTATGATTGCGGTCTTTAAAACAAACGTAAACTGTGCTTCGAAACCTTCATTACATGGAGTATGGAGCTGTTATGGGCAAGAAAAGGCTGCTACACAATCCGATTCGACATACTACAAGAATGTCATAAGTCAAGTGTGGCGGAGTAACATGACAGACGGAATCTGTCGGACTTTAGTTCTTTGTAGTGATTTTTAATACGGTGAGAAATACATTTTGACAAATTGAGAGCGAACCAAATTAAATTGTCAGGTTGAACTGAATTAAAAAAAATGTTTTAAATGGTTATCTTTATTTTATTATGTATGATAAAAAACATTATTTAATATTTACTTACCTTGACACTAATATTATATATACGAAACTTTGATACGGATAGCTTATATCCTAGACTGACTCATATCCTATTTTTATCAATTTACCACGCGGGGCCACGGTTAAACACTTTATCTATACATATAATAAAATTCTAACTAAGTCGAATCTGTACATTATATATTTTTTGGAAAATCTGATTGAAATAGACATTATTATCGATACAAAAGCCAAAACTATAGTTTTTAGAATTTTTGTCTATCTGTCTGTTACCGTATCACAGAAAAACCACTGGAGGGATTTTGATGAAATTTGGTATGGTGATACCTGGTTATCCGGTCAACATATAGGATACTTTTTACCACGGGAAAATATCTCATTTCTGAGAAAAAATACAAAAACTGCAATGTAAGAGTATACTAATAAGTATTACCTAAGAATTTGGTTTTTGGTCATCTGAACGCGGGCGGAGCCGCGGGTAATGCTAGTAATAACACTAAAAAACAAGACGCTTTTGACCAACTGTAACGTATGGCACTCGGCGAAACGAAAGAAATGAGCACAAGCTCGAAGATTAGTCTAACTCTACATATTTCTATAGTAATCACAAGTTCCAATTACCTACTAGTTTGAACATTAAATCAATGGTATCGAATTACTAAGTTTTGTATCGATACAATTAAAAATAGGTCATAAGCGACTTCTATGATTTGATTACATATTTACGAATGAAGGTAGTAAAAACTTGTTAAAAACACTTAAAATGTACCTATATGAAATATAAGTATTCCGTTTTAGTCAACGACTACTTAGCCCTAGTGGTCGTTGGTTTTAGTCATTAAACTACGGAGCCCTAAAAACAACAATTCTTTTTTATGACTGTTGGAGATTTCAAATAACCAGATGAGCTAAATATGGAAGCGCTACTTTTATATCAAATACTTATATCTCAATTTTATTTACAGATTTTTTTTTGTTAATTATGTATTTTTCTCACATTAACATTTGTCCCATTTCTAGAAAGATGGAGAACGATAGATATTAATTTGTTTTCTATATATCTAACTGATGACTAATACGATAGTCGATACATACAGATATATGTAGAACACAAAATATTGTTACCCTGTCGTTTTCATAGGAGTTGAAATAAATACATTTAACTTACCTGATATTACTCTTATTTCAGTGTCATCAGAGAGTTGTTACTACCAAAGATGCTTAGGCTGTCATCCACAAGAAACTGTGTGGACAGGCTCGCCTGCCAGCTGCAACCCCTCGCACTGGGTATCTGCTCAGTGGGTACACAACCTTGGACATCCTCCTCCTTCTACAGACTCCAAGATATCTATTGAAATGCGATGTTTGAAAATGGTAGCAACACCCGATGACAAGTCATGTAAGATTGTAATTTACTGATTTTTTTCTTAACTGATTTTTTTTTACAAGTACCTACGTACTATATTTGCAAAGAATCTAATAAACTTATCGATACATATTATAATAAAAAGTGTAACTGATCACTATCTGTACATGGAAGATATTTGAGAGAAACTATTATTGGGGGTCTTTATTAACGCAATAGACCTCAAAACAATGATTCAGAACCAATTCAATCTCAGAAACGGTTAAACCGATTTGGGTGCGGTTTTCACAAATTATTATCACGGTAATGTATTATATTATTACCGTGGTATTATTCTTTCATTTCAATCGGCTTATAAAGAAAAAAATTATGTCAATTTAAATATTCACCTAGGAACGAACCCGAGCGAATAGATGGTGAGTCGCTAGTGTTTATACTATATTCGTATAAAATTTTTTTGACATCATGTACGATACAATTTTACGATTATTGGTGTATTATTTTTTTGATAGCTTTTATATGTGTGTATGTTTGTTACCCCATCACATTAAAATGTCTGAACGAATTTGGATGGAATTTTACTATAAGACACATTTAAATCAAATAAAATTTGAAAGATTAATATTATTTTATGTTTTATTTTAGTCGGTAATACAGTGGACGTAATACGAGGATGTGTACCGAGGGTACAAGTAGACTCAGTCTGTCTCGGTCTGGTGGCTGTTGAGAGAGCGAGAGGTCACAGCGATGCGCGATGCTTCATATGTAACGGTGAAAACTGTAACGCAGCTACGCAAATGGTTTTTAATATTTATATACCGCAATTATTTATACTTCTCAACTATATTTTAAGATGAATTTATTATAATTAAATGGTTTACTTTTTAAAATATAACATAGAGTATTATTAACATGACATTTTGTAAAATAATTAAGTACTGTAGGAATGCATTTGCCCAATGTTTTGCCCAACATCGCCTGTATATATTACAGATAACTATCTTTGTTATTACACAATAACAGTTATGTGGCTTAATTGCAAGTCTGTATATAAATATATATGTATATTATGTATATACATAATATGTACATGCGGTTCTTTTGAAGTAACATAAGGTAAATATGTATTATTTTTATTATTTTTTTACTTAAGACTTGGTCTTTTGTTTTATAAGGTTTAAAGCATGTTTACTTCCATTTTTTGTATCTGCACAGATGTATTATTTATGAATATTAATCTTAAAAATAAACGAATTTTATTTTTTTATTACAGTTTTGAACTCTATATTGGCAACATATTTGTACTATTGTACATTATTATAAAAGAAATTGATTTAAATATGTATCACGTTATAATTTTGAATAAAATGATCACACTTATTGTTGCGGTTATTCATATTTGAAACAGCGTATCATTTTTTATAAAGCGTTCTATTTTGCTCTATGCTCTATATTATGTTCTATATGTTAAACTTACTTTAAGGGGTTAATAATTTAAAAAAAAAAGTTTTCATTAAACTTGTATTAAATATTAAATTCAATATATGAATTACAAAAATGCATTTAGTTTCATTAAAACAATTAAATAAGCACCTTGGACCAAATTATTATACTTTCCCTGTGATATTTACACAACCTTACATTGTAGGTTTATTATTTTAACAGGTAAATGTTAAAAAAAATAACATTAGTATGCATATACATACATATAAGTACATATGTACTTAGTTTACGATTAGTAAATTATTATTCAACCAATTTCCTTTTCGTCATAAAAATCGCACATTAATGTACTCGTGATTTTTTTAAACATCATAATTCCAATTATTTTTTGATCCATTTCGAAGACGAGTAGACTCAATTCGATTGTTTTTTGTCTTTGTCGAACATAATATAAAAATAATAATCATTATATAAAAAAAAATCCAATTTTTTTTTGTTGATTACACCAAAACCTCGTCAATAGCTGCTAAGCAAAAAAAAAAGAAAATCAGTTGATAAACAGTGGAGAAAAAGGTGCTGAACTGTTTAGCCTTTGTCTATTTATATGTATATAGATTTTGATTCATAATTTACGACATACACACAGCAGAATTAAAAATGTAAGTACGCTCTTCTTTTTTGAAGTCAAACAATAATAAAACAGTACTATAAAATGATAAAGAAAAACAGGAGTTTCGTCTGTATGTTTAGTACATAAAAAAAACATAATCTGTGATAGGGTATGAATGTTACAAATATAAACTTGATGTTTCGCATTTCTATGTAAAAAGAATTAACTTCATAGAAAGATTTAGACCCTATAAGTCAACACACAATTCTATTGTGTGTTTTACCGCAGTCGGGTAAAACAGACATGGCGAAATTCGAAACGGAAAAGAGTATATTATAAAAAACTTAACACACTCAGATCACAAAAATAATATTTATAGCAAAATCGAATCTAAACATATTCTTAATAAAAGGTTCTTTGTAATCTGAACTAAAACAGGCGTTAATTTTCAACAAAACAAAAACGTGTCGTCTTATACTCCTATATCTGTAAAATTGTATTTAAAATGTCTTAATACATAAATATGTACAGTACATATGTGCATATTTAAACACAAGCTTTAATTATAAAGTTGTAAAAAATTGTATATTAATTTAATAACATATATTATTACCATAGCTAGACAGCCAGTAACAAGAAAGTTTACAAGTACAAAATGTTTTGCCAATAATAAACCGGTGGTAATATTTTTTGTTAAGACTAGATAAAAAGACATTAGTGTATATGTAAATAGGTATAAATGCTTGTGAATCTCATTTTTTTTTTTGAGTATTAAAATCGATATATGTGAAAAAATCGTCCTGGGCAAACTCGCTAGATCATAAACCTTATCAATGCCTTTGAGCTAAGATGAAGGTCAAGAGTAAGCCCATTTTTAATTTTAAAAAAATATATATGTTAACACTTGCATAGATTGTATATGTATATTGTATATATGTAGATATATGTTTCGAATATGGCTACATTGCTTACATATGTAATATAACACTATTGCTTTAACATTGCACTTAATAATAATAAATATAGTACTTAGAATACTATAATAGTTGGAACTATGAGTCAATTCATTTTTTTATAACCTAAGCTCTTTCTCTTGCCACGAAATAGATTTTATTATTTTCGTATGGTTGGGACTAAACTTGTTATTTAATGACTGTAAAAACAAGTTTTATCCTTATCACATCAAAAGTAATAATCCAGTCATTAAAGACTTATATAAAACGGGACTTTGGCTACGAAAGGTCAAGGAGCTATTTTTAACTTAAATGATGTTAAAGAGAAAACATTAAAAAACTAGTTAGACACCTTTTTTCCAATATGGCGGTGCAAACGTGCAAAATCGTAAACTTGGATTATTAATGAGGACATCGAATTCTCCACCAAATTATCTCCTTGTCCTTTTGTAACTTACCACAATATTGTGTCACCATCTATATAATACATATTGTATTATTATAATGTTACAACGTACACGACGTGCAAGAATCGAACACGGGCACAACCACAATGCTCCACAGCGGTCAACGTTTTCATTTTCAAAAAAATCACTTCAATTAAAAGTAATTTATCATAAAAAAGATTAAAAAAATCTTTAAAAAACCAGCATTTCGTGGTTTTTGTTGTGTGATTTTCAAGCTGAAAACGTACGACCTAATTATTTTACCTACCTTAATCCTAAGCCATTTTTTATATTAAGAATAACTAAAACTAACATATGTATAATGTATATGTAATAAAGTAATAAAATAGTGGAATTGTAATAATACTTATGACGAAGATGTAAACAAAAAATCACAGCTTGTTCATTAATATGGTTAAATAAGTACAATTTTCACTTACAATAATGACATTATATAATATATAGTGTAATATAATAAATGGCTATAACGTATTATATATTTTAAATATATTTGTAGTTTTAGTTTATTTTTCACTTAGAATTTATATTTGCACGATTTTAAGATTAACTAAACAAACCGTTCATCAGTACTAAGTAAACCTTTTGTACTTATTTGATTTAGTGACGTAGTTAATGGCTTACATTATAGAAGCCATTAATCTTGTTATAAAACAATTAAGATATTCATATTAAGGTACTACTAAAAATTAAAAAAAAAAACATTTAAGTTATAATTATATAAAAAGGCATTCATTATGAGTCACTTCAAAATAATTTCCAATACACTACCATCATATGTATAAATAAGATGTCATTCATATAGATATATAATCAAGATCGATTTCGATCGATCTCATTCAACACCACCGTACCACATTCATAGCATAAAACATGTCTTTTAAATCATAATAATTGTTTTAATACATTCTTATAATAAGAATAATAATTTTATAAACAAAATTAGTAAAATAATAAACAAACATTTATATATACTAATTAGTATTAATTTCATATTAAAATAAGACGATTTCATAAAATAGTAAAGATAAATTATATAATAATATAATATATCATACAATATAAAAAAAACTCTTTTGACCAAATGCAATGTATGGAATTCTTCAAAATGAATCCAAAGACCCCAAATTCGATTTCTTTACTAGAAGCCTTTGAGGATTTCTAATATTACTCCTGTCTGACATCAGATCAGCTAATGGTATAAAATTATTGTATTATACCTATAAAGTTCCAAGTTGATACGACAAGTTAGTTCCAGGTAAAATGAAGGAGAGCGGAATGGAATGTTTTGATATTAACATCATACTAATAACTATAATCAATATACATACATATTATATACTTTGTACTAATCTTCTTATATATATATAAAAGAAAGTCGTGTTAGTTACACTATTTATAATTCAAGCGGCTGAACCGATTTGCCTGAAACTTGGTGGGGAGGTAGCTTAGAACCAGGAGACGGACATAGGATTTTTAGCCCGTTAGAACGGCTGGACCAATTTTTATGATATTTGAATTTTTGGATTTCTCTCATTCCGGAATAGGTTAATACCTAAGTATTAAAACGTCAGAAAAATTAACGAAAAAAAAATATTTATATGGCTAATAACACTGGCTAATAACTATTTATATCTATTTAAAACGTACCGACGAACCCGAGCGAAGCGAGGGTGAGCCGCTAGTTTCTATATAATATCAGATCCTTATACTCGTAATCAAATCTATTGCCAATGTGAACAGTATATTATACCATTTAACAACTAAAATACCACTTGGTGAATACTGTCACGCAAAAATTCCATATTATTCTAAAAAACAATTAAATTTTAAGCAAAAAAATCTAAATTTGCATATAATGTAATAGAAGCGCAAATGCTATATTCAACAGCAACTTACAGTAACTTATAGATCTCGAATATCACTTAGTAAAGTCATTTTCCTGCTTAATTAAACATTCTTAAACACTCCACCTCTCATGACTCAGATCAATAATAATAATATTTGTACGATATAAATTCGGCTATCACTTGTTAACGCCAAGGCACTCGTTCAAAATGCCATATCTGTCTATTGTCATTGATACACCGCTTTGATGTCAGGGGATTACCCAGACTTTCATCATCTGTGGGTAATGATGTCAAACATAACCCATCTATTGTTTTAAGTCTCGGACCTTTTTGTTGCCATATTTGTTTTGCGCTGTCATTGCAAGTTTTCCATACCGCCCGTCCATTACCTTGCTGCAGGCATAAACCCTCATCAGCCATGATTTTTCCTTCAATAGTATACACTATAAGTCTATCTAAATCCAGGTCACTCCCACAACTAACAGTCGAAGCTGGTCCTCCCAAGCCTGGAGTGCCCGACGTCACTCCAAGACAACCACCTTTGTCGTTACGAACCCTTCCAAACCACCTATCGTCCGTAGGAAAGAAGTGTTGTGGCCACACATTCTCCAAATACCATTTAAAACTTTTACACTCCAAATTTTTCCGGATTTCAATTCGACTGGCAACATTTTGGGTGTCACGTATCGCGGCTATTGAAGGGTTGAATTTGAAGAAGAAGTCAGCCCATTCATCCATCCACACGGTTGCTGCTCTAGCGAGATTTGAATTTAAAACTTTGGCAACACCGCCCGGATATTTATATGGACTATGCCGTCTAAAGATATGGCCGACACGGGAACACGATGTTATTTCAACTCTTGCTCCACATTGCCAGGCTCGCCAGGAAAGTTCTAGATTTTCCGCGCCCCAAATTATCATACCTTCATCGTAGCCCCCTAAACGCCAAAATAGGCTCTTTCTAACAGCAAATAAACCCCCAGCCATAGCTGGAGTGGGGTAAGGTTTTGAAGGGTTATTAGACTTGTTTATCATTACCTCGTTGCTCGGCATTAGCCAGCGAAAGTGTAAACGCCAGCTAAAAGCTCCCCAATGTGCGTCGATGCTTTTGGTATATGCGAGTGTGTCATCATTGAGGAGGTCTATATGTGGGCATATGAAAACATCGTCGCTACCCGCGCGATCTAGTAGAGGCTCCAGCCAGCCGAGTGTTACCTGGAAATTAAATATATCAAGATTACAGACCACATTTTTGATAAAGGAGACATCACTTTGAGCCAATAAGTCAAAATGCCAGTCAACAATATAAAGTGTTTGAAACGTGAAAAAAATAATTTTTATGTATGTGTCAAATTTGACCAGTATTTTATCTAAGTAGCCTATGACTGACAAACACAAGAACAAACACACGAATGAACCTATAAAGGCGTTAAATAATATATAAAAGTTTCTTACCTCGCAATGAGCATCTAAGAACACTAGAACATCTCCTACAGCTTGTCTTGCACCCATGAGCCTTGCTCCCACTAATCCAGTTCTATTCGCACTCCTCAAAATGCGCACATTGTTCAAATTCACTATGGCATTTTCTAACTCTTTACCTAAATACTTTCGATCGCTAGCATCATCTACTAAAATTATCTGCAAGAAATAATGTATTTGAAATAATTACCCAATACTAGGTTCTCACCCCCGCTTTTTTGCCCGCACTTTATACCCCATAAAAATCTATCCCCTATCCCGCGGAAACCCGTTTTCTTTCCTAAATAAGGTAAAAATTAATCTAATAGTCCATGTACCATTGTACAAAGATTCTAGAGACCATTGGCATCTCCCTGCCCATATCCCAATCACTTGGGGTCGGCACAGTACATATTCCGTAATGCCGATAGGATTTGGCAAAAGTTTTACAACCCGCCGCCTGCCTGACATCTGAAACCTCGTTGGGAATGCTATTCTAGAGTATATCAGGTACACATTGACAGACAGTCTATTTTGTGCAAATAACTATAAATACTAAAATAACTATACATTAAAGGCTTTTTGAATGACAGATTATAGCAAGAATTACTGTAATTTTGTTTATAATTATTTCTATCACATTTTTATATATGTATCTACCTAACCTAATAAAATTTAATTAAAATCTTAGTTTAATTTATTACAATTATATTAATTATATACTTACAAAAAATTAACGCCTTAACCACCACCATAACACCAGCCTTAACCACTGGGTATAGAAGCAAGAAATTTTATGTGAGAGTTCAAGGTTGGCTTTAAAGAAAAATTTACTTGTAGCATTACTTATATTTGCCTGGACAAAACTGAATTAGCTCGCTATTTAAATAAGAAATAATTACCTCTTTTAACAATATTGTCGGAGATCTTAGTATTACTGACATCACAGTTCTCATAAGAGTAGACCAGGCTTCATTATGGAAGACTATAATAACACTTGCTGTTGGTAAATTATCTAAATCATATTGAACACTTCTGCAACTGAAAATTAAAAGAAAATATCTTATTTCGGCTGTTCTCTAATTTTTGATATTCTGTTTTTATTACCATAGTAACTTATACAATTAAATACTTTTATTTCTATACTTATTGTTAGGAAATACATAGAAGAATAAGTGTCAATTTTTTTAAATTAAATATTTATGACTTCATATTCAGAGATTATATATGGACTAGCAATTCACCCTCACTTCTCTTCGGATTTCTGTTAATTTTTCTGGGATAAAAAGTAACCTATATGCTATTCCAGACTATAATCTATCTCTGTGCTAAATTTCATGCAGATCCATTCAGCCGTTCTGGCGTGAAAGAGTAACAAACATCCATTCATCCTCACAAACTTTCACATTTATAATATTAATATGCAATATGGACTTAATTTAAACATGTGATGTTAAATGATATCTTACCTCTCACTTCTCATATCTGGAAGACTTCTATTAATTGATATTCTATCACTAACAATAATGTTATACGAATGTAATGCATACATCTCCCTAGCTGGGATTATTTCCCTCTGTGATAATTGAACAGGGCGGCCCCCTTCTCCAGCACCTTCTACTGGGGCATAGTGATTTGTATTGACTGTTTCTGCAAAAAATTACATTATTTTTAAAATTTTAACAGAAATTATCATATATTATGTTATAATTTTGCACCACAAACCCTAAAAAAATTATAATATTTTTTAAAGTTATATAAAGGAAATTTTATTTAGAAAATGATGTAATAATAGACAGAAGTCTATAAAGTTATAAACAAACAACTGGTTAATTTTAATTAATTTCTCAACAATAGAGATACAAATTATTGTTAAAAACATCAGAACAAAGGATGGACGAAGGTGATGTCATTTTATTATATTAAAAGCAAAGCTTTTGTTAATTAGCATATAAAATATTCAAAGGTTCTAAGATAATATGTAAATGATTGAGAATGATAAATATATTCTACTGTTTTCGAATGTAATATTTTATATTGATTACAAAATTGATAAATGCTTCTGAACATTTCACTCTTTATTAACAAAATCATTTAATTTTGTACATCAATTTGTTTATCTAGTTACTAAAAATATTACATTATTCTTGTACTCACTACATTATTATGTACCATTTATCTTCCCCCCCAATGTGCGTTCACCTTGTCGTGGTGGGGGGGGCTCAGTAGTGCCCGGCAATCCAACCGAGCGCGAAGCTAAGAAACGCACAGGGAGGTTGCCCACTTCGGTGGGCGGTGGGAGGCGGCCCTCTTCGGGGGGCGGTGTACCTTGCGGGTTGCACCTGGTACTTCTCTGATAGCAGAGTGGACCTTGGAGCAACCCCATGGTTGTGGTGGTCTGCTTTGGCAGACCTGCCGTCGGGGCGTCGTAGTTGAATGCGTAAGCGATCCTGCGACGCCCCATTAAGACGGGGGAAGGTTATGTTGGGTTTTAGTGGGTAGTACTGGCTGTATTACGCCGGTGAGTCCCACACGTCGTGCGTAAATGCATTTCCCAACGTTAAAAAAAAAAAACCATTTATCTTGTGTGCAACATAAACTATATAAGCAGTTTATTTAAATGTCCAGAGGGGAGACCTGGTGTTATGTAACCCGGGTTTTTACCTGTCACAGGCACCAGTGATCCACAACTAAACTTTTTGTCATCCAGCTTATGCTAAGCCATGAACTTTGATATTGATGTATGTACTACATAATTTGCAATTTGGTTTTTAGCGAGAAATAAAGAATTTTATCATTATTTATTTCAAATAGATTATAATAATCAATAATAATTAAATTCTATCTACATAGTATTACACTGAAAAGATATTTTAATTTAAACTATAAAACAAGTAAATACTTGAATATACCTTCAGACAAATTGCCTCCAGAATTTCCTCCAACATAATGTCCTACAATGACTCTCATACCAGTTTTATCCACATATGAGTTTTGATCATAATGAATGCTATAAGAAAATAATATTTGCTTTAAAATAATGTGCATATACAAAATAAATATGGTTTAAAAACAAAAAAACACTGAAATCTTAAATGGTCAGCCAAAAATAAAGTTGACACACAATGGAATAACTTATATATGGTTTGTAATATATTATCATCTTTACATACAATAGTAAATGAAGATTTATTTAATACATATTTGCACTTACTTTTTATACCAAGAGCTTTTATTTCTTTTTTTTATAGTGTTATATAGTTCCAAGCTCACATAGAACATAGCATTTATCAAAAATATCAAAATGAACACTAAACTTGCTATTTTTTTTCTACGACCTCTGCACATAAGCGACCTAAAGTGCTGTAATTTTTAAAATTAATAAGTTTATTTTATATTTTCATACGTACAAAAAGAACTAAACAAACCAAATGTCAACCCACGTTATTTAAAATCATTATAAATAACAATAAGTGTCTATATATTAAATATTTATGCTTATAATCTACTTAATAGTGACAATGAGTATAATATAAAAAGCATTATAATGAATTAAACATTTAATAAAATTATTTTAAATTTTGCACAACTTGAAACTTGAAAGTAAAATGACATTGAAATTTTAGTGGCATTATGAAATATGAATATGACATAAGTGACATAAAGGTCTGATTCTAAAATCTGTTGATAAACTTAGCTGGGAAAGATTTGGCCAGCTGTTAATATTTTTTTTCTTACATAAACTGAAAAAAGTTCAAGGATGATTAATATCCCAGAAAATAATGACTATTCAAATATATTTTTTATAATTCGTATAAATAAATGTAAGTAATTATTTTTGACTTATCGTTTTGAAACTCATAACTATTTAAATTTTTATTATCATTATGACTATGTATCATGGATGACAAATATGCTATGTATGACCAGTGTTTCTGAATTCTAATGTCAAGTGTCAAGTGTCAACTATCAATAACAAATCAATAGTCAATACCAGTGTTGGATTTCGTAGTATAATTATACTATTTGTACCATTATTTCATAGTGTGTAGTATGTAGTATCGTATTGCCACTATACTACGTAAAAATACCATAATTTTATCTTTAGGTCGACCGACTTGTATTATTGGTGAGTACTTTTACTTTTTAATATTAACTCTACAATTTCGGGAATTTCTGAACGTACGGCAACACCAAGTCAGGCAATGACAAGGTAGGTGGGGTTTCCCCATGTGATGTTTTACTATTCCATCCGTTCTGACATTTTTGTCATAACTCATAAACATAATTGGACTGATTTATAAATAACTGCGAGAGAGACGATATCTCACGGTAATGTAATATGTAATATTACCGTCATATCATGTTCATAGCAATATTTTGACTAAGTACAAAACTTGACAGTGAATTGTTGCAGTATAGATACATTAGTATAAAGTTATAAACTAGTACAATATTGTAGTGTGTGACGTGTGTACATCATTGTTTCTTACGCTTTGACAATTTTGAAAATAAACTATTTTGTAGTCGCAATTTGTAATTATGAGTGAAAGTGAGGGCGAATAAAAGTGCGGTGTTTCGACGCCAAGGAAGAAACGCGTTGAAAGAGGCGATTTAAAAGTGAAGGAAAAACATAGACACCAAAAATACAGAGTCAAATGGGAGAGTGATCCAAAATTTAGTAAGTGGCTTACTCGTGATCCTCAATATAATTTCAAAGCACGATGTAAAGTATGTAATGTTTCAATGATGGCTGCAAAGCATGTTTTATCGACTCATTCTAAAGGGGAAAAACACGAGAAAAAATTATATTCATCATCAAAATTGTATATTGAAAGTAGATTTGTTTAACAAATTCTTTTCCATTGTTTTTTTTTCTCTTTCAATTTTAATACTTATGCAAGTTTATTTCAATTCAATACAAAAAAGCCGTAAAATGAAACGTGAAAAACATGAAACGTCAAACGTAGTATAATTTTGGACAAGTAGTATAATTTTATTCTCTATGTACAATATTTTTTTGAGGCTCTGGATCCAACCCTGGTCAATACCATGTCATCCATGGTCAATACAATTGGTCAATAGCAATACGACAAACTACAATGCTATGCATGTCAATACCATTTTATAACGATATTTTTTGTTAATTGTTATTATTTGAATGCATAAGTAAAGACAACGAAAGTGTTTGTCAAAACAGTATTGCTGTTTGTTTTAGTATACTCAGAAATATGTCACGCAATTTTAACAACTGGGGTAGGGGAAGGTCAAGACCTAGTTCCCGGTCTAGAGGAAGACACTGGGGAAATCAACAGTATAATGTACCTCGTGGTTTGCGAGGCAAAGAAATTGGACTGTATTTTAGAGATCTAAATGCAAAAAAACAAAAAAAGGATCCTACGGTAAAGCTTATGAAATAAAGGACTAGTCAAGACAGTTTTTAATAGGATATTATTTCACTTTCTTTGTCACTGGATATTTCCTGGTAGTGTAATTATTTAAAATATTTAAAAGTAGGTAATTATAATTTATGCACATTCTTGTAGGTACCAATTGCTCATTTTGTCTTAACATAGGAACCATTATGATGTGATTTTGCTCTAAAAAAACTATATTCTTAGTCACTGTGTAATATATATTAACATTATTAAAATTTTTGTTTTAAAGAGAAAAATGAAAATTTTACAGATCAATCTTAAAATTCCTGACATGGTTTTGGCTGCATTAGATAACAATTTAAAACATGTTTTTAAATTAGCTGCTCAGCAAAATATATTACTTCCTAAATTTGAACAATTGGACATTTTTAAAAATAATACAAGCACAGCAGGAGAGGTCAAGTCAGAGACATGCTCAGATAGTGATGATTATAACACAACATCACAAAATATTGTAAACTACACCTGTGAGGCAGGTCCATCTGGTTCTGACTTTATTCCTAATAAAGATGAGGGAGAGGAATACAAATCTAACCCTAAGCTCCTAGCATTAAAAAAACTATGTGATTATAAATATGGGTACGAAGACATTATAACAGGGACATTCGAAGAGAAACTTGATGAGTGCCTTAATAATGGTGTCAGTATTAATTTAGTTGATAATGAAACAGGAAATCTCAATACTGCTTTATTTATTGAATACCAAGATATGTTAGAAAGCAATGGTTATATAGAAATGTTAAAATTCAGGGAAAAATTACCAGCTTATGTAAAAGCTAAAGATATAATAGACAAAATCAATCAAAATCAAATTATGGTAATAAGTGGAGAGACAGGTTGTGGAAAGTCAACACAAGTATGTATGTTACAATTATTTGTCTTTTTTTTTCTTTTGATTGCACAGACAATATTAAAACTTTTCACTTGATTCTTTAGTGTGTAAAGATTGGCTGACTTGTCAAATTCATAGTCCTTTATAATATAAATCAAGAAAGAAGAAAAGCATTTCTATGTTGTAATCGTAAATTGTTTTATAGCACACATGTATCTACAAAAATCTTTTAACCTATTTTATTTAGTTGTAATTTCCCCAAATTAGTCTATTATTATTATAAATTTATTTGTAATATATATTTTTGAGAATTCATTACAAGTTTTAATTTTTTTTAGGTGCCACAAATAATTTTGGATGATGCAATCTGTAATAATAGAGGTGCGAATACAAAAGTTTTAGTGACCCAGCCCAGACGCATAGCAGCATCTGCTTTAGCTACAAGAGTGTCAAAGGAGAGGGGAGAGATACTTGGCCACTCTGTTGGATATGCAGTAAGATTAGAAAGGTAGCAAAATATTATTTTTTATATTCATGGGGGTGTTTTTAAGTGGGTGTACCAAAAGAGCTCAGAGCTGGTTTTAGTAAAAACTATAATTATCTCAGTATATTATCAATTATTGTATTTGTTTTGTTGCATTATATAAAATTGACTACCTCCTTTGAATAATCTTGAAGAATTGAAGAACCGAAGGGTATCGATAAGGCCGCATTAGCACCCCTGAGTAACGAAAAAAAATATGTCATACAATATAATCTTTTCTTTACATTTTCTGAAAGTAGACTGTGTACCTGATAAGATAATATATTTATAAAAGAGAAAAAACTACAATAAATACTACTTGTGAGACATCAAACTTTGGTCTAACTGGGCTTTTTGTTCAAAATGAGACATTATCAGTAACATTTCAACTTTTTTTATTTAGAGCACAGAATGGAAGCACTGTTATTTTTAAATACATTGTATAGTAACATATGAGCATTAAAATAAAATAAAAAAGAAAGTGCTTCTTATATGCACTCTATGTAAAAAAAGTGGAAATGTTACTGATGATAGACCTTATCAATATTCTTCCTTTTCAATGGTTAAAATTATACAGTTATAATAATATTATTTGTAAATCTATGATTTTCTTTTATTTCAGAGCAGAAGAAAGACCGCGTGGTAGCATCCAATATTGTACCACTGGTATATTGTTGGCTGAACTAGAAGTAAATCAAGGGCTCACAAAATACAGCCATATAATATTAGATGAAGTTCATGAAAGAGATGTTCATGTTGATTTTTCTATGTGTATCTTAAAACAGGTAGATAGATTTGAAAAATGTACATTTAAATAAAATCAATGATCTTTCTTTAATCTTTTCCAATGTATTCCCAATTAATTTTCTGGTGTTAGGAAAAATTTTAATTACTGTACTTATTTTCTGAGCAACATTGATGATTTTCAATTTGAAATTAGCATTTAATTTGATAGTCTTTTATTATCCAAGGCATTGGTATTTAAATTACTTTGATATTAATGGTACCAGAATTAAAGCTATGTAGTTTAGAAAAGTACTTTGTTTCTCCTCAATAAAAATATTAGGATTGTTATATACATTCACTGATCACTGAATAACGCGGGCGAAGCCACGTGAGGAATTATATAGGCGATTTCCGTTAGGTCGCACCATTAATCTATTGCAAGATCTTTTTAGGAAATGAGCGCAGACAGATTGGTGTCACTAGTCTTTCATAAATAAAAGGCCTTTATGATATTTATTTTAATTCTAACATTTTCAGGTGTTAAAAAAGCGAAAGGATTTAAAATTAATTCTTATGAGTGCAACTTTAGATGCGGAAAGTTTATCGAGTTATTTTGATAACTGTCCTATGATGCATATTGAGGGACTAGCGTTTCCTGTCGAAGACATTTACTTAGAAGATATATTGCACATTACTAAGTTTAGACTACCACCAGAAATGCCAAAGAAACAGCAGCCTAAATGGATAAAATACAAAAATAAAAATGCAGAGGATGACATGGAGAAAGATATTTTGTATAAACGTGAAATATGTAAGTACAAGTAGCATTTTAGCATTTTGACATGAATTAGCTAATGCGCGTGGCTTCGCACAAGTAGCCTATTCCTCCCCAGGACACTATTTTTACCCACTTTTGTGAAAGTACAATGGGCCTTTTAAAAAAATAATTAAAATAGCGTCTTTTCACAAAAGATCAACTTAAAAAGCAAAACCTTATCCAAAATACAAAATTTGGTTCAAGTCGTTAGAGCCGCTACCGAGATACATACAAGAATTGCTTATTTAATATTATAATATTATTTTTTTTTTCACATTTAGTAAATGCTTTTCATATTGGACTATTGTTACTATTATAAATACCAAAGTTTGTTTGTGTGTGTGTGGGTGTATGTGTATGTGAACTAACTACTGTTTGACACCTAGGGACGCACCCAAATAAAACATGGGTCGCTAGTATTAAATAAATTAAACAATAATATTTTTCACAGGGCCTTGGCTCGAGTCTTTAAAAGACAAACTGAGTTATGACGTTTATAAAATACTTCAAGACAGCAGAGTAGAGGATTTAAGCCTGGAATTAGTTGTAGAACTTTTGTCCTACATTTGCAAAGGCAAACCAGGGGCGATACTAGTATTTTTACCTGGAATAGGGGAAATAACAAAGCTCATGAGACTAATGAATGAGAGTAATCGATTTCCAACTAATCGCTTTGAAATACATCCCTTGCATTCGAAACTTCCAACTTTAGAACAGCACAAGATCTTCGAAAGGCCCCCAGAAAGTGTAAGGAAGATCATCATAGCAACTAATATAGCTGAAACGTCTATAACAATAGATGATATAGTATATGTTATAGACTGTGGAAAGATAAAACTAAGTGGCCTAAATGTGGAGAAGAATCAGTCTACGTTGGCAGTTGAATGGGTCTCGAAAGCTAATTTGCATCAAAGGTGAGATTTTATTAGTTTAGGTTGCCTTTACAGAAGATGGGCAACTTCGGCTAACAAAATACAGCAGAATAATCTTGGTACCTACATTTTGTAAGTTTCATTAGTAAATGACGTACATACTTTCAATATTTGAGTCTTAACTTAGCCTCAATCAGCGATTTTAACAATTCATAAAAAGTTAAAATATACACTATAAACCCATCATCTGATTGCTGATATTTCAATAATCAGTAAAATTATGCAAATTTGATTTACAGGATCATTATTTCTTTTGCTTTCACTTAGAACTTTTTTAAAACAGCTTTTTGAGATCTATTTTTAATCGTTTTTTAATTTAACACAACTTTAATAACTAATCGATACATGTAACGTCATCTATTGATATTTATTTGAACAAATTTTTCGATTAAATGGATTACCATTAAACTTTTTTTTCAAATCTGACTTCACATCAATCTTAACGTCTCTACTATGTGGACCCAAATATGGAGAAGTCATGTCACCTATCAATAGGTAGTAAATTATAATTGTAGAAACAATATAACTTTAAGTACAATTTCACAGACGAGGTCGTGCTGGTAGATGCCAACCAGGTATCTGTTACCATTTGCTAACGTCATATCGGGCTTCAGTGATCCAAGACAGATTATCACCAGAATTGCAAAGGAGCAACCTTTTGGAACCAGTGCTGATGATTAAGAGGCTCAGGCTAGGCATGGTCGCTGATGCTTTGAAAGATTTCCCATCAGTTCCTGCAGACTCAACTATATGCTGGGCAATAAAACATTTGCAGAAGTAAGATATTTTTGTTATAATATAAAAATTTAGCAACAGTCTTTCAAGTCGTACATAGATTTCAGTTTTTTAACTAATATATCTGTTTCTAAGATCTCTCTACATAAAAACCTGTTAACTGTTTCTGTGTCATTATTTCTGTCTATATTTAAATGTGCCCATTGATTCATTTATTCATGATTATTTCATTAATGTATAATCAATACGGGGGACACACACACGCACGCAGTGATACAGCCACTACTAAAGCACTGTTGCCAACACTTGAAATTTTATCCCTCTGAGAGTAATTTCTAAAAACCCTAAAACTCCCTAACTGATAATTTGAAAATTTTACTAATAATTTTTTTTTTATCTAATACATTTTTTTTCTATTTTAAATGATTACGAATAGCGTAAAAAACTTATTTATGGTTAGTATTATAATAATTACACATAACTATTTAATAATAATTAATTTCATTTCAAGTTACGAGAACTTAGAAAATAATAAAAAAAAAGGATAAATGATGCAAATGATATTTAAAGATTTTTCCAAGTCTTTAAACGAAACTTTATAAAACGTTATTTATATTGAAGTCATGCTATTAAAGAAAAAACCCCTAAACATTTTTCTCCCTAAAAAAACTCCGGTGCATTTTTTTACCCCTAAATTTGGGGAGAAAAAGACACTAAACCCACCTCCCACCAGATGCGGGGCACTGGATGACACAGAGACGCTGACGGCGCTGGGCTGGCACCTGGCGCGGCTGCCCGTGCACCCCGCCGCCGGCAAGCTGCTGCTGCTGGGCGCGCTCTTCGGCTGCCTCGACCGCGCCGCCAGCGTGGCCGCCGTCTGGGGGTTTAAGGATCCGTTTCAACTTGTTATTGGTAATGTTCTTCTTTCTATTTCTTTCTCTCTTACTCTTTCTTCTCTCACCACCTTCCTTTCCTTTCCTGTTCAAATTCAAAATATTTTATTTAGCATTCATGAGTCTACTACCAGTTCGGAAAGAAGAAGCCTCAGATCTGAGAAGAACAGACGAAAGAAACTCAGCGAGACTAATATTTATATTTATCTTTCTTTCCCGCTTATTCTACATTTTAACATCTCGCTGCTGGGCGCTGAATATTCTATAATAAAGTAAAATGAAAAACCGCCGTGGTTGACGACTGGAGTTCATGTATCCGGTAAACCACACAAAACATATTGTTTTGGGTCATGAAAATTGATTTAAATCAAAACAGGTGTTTGGTACGAACCCCAAATACGAATGTTTGAATAATGGTACACAGTGGAGGTAAAGGCGATTTTATCACCATGTTCAGACTTTATAGTTAAATAAAACAGTATTATAACTTCTTTAACAATTTTTTTTTCACAGGTAAGGAAAGTAAAGTAGACAAAGCTAAACGTGACCTAGCTATGGGGGAGCCAAGCGATCACATTGCCATATCCGAAGCAATAATGCAATGGGAGGATTGCTCTTACCGTAATAAGCGATCATTCGCATATGATAATTTTCTATCTAACAATACATTACAATTGCTATCCGATATGAAACATCAATTTGGTCATCATTTAAGGCAAATGGGATTTTTGACATCTGGCAACATTCGATCGCCGTGGGAGAATAGGAATGCGAATAACTTGAGTTTGTTTAAGGCTATTGTTGCTGCTTCATTGTATCCAAATGTTGCTCACGTCAAGTAAGTGTAATTTTTGTAAATATTAAGTAAATAATAAATATGCTTCTGTAAGTGTGTGTGTCTGTGTGTGCGTGTGTGTGTCTAACATTAACAAGACTACAGATATTTTGAAATTTTCTAACTTTATAAAGCTCTAAATTTAATTTACCATTATATAAAAAAAAAGAATTAATTGCAGATGGAGAAACTTAAATAAACCTGGAAAAACAGCAAGATTCTCAGCTCGAAATGCAGAAGATGGAAGGTTAACAGTACACCCGAGTAGTGTTATGGCGATGCCCAAAATTCAAAAAGGTTGTGGGTTCAGTGGCCAACTATGTAATAGTCCTGGGGCCAATTGGCTGGTGTATTGGTTGAAACAACGCTCGAGTGAATTGTTTCTTTTGGATGTTACATTGATATACACTCTGCCTTTGCTATTCTTTGGCGAATTCATGGTTTGTGATGGTGAGTGTGTTTTTTCAAGTTCAGGCTACTAAATAATAAATTGAGCATTTTTTTCTATCTCATAAACAACTCTGGTATGTATTTAAACCATTTGACATTCTGAAATAACTTAATATTTTTTATTTTTTAAATTATGTTAGTCTATGGTTCCGTATATGTGATAAGTCAATAAAAAGTGGCCTATCCTTACTAATGTTAATGGGCTGCTTTTTATCCCATATATTAGACCTCATAGTTAAAGACTAAACAAAGAAAACCTATCCTAGGTTGCTAATATAATTAAAACTGCAGTGTATATTACTTTTTTATTATTGTTAAGAAAATTATTTATTATTATTATTAAGAAAATGAATTGAGATTGGGTATATTCATCCACTTCTAACTCTAGTCCAATTAAAACAAATAGCGAAGGAGTTTCCATATGCAAAAAAACATTATTATTTTTATATTATGTAAATAAAAATCAAATGTATTTTATTTCAATATTTTATTTATTTTCAGATGTTGATGATCCCGAACATTGCTTATTATCAATAACAAATATCAAAGTTCGTTGTAAACGAGAAAGTGCAAATAAACTGTTTGAGCTAAGATGTTTACTGGACAAAGTTTTAGCTTCTAAGATAACAGATTCGAGCATTAATTCGGTTCAGCACAATGAATTTGAAGAACAAGTGTTAAAGTAAGATTATTTTTTAAACATAAATTGAAGAATTGGTAGTGAATAGATTTTCCTATTGGTTATTTTCGGAACTAAGAATAGCATTTTAGAGTAAGTAGTGGCAGCAGATTATAAAGTCCTGGGTTCAAGACTCGAGTCAGGCCAAATCAGTTACTAGGTTTTTCTGTCATGTAATGCCCAGTAGCACCGAGTTTGTATAACCTCTCTGTAATAGACTGTGTTATGTTTTTAGTTCCTACATATCTAAATTTAATAATACGCATATCCAAAAATGTTATTATTAAATAAAAATAATTCGCAATCTTCACATAATATCTTCAATGTATGTTATTTTATAAGATTTATTATTTAACATTTTCGTTCATTTACAGCACTGTTATTCAACTGATAACTGCGGAAGACGAACGAGCTGAATATATAGATGACTATCAAGATTCAGATACTTCCGAAAATTAAACAATATAACTTGTTAATTATTGTCATAAAAAGCACAGTTTTATTAAATAACTGAGAATATTTCTTGTCTTTTACTGTTTTTCCTCATAAAAGTACCAATGTTTTTAATAATGGCATCACTAATTTGACAGTTGTTATCACTTATCAAAACAAAGTCATTGTTAACTTAATTTTATTTGTTTCTTTAAGAACACTGTGAAACCACTGCCAGTGATCGTGATATTAACTTTAAATATTTTATAATAAGCATGTTTTCTTCACTACAGGTAAAAATAATTAATTTAATGTTTTACACAATTATATAGGTTATGTAAATGTTATTAAAAGTTATCTTTTAAACTTTTTCAGAGAAATATTTTTAGACCTATTTTATTAATTATCCGAAATAATCATTCTCAATATATTATTACAAATGAAAGCAACGGAACGCGGGAAATTACTTTAAATAATGAAAAAACTAAGTAAGTAATGTTGGTCAATGTAATTATTAAAATTATTGTTTTTATTATTTATTTATTTTTTGTTTTTATTTAGAAATTCTTTGTCATTAGAGATGATGAATCACCTAATAGATGCTATAAATTTAAACAAAAATGACACATCTCTGAGAGCAATAGTTTTATCAGCAAAGGGTAATGTGTTTTCTGCGGGTCATAATTTAAAAGAACTTGTAAGTAAAACCTAAAAAAATACTTTTATGCAACGCTTTTTTACTTAATTATTGGTTTTAATGACAGTTTTGTATTTTTAAAGCAAGTATCAACTGGGATTGAACAACACAAACTGATATTTAGTAAAGCTACAGAGTTAATGAAATCTATTATCCAAAGTCCGGTGCCAGTAATAGCTAAGGTAATGAAATAGGTATATTCAGTATCTTAATAATTCTTCACAATATTACGTTTTAGCATTATTATTTATATATTTGTTATATTTACAAAGTAGATACATTTGTAATAAATGAAGGCAGTAGTAGCCCAGTGGTAACACACTTGGGGAACCGAGTAAAGCGGGTTCAAATCCCGGGTCTCGCGCCTCTGATATTTTTATGTGCGAATCATTTCCAACATGATTACCACTTGCTTTACGGTGAAGGAAAACATCATGAGGAAACCTGCATGGCTGAGAGAACTTAGTAAGTTTTCCAAAGACATGTGTAAATCCGCCAACCCGCACTCTGTCGGCGTGGAGGCCCGTGCTCAACAGTGGGACGTTAAAAAGGGCTGATTAAGTACATACATACATGTAATAAAAAAATTAATTAATTAAAAAAGAAAATATTTTAATTACTGTTATACTATATTATCCTCAATGGTGTATTTGCTATTTATACCGAAAACTCACTCATATAAAATTGGTTGTTGTACAGGTAAATGGATTTGCAACAGCTGCTGGCTGCCAATTAGTAGCTACCTGCGATATAATAGTGTGCTCTGAGATAAGCAAATTCTCAACACCAGGGTAAAGAAAAAGTTTTTATTATTAATACAACACTAAAAAATTACTAAATAATATTTTGCTTAATGGAGCTTATATTTTATAGGGCCAACTTTGGAATATTTTGTTCAACACCAGGAATTGCTGTAGGCAGAAGTATACCTAAGTCTAAAGCTATGTATATGCTATTAACTGGTTAGTCTTTGCATATATTTCATAAAAGACATTATGTTTTAAAATAAAGATTGTAAATGTTTGTTGTCCTATAAAAATACATAGAATTTTATACAAAATACAGCAAACACAAAATATATGTTTATTATTATTAATTGGAGACCTCAAACATGTGATTTTACAGGTGAAACAATTAGTGCACAAGAAGCATGTGAATATGGTCTTGTAACAAAGGTAGTCCATGCTGATAAATTAGACGAGGAGGTCAACAAAATAATTGATCAAATCAAACATAAGAGTCGCAGTGTTATAGCTCTTGGTAAAGAATTCTTTTACAAACAGATAGATCTAAGTACTATGGACGCATACAGTCTCGGTGAAGATATTATGGTTAAAAACATTAATTCTGATGATGGTCAGGAAGGAATAAAAAGTTTTGTTGAAAAACGCAAAGCCTCTTGGAGCCATAAATGAAAAATAATGCAGCTAAAATAATTATTTTAACATGATTGCCCCACATTATGAGATGTCAAAACCTGAAATTAAATAAATAAAACCAACACTTTGTATTATTTACACTTACATTTATTTGATACCATAGTACTAAGTGCAAAGCAATATTTAGGAGAATATTTCAAAGCATAGTATTTCACATACACATTAAAATATTTTTGGCCAAAACATTTTACATTATATACATTTAATATTTTATTTTTGGTAAATATAACAAATCACATATTTGAAATGTTATAAATTATACATTGTTAATCAGTCATCTGCAGTCTAGTTATGGTGCAGATTTAGGATCTATGGAGCCTGACAAATAATAGTAATGGTGCAGCATAGTAGTACAATGATATTACAAAACAAACTAACATCAAAAACAAGTTCTAAAGAAATAGTTACTGTATAGAAAAAAAACAATTACAATGGAATATACTATTATTGTCATAAGCATTAAATAAAATATACCTATTGTAATTTTTTTATTAAAAAACTGTAATTTCTAGATTGAAAAAAGTATTAAAAGATAAATACTAAATAGATATAATGATAATGACACTACATTTAAACTTTTTATTTTATAGTCCTTTATAAATTTTATAAACTCGAGTTAATTTTGTGCAGCATGTCCAATATAATGACAAATCTAGTAATGTAGCTTAAATCTTTATACGAACTCAAAATAATGCAGAAAATATGGTATACCTAACTATAATTACATAAAATTCGTGCAAAACAAACCTTAAATATGTATGCATGTGTTTAGTAGTAACATAATACTATGTTTATCTAAAAAATTTGTATTACTTAATAATTCATGAAATCCATGTAGTTTCTTTAATAAAAATAAACATAAATGCTCAACTATTCTTTATCAAAAAACATTTATCTATGTTAATACAGATATTAGCAAATTACATCATTTCCCCATGTAAAGTTCTTCGTATGAATTAAATAATTTGGAATGCTGAAGTCACTTAAAAATGAAAGCTACCTACATATCTTAAAATAACATATCCCAGTTTATAGCCTGTCAAAACAAATCTTTATTGTAGCATAAAAGTAAAAATAGACAAATAAATTATTATAATAAAGTCACTATTTTACTTTAAAATATTCAATTATTAACAATACTTGAATATACTTTATGAATTGAACCTTATGTATTACATATTTGTTTTAAAAACTTACAGATGGAAAATAATATTTTCATTTTAACAGCTTCATAATATGATGATAAACAAAAATATAATAAATTACAATCCATAAAGCGCTAAATAGACAATTATTGTATAAAGCATTATTATAAAAATTTACTTTAACAAGCTTTTTTTTTGCATAAAGTATTAAGAATTTATTTAAAGATTATATGTTATGAAACTGGCACTCATTTAATAAATATTAAAATAAAGATTTAAGTTACATAAAATTTTAGTCTCAATTTTTCAATTTGAACAACATTCGCAATATGGAAGGTTGTGGTCTTAACTTGGGGAATATTTGATGTTTCTTTTCCCTATCATATATAAACATGCCTCACTTCTTTGCCAATTCGTTTGAGAGCCAGTCTAATCCTTCGTAGAGACCTTGCCCTTGAGTGGCACACGTTGCTTGGATATACCACTGTGAATAAACAAACACATAACATTAATTATAGAGTATGATAGATAACTACAGGTACATTTCATATATTTATATTATTTATTAATAAAAATGTACATTTTAAAAGTATAAAAAATATTATTTTCATATAATAGTAGTATTGAATATGGGAAATGTATTGGTTAACTCAAACTATTCAAAAGCATCTGCAAGTTTTACTCACACGTCGGTTCCTCAAGTTGTTCAAATTTAAAGCATTTGTTAGTTCCGCTGCAGTCATAGCATTTGGCATATCTTGCTTGTTAGCAAACACCAAAATCACTGCATCATTCAGCTCATCTTCTTTTAACTAAAATAGTATAGCTTTACATTAGAAAAAAATATAACTAGCATCTAAAGTTTCACCCAGGGGTAAAGTAAAACATATCCCACTAAATAACATACTTTTTATACTGTATACATTCTAGTTAATTTAAAAAATTAAAACTTGATACAACTCACATACCACCAAAATTTTGGTATGGATGATTCTGTCACAGAAGTTAATGGGTGTGTGCACAATGACTCACCAGTTTTATGACAAACAATTGAATGGTATAGAGTTTTTAAGTTTCAAAAAGGTACACACACAAACATACATTGACTTTTAAATACTATTTTCATTAACAAAAATAATTATTATCAACTTTAAAGATAAGCAAATCATTAAGCAATTACTATTAAGTTCTTAGTAGTCATAAAATATAGATTGATATGGTTAGTTCTAATAAATACTAAATGTATATGGATTACCATATTAGCCAATTCGTTCTCTGCTTCTGCTATCCTCTTTGTATCACTAGAATCCACAACAAATATCAATCCTTGCGTATTTTGATAGTAATGACGCCAAAGAGGTCTGATTTTGTCTTGACCGCCGACATCCCAGACAGTGAAACTAATGTTTTTATACTCAACTGTCTCTACATTGAAACCAATTGTCGGTATAGTGGTTACTATTTCACCAAGTTTTAGTTTGTAAAGTATTGTTGTTTTGCCGGCGGCATCAAGACCAACTGTAGAAAAGAGACAAATCAATAAAATATAAACAACTTAAAAGAATTAACTACGTAAACCATGACAATGAATAGATTAAAAAAACAATCTACGCAATCTTGTATGTTCGTCAATATTACTTACCCATTAGGATACGCATTTGTTTTTTGCCAAAAAGTCTGGTAAAAACGCTAGAAATTGTTAGACCCATGGTCTTTAACACTAAAAGTTGTTGAATATATACAAAAACGAAACAAATTCTTCTTTTATATAAATCGATGACTGCTTGGCGAAACGTCAACTCAATCGGCAATCGTCAACGCGGGCAACGTCACAGATGAAAATCAAAATGTAACACATAACCCAAAATTTGGGGAAACATATTTTTTAAATTTCAATCATATAATAATAAATATTATAACAAATAAATACTTAAATATTAATTTAATTTTTATATTTAAGTTCTTATATTTTTTTCGTAACCATAAGCAAACTATTATATTTTACCATTATTTAGGCAATGATGTACTAACTTAGATCCTTCTAAAAAGTAAATGTCAAGTTTAATTATAATAAAAAAAATTGAATTTTGGTGTGTTCTATAGCTTTAATAAGATTTTTAATATTATCATGCATTACAGTACTTAACATTACTAATTCTATTTCATAATTTTTATTAACAAGTAGTAATGTTAGTATTTTAGTTAGTATAGTTAGTTAATAAATTAAGTCACAAAAAATCGTATGTACTGCATTTTAAGTTACATAAACTGCATTATAACTTCGTATTTCGTAAAATATAAAGTTTTAGACTTGATTTTTTTATCTCATTTTACTATTTTACCGTTAACAACTTACATCAATATGTTGTCGCAAGTATATGTTACAACCATGATTATTCTGTGCCCAATAAGATTCGGAGTAGACTGCTGTCATGCGTCGTCATAGAAACGATTTCAAAAACTTTTAATTTTTTTGGCCGGGACCGACATGGAGGTTCACGAAGGTAAGATTTTAAATTTTTAATTTAATAAATAATGTAATTTATACTTAATTTGTTAAGCGCTGTAATTAATAATTCATTAAAAACAGGTTTACTTTGAAGGTCCTAAAAATGAATCTCTATCTTATTTCATTATAAAACATAAAAGACAAAATATGTATAATAGGTAAAAAGATAAAAAATTAAAGATTTAGCGCAAAATAATGTGTAACATATGTACAATGTATATACAAAAATATTTCGACGCGGATTTATCCTTGTTTTGATTTCATTTACTGTGTCAATGTCACGGTATGTGTTCTAAACATAATCTATTTACTTAGTCTAAGTATAATAAGTAAAAAGTATGAATAATAATTCGCAATATTATTGTTCATATAAGATTCAAAAATTATTTTCTTGTATTTTCATTTTTATTGTTCGTAAAATGTGTTTCATATTAATACCACTGGATACTAATTTAAATTAATTAGTTAAGTACTATAAAAGCTAATCTTGGTGTAGTAAAGCTAAAAAGACACAGAAGTTCATTTCTCGCATGTTTTAAGAAAAAGTTATTTTTTTACATTTACGTAGAGTCGATATAAATGCGTAAAATATTTATACTGTAAGTATCTAAGTGTTAGTATCTCTGGATCAGTTTCTTTTTATGGTAAGGAGAGTAAAGCGTATATGGCGTAAGCCAGCTTATCGCGCCTAGATTTCTATACCTCTTAAATATGCAATAGCGCGCAATTTGCTGTATTACGTCATAAAAACAAAAGCCCACGCCTTAAAGTCTAGATACCTGCCAATATATCTATAGTACACAGTTGTTATTGTAGGTTCTATCATGTTAGTAGTACCTATCCTTATTTTCATAAAATTTGATACCTTAATTCTTTAAGTTTCTATTAATAATTCATAGGTATAATCGTCCGTTTATAATATTTAAAATTAAAAAGATCACGCGGTAAATTAATCCTAATTAGATAATTTTGAAAATCATGTTATCTCAAACTTGTATGTATGGAAATTTAAAAAAATGAATGATATTTACTACATAGTACAGAGAATATAGAGATCATCCGCGAGAGTACGCAAAAAGAACGCAATGTCCTATTAAACATTGAGGTATAAGTACTCTACATAGTACCTAAACTAATTTTAAAGCTTATTATTTATTAACACACAAAATTAAAGAAAAGTAACACTGTAAGAATAGTATGAACTAAATTTATAAATCTATAGAATTATCGTTTCGAACATTTTTCTGTTTACTAAATAAAACATTCCAATTCACATCGACATCAATAAGTATATATACAATATGATAATTTTTGCTGATTATGTTGTCTTTAACCTTCAATCTCTTTATACAAAGAATTTAAAAGGTCTGTTATATTAAAAGGTGCACAGTGCACACGTTATTTTTTTACCCAAGATCTTTTGTTAGAATGTTGAATCATTGGATTCATTAATCAATTATTGGTGAAAGCGATTACTTGCTTTTTCAATACTTTGATGGTTCATATTGACTAAATATTGTTAGACACAATCGATGTAAAATGCATACTCATCAAAATCTTTGTGTAGGACTCACGACTCGCCCACTTAAAGTGAGATTTTTTTTGTAATAACCGCTAATTTTTGTTGATGTCATTGAACGAATCTTGATTCATTTGGCTTGCGAAATAAATTGATAACAACTGAAACTAATGTACCTTGTTAGAAGAACTCTATTTTTGTATCTGTTCGTATTTTTATTTTACAGTGATTGTTATTTAACTTTGTGGGCGCCATGAATTGATTAAAAACATTTATATATGCTACTTCGATAACACCTTTAACTCGTCAATTAAAAATATCAATATCTGTAATTCTTGAAAATGTGATATGAAGTGCGATAGTCATGACGAAATATTCTAAAAATATTAAGGTAAATTGACACTGAATGAATTGTATAATAGTATAAAATAAATTTAATATAAATTAAAATTTAAATAGATTATAATAAAATTCATGAGATTTTCAGATATGATAGCATTTGCGATTGTTATTCGCATGTAGTCAGTCTTCTGTCCTCGTTACAAGACAGTGCATTGACTCTAACGTTGGGGCGAAGTCTTCAACAAAAACATACTGTTTCTGATTTTGATAAAAAAAATCTAATTGAACACACACAAACATATAACATCGTAAACGAAATATTATAGTTATTACTTATTTCAAATCTATAACAATGTCAAGTATTACTATAGATTAAATAAAAATCTAAGTAAACTACATATCTATATTATTTAGAAGATAGTATTGTGTATAATTAAGTTCTTTTCATACTATTAATTACTTAAATTGGTTTAATTTATAATCTGAAGTGAGTCGTTTCCACATTTAGGTCAATAGGAAATCGGCATCATTGATCAATTGATTCATTTGACCTATATTTCATTGCATTTTTACCGTTTGTATGGCACAATATATGCGGGATCAATAACCTAGACTTGAAGCAGCTTCATTGCAATCATTTTTGCTTTGTTATTACTATTTATTATGTACGATATAAAGATATTACATGAAATTGTTAGATTCTCAGTCACATACAATTGGGACTAACTCATTATAAACTGTGTCAGCTTTTGAAATTCTGATGAAGAGTGAAAATAATTTTATATATTCATTATTCATGTTTACACAACAGAGACGTTTTAAGGTAGATTAAAGTTGTCAACGACTATGTCTAAATACAACGCGAGCAGGAAGAGTACACAAAGAGAAACATGTTACATGTCAGTTCAAACGCTTCAGTTCTACGTTTCTGAATCGAACTGCTAAGGAGTGGAACACCCTTCCAGCATCCGTGTTTCCTGTCACCTATAATCCAAGTACTTTCAAGGGTAGAGTGAACAGGCATTTTTCTAGGCAAGCGCGCTCCAACCTAGACCTCATCAGTGCTTCCCAGCGCTGATTGTAGTCAAGCGCAAGCCTATCGTTCAATAAAAAAAAATATCATATCTGTATGGTCAATACTGACATGAATCGCAGGCGAAGACTTGCAATCAGATCAGTTACAAAATATGTGTATTCATGAACGAGAATGTATTAGAACGGCCAAAATCATATGTAAATATACCTAATCCATATGAACGTAAAAAGTCTTTGAAATAATAATTATTATATTGTTTAAAAGATACCTAAGATAGATAAGTTAGAAAGATATATCAAATTACAGAATATGGATACGTACGGAAATTTTAGTGCTTATCTCAAAGAGACGAGACGTATGTATCTAATATCCAATAAAGCCCCGATTTCGAAAGAAGCTAAAGTAATACCTATTAATCTTGGTATAAATTTTTATCTGGACAACGTTGTGCAACAATAGTTACTCATCGAAGCATTGAAGAACAGGGTCTACGTAGCACTACGGGGTTATTACCACGTCAGGCTATGTTTGACCATGCGAAAAGTTGTGAGTTGGAGAAAAACACGTAGCTACCTACTTTGTAGTTAGATTTTTGCAAATTATAATAATAAAATATTTAGCTTCTAAATATTATTTGATTACATATTTTGATTAGCTGGAAATGACGGTTTTATTATAATAAACTATCCAATTAGTATACATATTGTCATTTCATATTATCGTCAAACTTCCGTAACGTTGTGCAATTGATCTTTTTAAAAGCTCTACCGAGTTCAGTTCATACATTTTTATACTTAGAAAGCCAAATGCTTGTTTTTAATGTTTTGCCTTACTGATTTCGATTTTTCGATGTCCCGAATTTACCAATTATTATTCGTACAGCCTTGCTTAATTGTGAATAACCTTCAAATAATAAATGTCAACTTGTCTATACATCTATACATATATAATAAAATTGTAACTAAGTCGAATCTGTACATTAAATATTTTTTGAAATATCTAATTGAAATAGACATTATTATCGTTACAGAGTTCGAACCTATAGTTTTTAGTATTTTTGTCTGTCTGTCTGTCTGTCTCTTAACGCATCACGAGAAAACCACTGGACAGATTTTAATGAAATTTGGTATGTTGGTAGCTGGTTATCCGAGTCAACATATAGGGTACTTTTTACCGCGGGAAAATATCTCATTTCTGAGAAAAAATACAAAAACTGCATTGTAAGAGTATACTAATATATAAAACCTAAGGATTTGGTTTTTGGTCATCTGAACGCGGGCGGAGCTGCGGGAAATGCTAGTTATTAAATAAAATCGCAGTTCCTATATTTTTAAATGATTATGTTTAATATAACCTAGTTATTTCATATGAAAAGGTTTTATTATTTTCTTTCACGTTTTTTTTTTCAGCAGAGTCAGTATTTAGACGCAAATCTCATTGCACGTAGAGTTTAAATGTGACGAATTCTATGCTGAAGTAAACCTTTTTTATAATTGTAACTTTTTAAATTTACTTAAAATTTGCGTTCTATATAAGAATAATTTAAAACATTAAAATATTTTAGGACCCTTGTACTCAAAATTGTATTATTCAAAATTTGTGACATAGCGAAGTGAAGCCGATTCAATAAAAAGATTTCATTAACATCGCATTCGATGATGATAATGTTTAAAATATAAATGAATATGTTGGATCAACTCCACGGTAAGCTACAAGGCTTGTATTTTGGGTAACATATATAACTTTAAATACATACTCGTACATATATTACACATAAACAAACACCCATGACTGGGGTACAAACATCACACAAATGAATGCACCCAGAGAGACTCGAACCCGCGACCGCTGGCACAGCAAGTACACACGCTACAAACTGAGCCATACGTGTCGTCAAAAATAAACATTCAACTAAATTAAAAAGCTCTCACTTTCTTAGGTACATAAAGCGTTTTAGCAGCGATGTCATATTCAAAATAATTTCTAAGCCTTACTCTCGCACATCATAGTATCATAGCGTTAATCTACCTTTAGATTCGTCACGAACACGACAGACATTTGATTTGAATGACATGAGTATGCTACAGTCACGTCTCACACATTAGGCCGTTGCAAATCATTTCATTAGAAAGTGATATATTAGGTTGTTTATAGACACAAAGTAGCGGACTCTATGCACATTACGTTTTTTTATAATCCCATCTGCTTATATTTGCATGTCTGTATACATATTGTTAGTTTTATATAGGTAGCCTGTGGATTTTTTATACGAAGAATACTTCCAATTCTGCAAATAAATAGATTAGTTTCTTCTACATATCTAATAACACACCTTGATATATTTGTACTAATGAATTACGAGTTTTTTCAAATAAGTTTGTTAAGATCGTTACGATTTACAATTTTTTCCCTTCAAATAGCTAATTAATAATGTGTAACATTTTCATAATAACACCCACGTTCTTTAGGTACCTACCTGTTGCTCAGTCTTGAACATGAACATGTTTATATTAAAATAATTAGTTATTCTAGTTACTGTATATTGTTAAATACTGAATAACAAAAAATGCCGAAAATTGTTATATTTAAAGCGAAACTTTCTTTAATCTTAAAGCGATTCTCTCACTCAATTGTATGTAATAAACAATACGAAGTACCTGGTTTTTAATAATTTCCTTTATTTTAATGATGTTAAAAGTAAATGAGGTTTAAATTTAAATGTAGTTGCATAATACGTTTCTCCGCATTCAGTTGAATTCGGCGACTTTATTATGAAATCGTGCATTGTCTCACACGTTTAGATTCAATGTGATTATACGTGTGATTTCATTACATAACTTCACTGTTTGATAAAGCTTAATGAAGCCAGAAAAACCTGTTCAACGGCAACCGGACTGTATATTTTATTATATCTTAGCTGATCATGAACGTGATGCTCTAAAAATTTCTGTCGCGTAAAGTATCTCTTTAGCCCTTATACGTGTAAGATACAAAGAGTTGGCTAACATTTCATGTCCTTATGAATCTTTGTCTTGATTACCGGTTCTTTTGCCGCTACATAATTATCGCGTACCACAGTTGATACTGGCTACTCAGTAATAAATTATTTACCGACTCTCCTTATGCAAACTTACGTAATTTTCCATAGAGTATTTTTAATATTTACATAGTGGTATCAATGTAAACCAAAATTAATCTTCCAGTCAGGTAGAGCTTAAACATGTAATCTATTGGTATTATAGAACGTAAGTCATAACAGATCTAATGCAATTTTTACTTGAAATACTTGTAAATATCATTTACATTTATCTACACGTAATTATAAAGGTAGGGAATATAATGAATTCATCGATGATTTCTTAGCGTAACTTATTACATGTTCATATTTACATAAATACAGAAAGAAACTGGCAATTGTATAATAATTAATAACTAACTTTATTTTTTTATTCAAACTATTGATTGTTATAACTAAGTAAGAGTTCTAGAATGCTTTTTTATCTTATGCTATAGTAAATCTCATCTCATACAAAGATGCTGAGCTATAAATGTTATGACATGTTTATGGCTCTATTGTTTTTGTAAGAAATCGCGAATGTGGTTCTGTGTTTTGTCTTACGCCCGAACCCTATAATGAATCCACAATCTCAGATTTAAATCAATCTTAGATCACACACTAACAGTCGATCGATCTCCTATCTGAATCCCAATTAACCAAACCCTACGAAGGCAATCCATTTTTGACGACGGATAGAATGCAATCTTTTCCCTCTTTGTCGTTCCATTTTACTGAGTTTACACACATATTTGATAATCAATATAAACGAAATAAAATTATTAAAACCGTACAAATAACATTACTCTACGCTAGTTGTTCCACTTGGACGCAGTCGTGCGGATCGGTACCGGTGTTTTCAACTTGGATGGCTTTATAATTTAAGGGTATACTAGCGACTCACCCTTGCTTCGCTCGAGTTCGTCCCTAACTTGTTTCCCAATACAAACCCCGTCATCCCCATTTTCACCCCCTTATGGGATGATTTCCGGGATAAAAAAATATTTTATGTATTTCCCAGGGTCTCAAACTATCTTCTTACCAAATTTTATCTAAACCGGTTTAATAGAATCAGAGATTACCCCCTACAACCTCACGAACTCACAAACTCACATACTTTATCCCATAATAATATTAGTATAGAATATAGATATTTGCTACTAGTTATCGCCTGAACCTTCACACGCGTGAAACTTCGCTAAATAATAGCTCAGAGATAGTTTAATGTATAGTATTATATGATCTGTAGTTTAATTTCCTTTTAGTAAAAGAATTTTTTGAGTCATATCAGTGTTTTTAGCATATTCTCTGAATTTACAACTTACATATTTAAGTTGTAAATTTAGCAGTTGTATTTACAACATATTATATCTCCATATAATAATAGTTTTGATGATTTAAATAGTATAATAGAATTTTTTTTTTCGAAAAAAAGATAATTTAGAGTACAGTATGGACTCTACACTTTTTTAACGGTAACCTTTTGCATTCTTCGCATATTTCGTCCCTTTCCGTTCTAAGACCCATCTTGTCGCACCCTTTGTGATTTATGCCCGCCCTTCTCCGTGAATGGAATGGCTCTTCCCGAAAGTGCTACTTATTTATTCCATTTTTAAAAGGGCCAACGGATACGATGTCTCCGGTGTTGTCACCACTATGCCAATGAAACGGTTCAAAAGGCATCACCGTGAAATATGTACATCAGTTTCATTCCAACGCTTGTTTGAGTTTCAACGGAAACGAGATTTTGTAAACGGAAAGAGGAGCATAGCTTTATAGTAATTTTTGTAACAGTGCGTACAGGGCCCGGCACTATTATTCCGCTCGTAACGCATGCGCGTGCGCCGCTGCGTGTTCAGTATCAGTTGCGGCTATAACACGACCAAGAATAGCCGTCACTCGGATTGTGTCCGTCCGAAGTGTTTGGACCCAATTGGTTTTTCATTAAACAGGCAAAACTGCAACAGTGCATAGTTCTTACTCTAGTGCGTTATCATATATTCATCTGAAAGTTCAGTTACCTGTTAAAGTTTAAAGTATAATTAACGAAAATAATCTATACATTACCTACTTCTAAATTTTTATAGATTTTTTTATCATCATTTGTATGCTTACATATTCTGATACCTAATTGATAAGAGTAATAATATAGATAACCACAAACCAAGTGACGCTCAGATACGCAGACTTCGTTTGCTGTAAACCTATTAGCACACATCGTGTTTACGAGCTTCATCGTACATTTAGTGCTTGTTTTAGATGCAACAGAACAGTGATTGTAGTGATACGTATGAGTGATGCGCCTGCGCCGATGCAAGTATAGCGTTGGACCTATTTTCGTAGCACGGAAATAAGAGCGGCAAAAGGAGCAAAAAGCATTCACTACCTAAAAACTTGAGGACGTATACATCTATCGAGTGTATTTTTGTCTGATGTGATCTAATGTCCAAAACTGTGGTGTATTTAGTTTAGTTGTAGTGACAAATTCGAAAATGAAGAAACGGACTATATCGAAACTGAAATCAATATTTGGTTCGAAAAAGGGTAAGCTGATGTTTTCACTCTATAGAAAACTTAAGGGTCGAGGAGCATTGATCAATATATTAAAAGATCAACAGGTATACTGTGTTTAGTTTTGTTACGTTTTATAGTAATTCTGTCAGTTAACACAAAATATTTAAGCTTGTTTTCAAATATTTTTGATAACATTACTTCATATAATCTAATCTTAATCAACGATTTATATTTTTATAAATTTACGAGTAACGAAAGTGTATTTTGAGGCTCAGTTCTCGAATTTTCTGAGCACCTATTGTAAATCATCTCATATTTCAGACCGAAAAATAAAATTACTATTTTGAAATTAATACTTAACCAGACTTACAGTTAACTATATACTAAACCTACTTTACAGTCTGTCTCTGTAGAATAAAAGACAGCTTTAACTGTTTATTAACGTATAATTTCTAGTTATTATATCTTATATAAGATCTTCAATGTTGGGGAAAATGTGATTCTTAATATGAATGAATTAATTTATTTATTTTTATTAATAAGTAGGTACGTTTTATATTTATCTGTATATTTTTCTAATCGGCCTTGAAAAAGACAATTCTCTATTCGGCTATTTTTTATCCTACGGCGTCCTATTTGCCTCAGGCCGATTATAAATTGATTTAATTTTTTTATTCTTTAGAATATTTTAGGAAGATTACATTTCCACGTAATGTACGTATAGAATTAATCCACTCTTAATGGTAATAATAATAAATAATAATAATATTATTTCATGATTATATAAGGTCGTTTTAATTTATTTGATTCCAAATTGTTATTTACAATTGCCGCTCTTGTTATAATTACATGTGACTACATAGAAATAGCTTTACAAAATTAAATGCCCATACGCATGCGATTTCTCAGTAGTATTTTTAATCGTCACGCTAAGGCAGTTATAATTTTTATTATCTCAATATAAAGTAATTTCGCTAGCATTCCTGAAAGTTGCACTGTTTACAAGTGCGTTTTACTAAATCACATTTCTTCACGCAATGCAGATGTGTACATAAGTTTTTATTTCACTTAACGCACCCCGCTCGGGATGAACAGCTGCTCGGTCTGTTTTAATAACATCCAGTCCTGAAGTGATTTTAAAAAGCTTTATAAATCACCCTTGTCAGTTTAAAGAAACGTATTATATAGTGCGACGTCTTTCATAATTGAATTTGCCGCCGCGAACACTAATTCGTTGTGTGATTTGTTTTAACGTATTCACAAATTAAACGTCAGCTTATCGTAATTAGTGTGTTACAAGTTATTTAACTTTGTTAGCGGGTGATATTAGATTTGGTGATACAAGTGACTATTTTTTCAAGATATTTGTCCTTCACTGGATTGTCATGAGCAATCTTTTCGTTTTGTTATGAGATTTGCTGAGTCCCTGTAATTCTAGTAAAGGAAATGTATACGGGCTCTACCAAGATAACCTAGGCAAATGGAGTTAGCATAAAGCATTAACCCAGTGATAAGCGCGTGTTAGGCATATTACGTTATTGGAGCCCGCTGTTTACGCTTATTGTTTTGTGTTCAGTGCTCGAGATAGCGCGCCAAACGTTACAAGTTTCTGTGAATTTGTGGGTTTTTTTTTCTTAAATATGCTCGCTTGTTTTTGTGGTAATCGGAAGTCTGGTAAGAATAATACTTATATATATTGAAATAAAAATATTTAAAATGTTACCTTTCTACATTTTTTATAGTTGTCTCTATCATTATTTTACATTTTATGATATGTCCAATCTAAGCAATAGCACAGAATTTAATGTGTATTTAAATTATTATAATTATTTCGTTTGACCTTCGTCTTACAACATAATAAAATCCGCGTTAAAATTAATGCTAAAATATTGAAGGTGACAAGCTAAGTAAAATATAGTCACGTGCCACCATCTCTACCTTAGTAGGTACGTTCATACGTAATACAATAATAATAGATAAATATGTTTGTTTATGTACAATTTTTTGTGTTACGCCTAAATATCTTTTATAACTGACAAAAAAGGGAAGTTTTCAAGTCGACGTGTATATTATACGAGTATATGTGCTCCCTGTTCACGCATGAACATTTTATTATGAATCTTATCGTCTATTTAAAAAAAATATATTAGGCATATCTGGAAGTTGTTTTCAATTTGATTAAAATATCCACCCCTAAACTGTTGGGAGTGGTAAAGTTTTGAAAAACATTAATTAGTAGATTTTAGTCTAAAATAATAAAATTGAAACAATTAACAAAAAAAATACCGGCAAGAAAAGAAAAATGTAAAAAATATAATGTATTTTATATCTTAATTTTTATTTAAACACTTTATTGACGTTATATTAATATATTGACGTTGTTATTGTGTTGACTTAAAAAGATTTTTTAAGTCGTTTTTATTCTTTAGCTTTAAGTATATTCATAAAACAACAGACTTTATTTTTTATCACTTATCAGACAAAGTTCACGATTCCATAAAAATATTATCTACTAAAGAGAATTTATTAGACCTATACCATAGCTGTATATAATTATTACCTCAAACATTATATAAAAAAATTTAAAAATATTTTTTTCAGACCAATAAAATGAACAGAACCGGTATTTTATATTTACTAATTAAACACATTAAGAAAAAATCAGTCTAAACTCTAAATATGTACAAAATATAATTTATGTAATGTAGAGGTGCTTGAGAAAATAAGACAAAATGTGATGAGAAAATAACGAGATTTTAAGTTTGAAATTTAATTGTTATACTGATATTTATATAATATAACTAGCGACCACCACAGTGGACCACCCTTACGCTTAGGGGTATGAAAAATAGTTTACGTCCTATTCTCAGACCTACTGAATATACATACACACAAAATTTCATAAGAATCGGTCAAGCCGGTTTGGAGGAGTTTTGTTACAAACACTGTGACACGAGAATTTTATATATTAGATCTATATTATAATGATTTGAATTAATTATCTAAAGTAGGTACATAGATGTAATAATAATTGGAAACGATTGTCATTATCACTATATCAAATACTAAATCTTGTAAATTATTGAATCCCGAACAACGATCGTCTCATATAAACAAGAAATATAGAGTCTGTTAAGTGTCTGAACACGCTTTGTTGAGTCTTTGCATCTTCGGTGAGAAAGTTGTTAACCTATTATTCCCAGTTCTATTTGTGATTTATAAAAGTATAACATTTTTTTGTAGTCAAGATAGGTATCTGTGCTGACTTTTCTTCTAATATATACTTATTAAACATGTACATTTATGTTGTGATTGAATTATTTTATATAACTTTCTATTTATTATATGCGCTCTAATAATTGTTTATTTAAAGAAATTATTATTTTATTTTATAATATAGAAATTATTATTTCTGTATAACTAGAGACTCACCCTCGCTCCGCTCGGCTTCGTCCTTACTTACGTTTTAACGTTTACTTAGTTTTTTCTCAGAGATGAGATATATTCTCGCAGTAAAAAGTATCCTGTATGTTGCTCCGGATAACTGATTATCATCATACCAAATTTCATCAAAATCCATCCAGTAGTTTTTGCTTGATGCGGTAACAAACAGACAGACAGACAAAAATTCAAAAAACTATAGATACCGCCTCTATTACGTTAATAATGTCTATTTCAATAAGATTTTCCAAAAAATATTTAATGTATAGATTCGGCTTAGTTACAACTTTATTATATGTATAAGATGTATATCGAAAATTATTTCTACCGCAATAAGTATGAAGTCTCTGTCTTAAAAACTATGTTTATGTACATACATCGATGCATGTGAGATTATATATTAATTATTTATAATATTTGTAAGCTTTAAACTTGCATCAAGATGGTACAACTTACAGTAATTGTTCTTGTTACTAAAAGCGGCGCGAGCGATGAATACCCGCAGTGCACAGCAAGTATTCGTCAGTTACATCAATATGACTGGCATCAATCTACTCTCGTTTTAAACGATATTTGAGATAGAATATTAATTTTCATAATATGAAATCGCGTACGATTGCGACGCAGCGAGCATGAAGGAGGTAAATTTCTATTTGTCTATTGGAAATATGAATCACTTTGCTTTCCCTGTATTAAGATAATTTTCAGATACTTTTTCATATTTGTAAGTTTATACTTCCTTGTTTTTTTTTGTTTTTTTGTTTATATCGTATGCCTATTTCGTTCAAGGTTACGAGTGGCGCCGGTATCGCAAAACTACAATAACAACAAGTTTTTCATTCAGGTTTTAAAAATATAATTGTTTAATATTTTTTAAAGTAGTAATTTACTTAGTTTATTTTTTTTTAAACCTGTTAAACTTGTTAATCGTTTAAAGCTTTTTATATCGAATATTCCCATAATGTGTGGCTAATGTGGTTTTTTTGTAAATAAATCATTTTAACACCTCCAGGTAAATTTCTAAGAAATTAATTAAAATTCAAAGAAATCTATTGTTAACTGACACGCCGCGCCGGCGTGTCCGCGGTCGTGGAGGGATTAATATTACAGTGTCCTTTTTATATATAAAAAACGGGACTGTAAATCCTAGGAAAAATGTAAACTCGCTAGTCTCATCTTCAAAATCTTATTTACGTAACAAGCGCAACGAGAAAAGTAAACTTCTTTAGTTGTGAGCCGCATACATGTTTCCCACGAGAGCCACCTATGATCCGTATAATAGTGCTGTCTAACGTAACCTTTCTGAAGAAAGTGTCCAACATTGTCTAATGAAGTATTTAATGTCTAAACCACCGTGGGAGTATTTTTTCTCACGTCGCAGACTACACAAGACTTGCGGTTTGTGGACAATGCGTGGTATTGTAAATTGATGTGGCATTTTATTAGGGTCATCAGACCAATAGGATCCTCTATTGTTGGAAATATTTTCATTTTTTTTTCAAAAAGACCCTAATATTAAAGAGAATGGTTTAAACTTCTTTCACACAGAAACTTGAATTTCGCTTTAATTTTGACGTACAGACAGGTTTATGAGTTGTAGTGAAATAATATGTAGATACTTTTTATCCCATTACAATGTGATATTAAAGGTACTTTTTAATTTAAAATTGTAAATGATCAGCATTTTGTTAAAATAATACGACTGTCGTCATGACAAATTGACCTGTGGATTCTCATACTTTATTTTAAGATAAGTATTTTTTTATTAGTGTTCATTGCATCGGTCATTGGTCAATAATATCTAACTCTGCCACCACTTACTCTTTTATAAATAATTACGAGAGATGCATTTCATTTGATCGATGACTTTGATATGTCGGACTCGGACACGTAATATTCTATATCTAACACAGTATAATGTTTCTTTATTTCTGCTGATTGCACAAGAAATAATATCGAATTTTTGATAAACGTGACTTTCACATATGTAATTTTACATTTATCTTAGTGTCTAAATTTCGTGCAAAAGTTGGTCTCAATATTTACTCTAATTAAATATCGCGGTTTATTGCATTTACGGGTGAATTATAATTTAAAACTTTGGGCTATAAGTTACGCTTTCTTGTATAATCGAAATGAAATTAGTTTTCGTAACAATTATTTAATTTACAACACACCGTTCAAAGACATAATAATTGTTTATACATATATCTATATAATAAATTTTTATTGTTTTTTCTTAGAGTTAACAAACTGTACATATAATGTGCTTTTTTATCTTATGACCATATACACATATTATGTATATGGCAAGAAATTGCGTCTTAATAGACTTATTTTATATTTTCCTGTTCGTAATCGATTAATAGTAGAATTTGCTGTAGAGCTGCTGTTTGCTTTTTAACCGACTTCATTTGCAGTAAAAAACTTTACGTAACTATTAAATAATATAGTTATTGCCAACGTCCACAATCACCAAATAATCAGCGTGGATATTGCTATAGTTTTAAAACTAAAGATTTAGATCACATAAACTTAGGCGGTTAGTAATATAAAAACGGCCACCTCTCAGTTTTTGCGTTTTTCTAATGTCATTGAAAGGTTAACAAGAAAATAATTACGTGGATTGTTTAAATCTCAACAATTTTATTGTTTTTATGAGATGGTTTTTTCTTTTGTATATTTCTTTGTACTAGGTAGGTACCTATTATTCCTTTTTATAATACTATTTCTAATTTATATATTTCTCACCAGATTTTCCTATATAATGGCCTATATAAATCTACCTACTGTTAAAATTATACAATAACGAATCACTGTTAGGCGTTTAAAATCAAATCCACACCCTAAAATGTTTCCCTATACAACTGTACCAGGTATCGCCTAGCACAGGCACCCCATATTAAAGTGTGTATATCTTCTAATAATTCTATAGTTACAACTGTCCCTTGTCAAGACAAGTCCCAATTAATGTAATCTTTATTTTAGAAATTACATTAAGGGCCGCTCCACACTATTAGTGCCGATCACAGTCCGTTCTCGGTACGATATCGGTCTGGTAAAATATTTCTATACAAGAAACATTGCTGGAGCGTGATTCGACCGGAACGTGAGTCTTACTGATAGTGTGAATGCACTTATTGTTTCTTGTATAACTATACTTTACCAGACCTATATCGGACCGAGAACAGACTGTGATCGGCACTATAGTGTGGAGCGGGCCTAAATGTCCTTATACTGACGGCCCCATTACTAACCAATTAAAAAAATTCACCTTCAAATCGTTGGCTATCCATCTCCACGCTGATGGCATTTTAGATAACAGCCTCAAAAAATATCTTGATATTAGTAAATATTCTATAGACCTTTCTTGAGATGCTATCGTAATTGAGAAATATTAAGGCCAGCGGTATCTCGCGGCTTCAATTAACGGAGTGTAGCTCATAAACATTAATAATAAGTAATAACGTAATAAATAATCGCGAAAGTTGAACTTTACTCTTCATAACGTACATAATCTTGTGTAAACCATCTTTCGCAAAGAGTAAATAATTTGCCGAAAATAATCTAGGCAATATACGCTCATAAGATCTTTTACGCATGAACTTTAGAGAGCATTCAGATCGTCGCTGTTTTATAATCATTTGTAAGTCGTTTCATTTTCCATACACTCTGACTCCATTTGAAAATCCAAAATAAATTAATTAAATTCATAAATAGCATGTAATTTTATTCACTTATCTATGAAATTAATTTTTTGTTTGTACCTAGAGCCTAGATAAATGTGTTAGACTGGAGGGTAATCACCCTCCAGAGCGGTGCGTTAATTAGTTAGTAGATATATAGTATAGTTTAAATCTTATGTTCTTTTGTAATATTTCTAAAAAAAAAATTTTTTTTCATTCCTTTCTAAATTACAATATTATGCAACAGATTTAAAAATATAGAGATTGTAAAAAATTATATATAAGTTAAATAATACTATTATTTATTTAAATACATCTACTTATATCGAATTTTTCGAGTCCTTCTTTGATGAATGACAGGTGGAAGCAGATTAACACAATTTAAGTATATAAAAATATCGTATCAGATTATAAGCTATTTGTATACCTAAACGTGGTAACCCAAGACGTTGTTTGCTCGGCGTTCATTACTTGCACTGAATCCTTTGATGTGTTTCGGTCTTCGGACTCGACGGCAGACAGCGGTCCGCTTGTTAGTCGTTACCAGCCTGCTGTTAAATAAACCTGTAGCAATTTATGTTCGCGGCACGCGTGAGCGATGTGCTCGGCATAACGAGCGGGTTTATTCTCTTCATTATTGAGGCTTGGGAACGGTGAATATCTTCTTGGAAAGGTGATAATTGGTAAAATCCTGTGGATGGACCAGCATTGTAAATGCCTTTTTAGTTTTTGTACACGATTTGTATGCGAGATTTTTATCATCCTTTAGAAATTGAATATGGTAATCTGATTATGTTAAATTTTACATATATAGTATATTATACTTTACTTAATTTACATTCTAGCATAATTTGATATGGGAAACTACGTATAGTTATATTTTATATTCTTGTTTATTGGATGGTATGTCGTTTATAGTTTAATAACCGCATGTCGAATAATAATTTTTACTATTTCTCAAGCAAACAGCAAGCGCTTATTTAAATCCAAGGTCGCATAACAGGTTTATAATTGAATGAAATTCTTTAATATAGCTTAATATAGCAAATATTACATAAATTTGGATAAACATATATCAACAAAACCGGAATCGGGTGTCGTTGTATGTGATTATGAAAAGGAAGCGGCTACTCAACGTCGAGTTTGAGCCTATTAGTTGAATACGAAAATAGGGGACTTGAGTTTATTAATTTACGCTTATTGTAACCAAAGTCGTTGGATCGTATCTTAGTTTTTATTATTTTATAGTATGTTTTAGCAGACTCGACCGATGCTGTGCTATTTCATAATTATTATTTTTTTTGTAATATTTAAGCTCACATGAAAATTTTAGTCAAATAAGCTATTAGTTTTTTTCAATTTACAATTTACACATTTACAATTTTCCAAATGTACAAGTGACTTTTCCATATTTTTTCCTAAAAACTTCGAATTATATCTTTTTATTTGATATGATATTATTATTTTTTTAAATGTCAAATCAGCTGCGTCGTTTTCAAATGACGCGTTTACAAACGAACAGCATTTTATTTATATAAATAACTCAAGATAAAGTAGGTACAGGATTTAATCTTCTAGTAATTACCTGCTCAAGATGATTTGATTTCGTGGTAGTAGTATAGTATCTAGTATTGCAGTAGTACTTATAATTAACTAGCGTTTTCCTGCGGCTTCGCCCGCATAGTACTTTAATCACCAACATATATTATACTATATAACCTTCTCCGAAACACGCTGCATCTTATGGTATGAGTATTATTCCAATCGGTTCAGTAGTTATCGCAGTATAACCGAACAAAAAAAATTGGCTCTCCATTTATTAGTATAGATATGACAACTAATAACCAAAACATTTTATTTTGAACATTAAAATTTTATTAATTAAAACATTAAAATCATATTTTACTTGATTTTTGCAGTCCTTCAAATTACTCTTTAATGTTAGGAAATCGCGTGACCCTATGCTCGTGATTCTACAAAATCGATATGGAGGTTCTAGACGACGTTGCGTCATGTTTACCTTCTCAATGCCCTTGCATGTGTTTTACATTGGAACTAAAATTATAATAATTTGTGGGAGAAGATCTAAATACAAAGAACACTTAATTTAACCTGAAGAAAATTTATAAAATATATTTCTGTATGTTTAATTTAAATATTTGATACGTAGAGACTAGGTACCTATATGAATATCGAAGGCGCTATATGTGTCCTTGTAATCAGAGCGCCCACCAATACTCTAAACGTCCGTCTAAAGATAATATTAGACAACTAAACATTTCACACATTGTTTGAGTTGTAGTATATGTGACAAGCAAATATTGCGTTAAATGGTAAACACCATTTTGTAATATTACAGTATACTTAGAGTTCAAATAAATTAACGCCTCTTTACAATAATTCCTTGACTTTAATCTGTCACTATTTGCACCTACAAATGAAATATTGCAAAAAATATAAATACAAGATATCTTTGTAATTATTTATCACTGTCCAAGCTGGCAAGAAAAGCTCATATTTATAAATAAAAATTACAGGCAAAAAACAACAAGAGCATCAGCAGTCTTCCAAGTCTTCTCGAGCGACGACACCGGAGTCTTTGGAACCGGTATCTCCAATTGGAAATGAATCGTTCCGGCCAATACTTCGTACTCCACCGCCTTCGCGAGTCGGGCCCCCTCCATCACCTCCAGTGCCCACGTCACCTATAGCCCCTGTAGCCCCTGAACCTTCGGGTCCATTACCGTTGTCACCATGCCCTGTATGTGGCCGCACGTTCGTTCCCGCATCACTTGCGAAACATGTCAAAATATGCGAGAAGATGACCGTGAAGAAGCGAAAAACTTTCGACTCTTCAAGACAACGGCGTGAAGGTAAATATTTATTGTTTTTTTTTATTTAATTAAATGCTTTGATACAGCAGTAAACATATGAAATTTAAAAGTATTTTGATTCAGATCACGGTGGTGGTGAATGTCTTTGGTTGGTTTGTTAACTAAAACACTATTAAAGAATCCAAAGTTGTTTACGATATGCAAGACAATAGAACACTGCCATTAGTAGATCCTTTTGATGTGATATGTATTAGATTAGTTGTTTCTTTTTCTTGTACTTTGTACAGCATGCTTGAATTAGAAATGTATTGATATAAACCTTCTATTTTGTGGGTAACAAGGGCTGGCCACAGAAACCGGTAATGGTTTTGGTGAGTGAGTGAACCATTTACATGGCATTCTATGTCAATTAACTGTTATTGTCGAATGTGAACATATTACTAACATTAGAGCATTATACGTAACTTGCGTATTCCGCGTTAGTACCTAATAAATCTAGAATAAGCTACATTGACGTGAATCGTTAATCTGTATTGACCTAGAAGTCTAATATGGTTAATGGAATATGTAGTTGTATTTAGGTATATTCTATAATGGAATACGGTGGTGTGGTACTAAGTAGTGTCGTGAAAGTTGACTTGATCTTAATATCCTCTTTCGGATGAATGAGTCTAAGCTCGTTCAATGGATTTATAACTAGATTTTTTTTAAACTAGTCCTTGTGCGGTTAATAAATCTGAAAATGAAAGTTTTTTTAACGTTATTGTAAGAATTTTTAAATAATTCAATGTTAATTTTACACTCCGGTGAATACGCTTAAACTTAAAAGGCGTGGTTAGCATACTAAAATACAAGGTCGTCTGTTAAGTTGACGATATCCACAGGGAGTACATTCAGCTCACTTAGTGTTTCTCGGACATATTCAAATATTATTGTATTCCATTTACACATAATGTCAATTCTTTAATACAATCGTAAAGAGGCTGCATTTGCATAAAGTGTGTGTTGCGCTTAGTTCGGTAACAGCCGCCTACGGCCCAGCTAACTCGCTCAGCATATGGTTATCATGAATCATGTTTATAATTAAGCTTTATGAGGGCATGGATGAATGTTCTACCTGTTTCGTTTTGTGTCTTCGATTAAATGCACGTGTAATAATTCTAAATTATAAACAATTAGTTACTGAGGCATCACAAGAGGAGATTATCACAAATCACAGTAGCATGTTCACAAGATGTACCACACTTACAGGCACGGACTTAGAACAATACTTGCCAAAGAATTTCGGTCTTCCAGAAAACAGCCCCTTCCTCGAGAAGAGCCCACCTAACACTGCCAAAGCTGCTATCAAACCTAAGACTCATTCGGTCAGGAGTGTGATAACTAAGGTAGGTTTATTTTAATATTTATCAGTAATATAGTTTTAGAACTGGTCAGGTTTTCTGTAAGTACAAAATGGCTGCATAATTTCCAATTTTGTTATTTAAAATATTCTTGCTTGATAAAAAAATATATTGGACAAGGTTTTGCCTTCGCCACTTGTGCATACTTAAATAATTTTCTAAAAAATTAACGATTCTTAACCCGTTCGTCAACAGTTTGAGGTTGTAAGAGAACGCCATTTGCAAAAGATTTTATTTGTGACATATTCTGTAGGCACCGGACCTTTTCTCATTTAAAGTAACATCATGAGCCGTATTGTTTAACCGTATTTTTGTTATGTTAATCGCTTCTTATTAGTGTCTACGGTGAACAGAAAGGTTGCTTTTCACGTTCCTAGTTTTCTCTGTAGGTACTAACAGTTTCATGTTAGAAACTGTTGTATAGAAATGGGTTAGTGTCTTTTTTATTTGTAATCATTATAGAAAGTATTAGTAATAAAAAAATACATAACATATTATTTCCCTATATCTAAAACTTAAGTAATTCTAGTAAATAAATTAACATAATATAACTATTGTTACAAGTGACGCTGTCAAGGCAAGTAAGGTTGGTCTTTCAGCACTAATAAATACTTACATTTAAATTGTTTTCAATTATATAGTGCATTGTAAATTAAGGAACTCTACATCTGTTTACCAAGCTCTGCTCTAAAATTCCTCGATATCGAAATAAAGTGCCTATTGCATTATGTATATAAATAAAATTAATTTAATTACATAAGTAAATTAAATTAATTTTCATATACTAACATACTCGTAGATAAAAGTATTATGTGTGTAGGTATACAAGTGGGTTGTTACTAACATGTGGGAGAAAGTTGTCTAAATAAATGTATTATTATTTATTATATATTTAAATTAAAAATCATTTATTGATGTAGAATCAGGGCGATTACTTATCAATGTCAAAAACTTATAAACTATTTTTGTACCTACATCTTTTCATATTAATAATTAATATCAGTCCCATGCCTTTTTATGATATTATGTATAAATGCCAGCCTACAGCGGATCTCCAGAAATGTCCGCATTGTCACCGCGCATTCGGAATACGCGCGTTCGAGCGTCACGTGGAGTGGTGCGCGGACAAGGCGAAGATACTGCCGGCGGCGCCCGCGCAGCCGCCGCCCCACATCGCTGACGCTAAACAAAGGCTCAATGCGAGGACCCAGTATAAAGCACCGCCAGTGCGCGGGAGACGGTGAGTTTTATGGCCGATTTCACCAACGTCACCTAAGTTTAAGGGATCCCCTAAGCATAGTTAGGGGGCTGTTAGGGGACAGTTTCTGTTTCACCGACAGTTAGGGGTCACCTAAATGTTAAAATGCCACCTAAATATAGGTACATACTAGAAATACGGGTTCCGACGATGGTAAAACGAAATTTAATTTAGGGGTTAGTTTAGGGATTTTTTTAAGCTAGGGATCCCATACGTTAGTGGTAGTTTAAGTGATGTTGGTGAAATCAGACATGAATATTTTGAACTGGCTCGAAGCGGTGCTCGATAATTTATGGTTCATATGAATGTTTCACTTTTTAAATGGGGTCATTTGGATAGTTCTAATTCTGGTGTTTTTAATTCTTTACTCAATACACGTATTACAGAAATAGACTTATTGTCGGTTGAAAATTCAAAAAGTAGAAAGAGAAATGTAGCGAACCGATGTAGCAGACAAATTGTAATATTACGAATTAAAATAATCTCATACGTATAAGTTTATCTATACACAATAAAATTTTGACTCGAATCTGTATATTAAATATATTTTTGGAAAGTCTTATTGAAATAGTAATTATTATCGTTACAGAGGCCGACTCTATACTTTTTAGAATTTTTGTCTGTCTGTCTGGGCAAGCATCGCGTGAAAACCTTGATGAAATTTATAGGTATTATGAGAGCTGATTATCCAGGTCAACGTATACATTACTTTATACTGCGGAAAAATATCTCTTCTCTGAAAAATCTATACTAACCATGAAAATGTACCAGTGTAATGCTAGTATAAAATATAAATGAATTTTATTTTTATTCCTAGATCGTCCCAAACTCGGGAGAAGTCGTCGAACAGCCGGTCGGCGTCGGTGGAGTCGACGCGCGGCATCTCACCGCCGCGCGAGTTCGGGGACTACAGGCATGCACGGACTAGAGCCTCAGGTCGGTTACTTATCTTTTTATCATTATTATAGATGATATACAATTGGACTAAATGCGAAATTTTGTATGTGTATATGGTTGTTACTCATTGGACGGATGAAAATGAAATTTATTATACAGCTATTACTATGACTTGGAGTAATAGACATTTTAAGCACTTGAGCAAAATGTGGATAAGCCGCCAGAATTATAAATACGAACTTTTATGAATTATTGTTTTTGTTACTTCTCGCTGTAAAGCCTTATAAGATTTGAATGAAATTTATATATAGACTCTGTCAGAAAAGTGAATTGATAACAATTTGAATACTCTTAATAATAGACTGCCAGGTATTGTGATGTCTGTTTATAGAACTTATTTATAGGACATAATATTATAATTTACTAATATTGATACTTCTAATAATAAAATTTTAACTAAACCGAATCTGTACATTAAATATTTTTAGGGAAATCTTTGAAATAAACATAATTATCGATACAGAGGCCGAATCTATAGCTTTTAGACTTTTTGTCTATCTGTCTGTTACCGCATCACAGAAAAACCACTCGAGGGATTTTGATGACGTGATAGCTGGTTATCCGGGTCAACTTATAGGATACTTTTTACCGCGGGAAAATGTCTCATTTCTGAGAAAAAATACAAAAACTGCAATGTAAGAGTATACTAATATGTAAAACCTAAGAATTTGGTTTTTGGTCATCTGAATGCGGGCGAAGCCGCGGGTAATGCTAGTTAAATATATAAAATTGTAAGCACCAAAATATATAAAATATAGCAAAATTCAATGTAAAATAAATTTCCATGGCGGTAATTGGCATAAAACCCCATAAAAAATAGTATCATCTATGAATAAGCATTAAGCAGTATAACTTATTATAATGGTAAAATTATTTGATTTCTGGAACTAGGTAATTTATCTTTACCTATTATTATATAAGAGAAGTTTTTCAATTAAATAATGATGATATAGATTAATTTCTTTTACTATTTTTTCTATTTCCTTCATTATAAATTTAAATATATTTGCAGAATCGATGTCTAGCAACGACTGTCACGACGACATCTCACCGCATATGCCTGTAATAAGAAACTCGAGGGCTCCACAGAACAGTTCGTCCGGCGATGCGAATGTTAAGGCGAGGCAGGCGAGGCTTGCTAGAGACCTCAGCAGCTCTAGGTATGATAGATAACACATACAAACATACATACGTATACGTACATACACATTTATATTATCTATATACTAATTGTATAATAATTTTAAGACGAGTCTTTTGGACAATGATAGGCGTATAGCAAACAAATCTACAGTTACTAGAATAAGATTTTTATATTGTAATTTGTATCTCTTTATTATAGTTGGACGGATTCGAATAATACTGACTTTATCGTACAGCTAATAGTTAAATTATTACGTATATATGTACTTATTACATATTGGGCTACTCTTGAGATACATATTATGTAATCGTTAAAATAGAAAATATTTCGTAACATTCTCCTGTTTTCAAGTCGGTTAATGGTAATGGTAACGGAATTACACACCAAAAAACAATAGCCTTCAATCTCTTAAGCATATAATCCATTGGGTTATCTGTATTTTTGACTATTATTATTAATAAATATCAGACAAAAAGGCTTTGTTAATATAATAAGTATTTTGTTAATTTAGTATATTTAAAAACTGTTATACTATCATACGTAGTCATATTCGCATAGATTTTTTTTCCAAATAAGGGGAAAGGAAGGAGTAAAATGTATTAATGCAATATTTGAGTTTAATTGGCAGAATACCATAGCATTTATTGACTTTATCGTTCCTGTCTCCTTGTTTGTGATTTTTTCCTGGAACCCATTGAAAGTCCTTCCTTTCCTTTTCCATAGAAATATCCAAGAATCCCACACATGCTCTGTGCAACAAACCAAAACCGATCCTAACGTTAATAAAAAAGATGCTCAAAAACCTATAAATAGACTTAATGTCAAAAAAAGGAAACAGTTAAAGAAACTTGAAGAGATTGCCAACAAATATGCCGAAAAAAATAAAAATACACAAGAAAAATCTAATGAAAAATCCTATAATAAAAGTGTTAATAAAAATGAAATTTCATCTAAAAGCCAAATTCCTGTACCAAAGAAAGTAATGCTAAAAGAAGCAAAGCAAATAGAAAATGAACTTTGTTCAGAGAGTAAATCTGACCATTCTAAAAATATACATGAATCTAATGTTCAATTATCGAAACCATCTCCAAAAACTAAAACAAAAGAAAAACAATATTCATCAAAGAAAATAAAAGAGAGTACTATGAGTTTAGACAGTCTCGATGAACCTATAGATACAAAACAAAGAAAGAATTGTCAATCAGTAGGAATAAATACTGAATTGTTATGCCCGTGTGTCCCGTGCGTAATACACGAAACAGACAATACACCGCTGACTAAAAAACAAAATAACAACATAAAATTCACCGCAAATGTTGTAAATTTAAAATACAGTAAAAAGGATGATTTAAATCAAGTCGTCGAATTACTGTATAAAAATCCTAACATGGTTAGTTCTTGCGATATTGAGATTAAAAAAATTAACGAAGATATTAATCTAAATGAAACTGAATCTGCTAAATATTTTAGTAAACAATCAGTAACAGATACATGTAAATCGTTTAATGATAATCAGTTCTGCATAAAAGAAGATTCGGTAAAAATTACCAATGCGATAGAGAACACAGTGATACCCGATGTTGCTGAATCAAAACAGATTATATTAGAAAATAGCAACGATAATATTTCACATTTATCAATAGAGAATATTGAAGAAAACTACGAACATGATTTAAGTGAAGAAAATTTCGAGGATTCCTTTGATGATAAAAAAAATATAAGCAATGAAGAAGAAGACAGCAAAAACAGAATTTGTCGTCATGGCAGTGGTGACACGTATACTAAGTTCTCTGAAGACCCAGCAGATTTAGAGGAATTTCTTTCTTTAACTGATAAAATGATAGATGATCACGAAAAGAGAGAAGCACAAAAATCTGATATAGAACAATGCATTGAAAATATTCACACTCCTCGAACTAATTCTATGGAATCCATGATCAAAGATGTTGCTGATAAGAAGGAAATTGTTAGTCCTAGGTTAAAACCCCTTTTCTCTGACACTTTTGAAGAGTTGAAAAGTAACTTAAAAGATATTTTAAATGTAGGTAGCGATGAAACTGATATTATAAATAACAATAAAAATGTTGACGCAAATAAAAAAAATTGTGATATGGAACACATTACAGTGTATGGAATAAAATTTTATGACCGAGAACCAACAGTTATAAGTGATTCAGAAAACGAATTAAAGCTAAAATTACCATCGATTAGTGAAAACAATAAGTGTACACGAAAAGACGTTAAAAAGAAAAGCAATATATATAAAGTAAATAAGAAATGTAAAATGTTGGGTCAACATAAGAGATCTGATAGTGATTATAGAACGTTCATCATAAAAGAGAATCAAGAAGAAATCAGTGACGGAGTGCCGCCTTTGAAGTTGCCTCGTATTGACAATAAGAGGTTTTGTTTGCCTTCCTCTTCCCATTGCTTGGTTGAATTAGGGCGTATTCATAATAAGTATAAATTTTTTAATATAATAATACTAATATTTATGTAAGGAAGCGAATACGCTCTCGTTCAATCAACTCTCTCTCGATCCAACTCATTTTAGTGATCATTACATTTTTTTCACCAGGCTAGGACGCATTTTTAAACATAAATGTATTTAAATATTTGTTTTCGTTATATATTTTCCAGACTTGACGATAATTACGATCCCTTCGCATCGGCAGCTAGACAGATGAAAGAACTTATGTCCTCAGACACCAATATACCTAAAAAATCCCAAAGTTCCAAAGATCTAAGCAGAACCCTTCCTAGCTTACGCCCGTCTAAAGAAAAAATATCGACATCGTACCGTTCTGATAACACTAAAATGATTAAAGACACTTTAAACAAAACTTATCAAAAAACCCCGACATTACAAAGAATGAAATCGTTTGGTAGCTCTAATAATGAGAATAGTACTAACACATTCGGTGGCAGGTGTAGTTCCTTCAGATTAAACAGAAACGATAAGAAACCTACTCCAAAACTCAATACAACTTTCACAAAATCGAGTAAAGAAAATATTAGCACGGAGAAAACTTACTTTAGTCGCACTAGTAATTTAAACAGATCGTTTTCGAGTTACTCTAACTCGACCTATAGTACCCCCAAACTCAAAGATAAAATCCCAAAAATGTCGCAATCTATGCATCATGGGTTTCAGCGTAATACAATAAAACAACCGCTAAAATTAGACAAAATAAATAAAAATGAAGAAAAGAAAGACTTAGTTAATCTCGACGCGATCCTTGCTTATGATAATACTTCTATGACGGACAGTAGTTATATAGATCCCAGACTCATTAACGAAAATGATAATCTGCCAATTAATGTTAATACAATATTAAATAATCCTGACATGATAAGTAGCATGGAATCCTTGCTAACTACTGAAAACTTACCCGCTAAATTCGATTCTTTTAATACAGTTAAAAACAATCACAACGAAAAAAATATGTCAGATTCCCTATATAATAATAAAGTTGAGAAAAATAATAACCATAGCAATAAAACGAGCCCTCCCTCAAATTTTGGTTCTCAGTACGATAAAATTATGTCTTCTTTCGAACAAAGCATTGCGTCAAAGACTTCAGTGAGAGACGACGATTCTCTCTGCGAAGACTTTGATATCGAAGAATTCATGATTACATTCGATGAGGAGGTTCTTAAGCAAAAATCTGAAAAGCGTACATACAGTTCTACAACTAGAGTATTCCCGCAATCCGAACTCTGTAACGGTACAGAAACAAAAGTCGTAAATTCACCAAAAATAGTAAATAACAGTAGTAATGGTTTGATTCCAGTTAACAAATCCACTTCTCTTATTTTTAGCAGTAACAATATCGTAGGCGATAAGCTATTCCCATCCTCAGTCAAACGTTCCACATCCCTCCTTGATTCCATTCAGAAGAAATCGGGACCAAAACTAGACAGCACCAAGAGTCGTCACAAAACTGACCAACTTGAGCAAGATTTGATGCAGTCTCTGAAAGATTTCGACAAATTCTACGAATCCGAAAGGGTAGACAACCACACATCGAACAAAGAGATTGTTAATAACAATAAAAATTTACATAACGAACTGAAAAAGAAAGATCTTCGTCGTAAAAAAGATCAGAAAATGAACAAAAATGACTCGATTACCAACGGAAATCACACGCCCAATGGGAAATCAAGCAATGACTCGGCGTATAGCAGGTTAGTCAGGTAACTGATAAAAGCCGTGGTGGGAATATTATGCTTATTTTTTTATTCTTGCTTCTATTAAACTAAGAACCAAATAAGTAAATATTTATACTTGTTAATTTTTCAGTTTGAACAGAATTTCGCCATCTAAGTTATCATTGTGTAATGCAAAAGAGAGTAATGGAGCTAATTCGCTCGAACAAATCCCGGCTGGTTCAGACTCGGGTGCAAGTCACAAAGATGAAGTACGCTCTATATCTAGTGATGAGTTCTTAGCGATGGAAAGATCAGCGGAATTGGAGGAACCGATATCTCGTACTGAAAATATTAAAGAGTTGAGCGCACCTTCTATTAATGGTAAGATTATACGACTGTATTGTTTATATATATTTTTTATGTATTCTCATGATAAATTAACAATACTATTTAACATAACAGAAGACTATAAAATTAATATATAATGCATATGATATAATTCCAAATGCTCTTTCGCTAATGATATTGATTTATTCTATTTGCTATACTTCATACTACAATATTTATTTTATCTAGACTCTTAATTCTAAAACAGATAAACACACACTATCACGGGCATCATCACGTCAAAGTCCTTGGAAGCGGCAAGAAAACCTGAGCTCTAGTAGTTCCGAAAGCATACACCGCCGGGACCCGAACCCACCACGCCTCTCGCGCTTTTGCCACGAATGCGGGAGTAAATTTCCAGTGGAAACTGCCAAATTCTGTATAGAGTGTGGTGTCAAAAGGCTATTAGTCTAGTAACATTTGTGTATGGGTGATTTCTAGTCTATATATCGTGTGGGCTGCCTGGTCGCAGTGCAACAGAATTGTTGTTTTTTAATTGGACTCGGTTACGTTCGAATGTACCCACGAATGTGTTTATGACAATAAAGTGATAATTGTATGTTGATTTCAAAGAAATATTTAATTTCTAAACTAATTTGAATACATGAATTATCATAATTATATATGAATGGTCTTGTATTTGTTTGATGGGAACACATTTTGATCCAACTTGGTCCAATTAGAGGTTGTGTGTACTTATATAAAATGTTTAAGTTTGCGCTTGTTTTAAAAGTTTGACTTGAAACAGAATCTTTGATCAAATGAGAGTAGAGTGAAATTTAGATATAAAATTATTTATTATTTTTAAATTTCCTGACAAATTAAGATGAAGTTTGTGATTTAAAAAATTTTCGCATTGTTTTTTATAAACGAAACGATCTCTTTATCACAGCCATTTATGAAAAAGTGCACATTTTTTTATAATTATGGAATGAAATGATCTTTTTGAAAATGATACGTTAATATATTGCTTACTTTTTAAATATACACAGAATAATAATTATATTGTTTATTTATATCGTAGTGTTACCAAATTTAGATAACGGACTCCCCCTTAAATTAGTGCCTTTACATTTAGATAGATTTGACGAAATCCTATTTTATATCATAAATGTTCAACTACGTTCGACAATGGGGCCAGATACTTAGATACTGAGATCTGTGATACGTCGAGCGACAACAACCTCCAAGTTATTGAAAGTGTCAAGTGCCAATTTAACTTTGAATGTGAATGTAGTTTTGTGAATCTATATTTTATTTATGTTTTGCACTTGTTAGTAATTGTATTGATTTTTTTATATTTTAGTTAATTTTCCAATATTTCTAATTATTAACAATTCTTTTCTACGAATGTAGCCATTTTTAACAAGACTGATTTAATTTTCAAACATTTGAAAGTATGATCCTAACTTAATGTTGTAATGCATTGTTTTAATAATGATTACGATATCATGTAATAAATTAACATTTGAACATTGTTTTTTTTATTTATCGCACCCATAAGAAATTAAGTAGTAACCAAGTTCGAGCAATAATGTTTTATAATATAGATACGATATATGCTCACAAAACTAGTGAAAAAAAGTGTTCCGAGTCCAGAAGCAGCACACATGCTCGCACATTTAGCATGGTAAGCAAAGTGGGAAGCACGTGCGTATTCTTTACTTATTCGAAAGCTAACGTAATACTGAGGGCCAATGGAATAATGACTCAATGGAGGCAGTAAGTCCGCTACTGACACACCTGCCGCAGGGGCAATCTAGGAAGCACGGCGGTCGGGACAATATCGGAGCTGTCTTTACACACATGTGACAACTGACATGCCTGTTATTCAGTGTTCGGGTAGAAGTGGAGCTAAACCCACGCGTTAAGAATGGTCCCAGTATTATCAAAAAATTAAAAGACAGTGTTGCCAACACTTAAATATAAATATCTAGAAAAGGATGTAAAGAAAATGTTAGTAAACCACCTTATCCTAATGGAGTTGGGTAAAAAATATTAATCTTCAAACTGTTATTACTTACATTTATTATTAATATTTACATAACAATCAAATATTTACAAGTTCTGGTCACACAGCAATGTCAATGAAATATAATATATTTGATATCTATTTGTATTTGTTAGTCATTAATCATCAGCATTAAAAAGAAGTAATGTAAGATTTTTGTTGTGGTAAGAATATTGTACATTGTATTATGCAGGCAATCTTATAACTAACTTGTTTAAAGTTATTTGAGCCATTAAGCTACGAGGTAAATTGATTTAATACATAAACTATACACACTTACCTTCTGTAAATAATCAGAAAATTTCATAAATATTTTACTGCAAAATAAAAAGTATACTTTAACTAAATAAAACTATCTTTTCGGATTTTGTTGCGGATTTATTTTCATTTTTTTTTTTTTTTTGTTTCCCGACGTTTCGAATGCTTTACAGCATCCATGGTCACGGGAGAGACCCGTGACCATGGATGCTGTAAAGCATTCGAAACGTCGGGAAACAAAAATGAAAATAAATCCGCGACAAAATCCGAAAAGATAGTTTTATTTAGTTAAAATGTCAAATATTCGCGTAAATCTAAGAAAGTAAAAAGTATACTCTTCATTGGCTTATTATGTAATCAAGGATAAAATACATAATTATATAACATATTTACTATAGGCGAAACATATTTTTATATGCTTTTCTTGTTGGTATTGATCCTCTTACTCTTAGTCTACGTAAGGCTTCACGAAGATGTTTAGGTTGCAAAGGCCCAGGCTCCCCAGACTTCTCCAATACCTCTAAAGCTAAAAAATTATAATATATAACAAAAAGGCACTCAATTATTATCAATCTTATTTTTTATAATTGGAAAAAAGGAAATTGTTTTCTCATAAACATGTGAATTTAACATAAATGAGAACAAATAAGCTTTAAATAGCCAGTATTATTAAATTTACCTTCTTCAACAACTTCTCCAACAAAGACTTTAGCAATACCAGACATGGCTATGACAACATTCTGTCCAACTGAAGTACCAGTAATAGTTTGCATTAATCTTTTGACAGCCGCTTTAGGAAAAGCTGCCCGTCTATACATTTCATATCTATCCAGTTGCTCTTCAGTAAAATTGGATACTAACACTCTGAAAAATGAAGAATGTCATATTTAATTATACTCTTGACATGTAAGTGGTATTTATTTTAACTATAAATAAACAGAATGTAATATGATGTGACAAATTGTTGTAGTTTTTAAGTCCTCAATATTAAAAAATATTTTTAATATTATGAAAAGTTAAATAGCCTAAGTATAATACAATTATATGTACATACTGCATTTTCTCTCTTTCTTCTTCTTCCAATTCTTTTTTTGTTTTCTTTTCTCTTTCCCTTTCACTCAAAAGCATTTCTTCTGTAGTTTGATATTCAGCATTATTAGAAGATTCATTATGATCAAAGTCATCAATATTTTGCATTAAAATACTATCAGTATTTTCATCTTTCATATCATATTGAACACTAGACTCAAGTTGACTATCATCAATAATTTGAGTGTTGTCAAATGGATAATCATTAATATAAGAATCATAATTATCAGAAGCATCAGTCAATGTATCATGTTGTGAATTCATAAAATCGGAACTTTTAGTGTAAACATTACCAAGTCCTTCTTCAATTTCATCTTTAGGCAAAGTTTCCGTGTATTGCTCTGAAGCTATTCTCTCTTCAGTTATACTTTCACCATAATTAACTAATGTTGTGTCTGCAATTAAATATTTAATAAGGAAAAAAATAATAACACTAGAATAATAAAATGTTATCTACGTAACGTACATTCAGGTTCGTCTTTCAACAATTTTTCTTCTATTTCCAAAGATATCTCTTGAGAGTCATCTTCATTAGAATCACTATGTTCCAATTCTCGAGCTAGTTCTTCTTCTGCAATGATGCAAAAATTAGAGCACTGCTTAAGTAATGAGGAATATATAAAAAATATTGAATTTACCTTTTAATCTATCCGCTTCTGAAAAACCGTCGTTACTTGGATTGTCAGCCATCTGAACTTGTGTCAGAACTCAGAACTTTTTTTAATAAATAAAACTTACTAATAATTATTAGTTTTACACATAACACGCCAAAAATGTGTCCTGTTATTACTTTTTAAGTTTCTACGTACTTTGTTATTTTTATTTTTTAGCAATATTTGACATCTCACCAAAAACTGACAATCTATAGTTTATTTTGACATATGCGTGAAGTTTTCAATTTTCATGTCAAGCCACAGACTAAATAGAGATTACAGGAACAATTTTGCTACGACAATTTTTTTGTTTGAGGCGAGCCCAAACGCACAAACCCAATTAATTAATTATTAATTGTAAGTCACCAAACTAGTATCGGTCGTAATTTTATTTCTTTTGTTGTACCTATACATAATTCCTAGTTTACAATTACAGAGCATAATGCCGTTCTTTAGCGCACAATATCGAAGATAATGTAAATAAAATTTTGATCAATGCCACCTTGAAGTAAAAACATTTCTCATATTTCTTGTTATTGAGTTGGTATCCTTGCGCGCATCATGTCAAAGCAGTACTTTACAAAATGCTCGATTGAGCGAAGCGCTGCTGTAGTTGGAACCATGGATGACAAATAAAAGTTGGACGACACGTTTGGCTCAGTTGGTAGTGACCCTACTTGATGTGCCAGCGGTCGCGGGTTCGAGTCCCGCTGGGGGCATTCATTTGTGTGATGAGCACGAATGTTTGTACTCCAGTCATGGGTGTTTATATTTATAATATGTATGTATTTAAAGTTATATATGTGTAGTGTATCAACTATCTGGTATCCATAACACAAGCCTCGTAGCTTACCATGGAACTAGATGGCGCTGTGTGTTAATGTCCCAACATTTAAAAAAAAAAAAAAGTTGGAACATTCGAAGTTAGCATTATGCCGTATAATGCGCTTTAGTGCTCTAATTAAAAAACAGGGATAGTATCCAGACACATAAGTTATCTGTTGTACTACTTAGTATCTTGTTAATACAGAAGTGGCGGGAACTTTAAAATCTGCCATTAGTCACATCACAATATTGTAATAAATGCATTATTCGTGTCTTCCTCACAAAACGTGACACTGACAGAATGGATTGCGCATGTTAACGCAACTATAAGCCAATAAAGAAGAAAAAAATAAAAATAAATGCATTATGGATAAAGAAATAACGGATTTAATAAAAATATTCGACTTATAAGAACTTCTACTAAAAATAGAAATCTAGTGGCTAGAGTGATAATAGACCTGGGTTCATGAAATATTCATTAGAAAAAGAGGGTCCGGCAGCTCCGGCTGTGCCTTATGTTTCAACCCCCAGAATATGAGAGTAAAAGGAATAGATTGTACTTGTCTACACTTACACATATAAATGTGCATTATACATGTCCCACGCAGTCGGCTAGTCTCAGTAATGTTAACGTCTCAATCTTAATGTGAAAGTTTAGATGTTTGCATGGATGTTTGTTACCCAGTCACGCCAGATCGGCTGAACGGTTCTGGAAGAAATTTGGCACAGAGATAGATTATAGTTTGGAATAGCACATAGGCTACTTTTTATCCCCTGAAAAATGTACGGTTCCCGTGGGATAGATTTGTTTTTGTAAGAAGCGAGGATGAGCCGCTAGTAACTTTATAAATATCAAAACAACTTTAAAAATTATTTAGGTTCATGCAAAAATCTCACATTTTAAATAAAACTATTTTTTACGAATTTTGTTGTGATCCCGACGTTTTGAATACCGTCATCAATCATAGTCACGGAGAGACTAACTAAGGTCTTAAATTTGTGGAAAAATTCGAAAAGGTAGTTTTATTTAAAATTACTTTAAAATCCAAAATTTTGGATTTTAAAGATGAGAGTAAAAGATATGAACAAAAATGAAATTCAAACAAATAAAGGGTATATTTTTGAAATTTGTGGACGGACATCTGTAATTTTTACAAGATACAACGAGACTATAGATATTAGTTATGCAACTAAAATTAATCAATTTTAGAACTGTGGTCACAAAAAAAAAATAAAAAAGACTTATTTAATCTTATTAATACGTCCACAATATTCAGCCCACATCAAAATTAAGTTTTTTTTATTTTTGTGGCCCACTGGACAAAAAAATGTTTTTCAACAAACAACAAAAACAATATCTTAAATAATAGATAACTCAACTCTAAATCAATTTTTTGTAGAACTTTAAATTCGCTAATTTATTTAAATAGAGTTTTCATCCTGATAAAATGAAATAGTCCGCCGGGCGCCTGCAGAGTGACAAAAAATCGACTATTAGTTACTAGAATTCTATAGTATTAGTTCTAATGAGCGCAGTGCGCACTCTTTTATGAAAAAAATTAAAAAGGCAGTTGCGTCGTCAGCCGCTCTATTACTCGCCGTAATAAAAAGTTGTATGTTGAGATTGTTGAGTGCAACTGCATAATATTATACATAGTGTTTCAGGTTTCTGTATAGTCTGTGCGATCAGTCAGATGAATAAATTACAAGCTGATAAAATCTTAAATCAGTCGTCAAAAACTGGTCAAAAAGTAGTCGAGTGAATGTCGGCCGCGTAAATATTCTAGAATAATAAAAAAATTGTACTCCGGTGCGGACAGAGAGTTCCATCATGAGTGCATTAATGAAAGCTGCCGTGGCTCGTAGCCCTGCCTCACTGGTTTGTATAAAAAATGAATATTGCGTTAAATTGATTATTTGTTATGTAATCTAAAAAAGAGAATGTTTTGAAGAACGGCGTGTCGTGGATACAATTTCTATAGTAACCTTTATTCTAAAGAAACTTTCGTCTTATGAACTATTAATTCAAACATTTATGAAATTCCATACGTGTGTTTTTGTGCCAAAATTACCTAAATTTGTGGTACTTTAAGTGTTTTTACATTAATCATAATTAAACGTAATCTGAATATTAAATTAATAAAAATATCGATTTCTTTTAGGCATCTTATTTATATAGGAATCTCCATCTGTCGGTTGGGGGTGCATCACCACTAAAAGATGCATCAGCTAACTCAAATACATCACAATCTTACACGATCATTGACCATAAACATGATGCATTGGTCATTGGTGCTGGAGGGGCAGGTCTCAGAGCTGCTTTTGGCTTAGTACAGGAAGGCTTCAAGACAGCTGTTGTAACTAAGCTTTTTCCAACAAGATCTCACACAGTTGCTGCGCAAGGAGGCATTAATGCCGCTTTAGGTTTGTAATATATTCTTAAAGTATCAAAATATTTAAAGAATGTAAAGGAATTTTTAAAAACCTAAAGTATCGTTTTCTCTCATGATAATTTTAAATTATCGTAAATAATATTTTAGGTAACATGGAAGAGGATAGCTGGTTGTGGCATATGTATGACACTGTTAAAGGATCTGATTGGCTTGGCGACCAGGTATGTAAATCTTAATGTTTTTATTATAGCCACAATGGAATTTCCCAGAATGTAATTAAGTTGGTGTGCTATCTTTCTACAACTACAAGTTTTATACACACCTGTTTAAATATTGCATAACATTAAAGAGGAAATATATAAAGCTTGAAAAATATTTATACACAATAATAATAGTCTGTAATTAATTATTGTATAGCATAACATGTAGGAAAATATATTAGGCAAATAGTTATAAATACCCAAAATAAAGCAATAACTTAAATGATTTATTTTTAAGGATGCTATTCACTACATGACCAGAGAAGCACCTCATGCTGTCATTGAACTTGATAACTATGGCATGCCATTCTCCCGTACACCTGAAGGAAGAATCTACCAACGAGCCTTTGGGGGACAGTCTCTTAAATTTGGCAAGGGTGGACAGGCACATAGATGCTGTGCTGTAGCTGATAGGTATAAAAATAAATCATAGATTTACTAAGTATACAAAAAATATTAAAAATAGTATTAAATTTAATTATATAATATATAAAAAGTCTGATCATATTGGAATACCAATTGGTATGGTATGGTATTTTCCTTTAGAAAAAAAAACAATTTACCATAAATAGTTTCTGTAGTGTGTCCGTGTTAGTTTCTGTTATAGTTATATGAAACACAACATACAAACAAAGAGATGTAACTCAAATATTTTGTAAATTATTATTAATGTGTATTTTCAATTAATTAACAGAACTGGCCACTCTCTCCTGCACACACTGTATGGTCAATCCCTGCGATACGACTGTGAATATTTCATTGAATACTTTGCATTGGACCTGTTGATGGAAGATGGAGTCTGCAAAGGCTGCATTGCACTTAATCTCGAGGACGGAACCCTTCACAGGTGAGTTAAAATCTTGAGATTACTTAGATTTTTGCTTTAACTTAAAAAAATATGTTCTTTTTTATTATATTTATTATTAAACTTAAACCTGCTCTATATTTCTTATAATATTCATAATTTGGCCACTCAAAAACTAGTTTCTCCAATTAACTGACAGTTGAATCTAGTAAGTTGTAGTAAATAATGTGTATTTCTAAAATTAGCAAATATTTATACAAATGTTAAATATCTATGCAATGGATGTTGATTTAAAATGTCATAAATGTTATATAAACAGACTAGGTTTATAGTGGAAGTGTCAATTTATATTAAAAATAAAAATCTGTTGTTCATTGTATTGACATATTAATCTCGCTAAATGCTTGAGCTTTATCGAATTTATACAATTTATATGGCATTATGTACATATTTATCAATAAACATTGGTAACAATTTAAATTTATCTTTATTATTAGATATGTTCCTTAAATATGTATATTGATTATCGTCATACTGCAGTGACACCTGCAACCATGGCATTCTAAAGAAAGGTTATTGATAAGGTCTTATTTTCACCCCCGAATAACAAAAACAATTATGTCATACTGTGTAATGTGCTTCTTATATGCGCTCTACATAACAAAAGTTGAAATGTTACTGAAAATGTCTCATTTTGAATGAAAATCCTAGTTAGACCAAACTTAGGCGTCTTAAACATATTTTTTATCAGGCATATGGTCTACTTTCAGAATAGGTAAGGAAAAGGTCAAATCAGAATGATATAATTTTTTTCGTTATTCAGGGGCGGAAATGAGGCTTTATCGATACCCTTCCTTTGCGAATTAAATTTCCCTTGCCTCTTGCCATAGGATTTTTGATATAATCCTCTATTTTTAGTTTTAATTTATTTGATTCTAAAACCTACTACTAAAACTTGTCTTTATTTATTTTTCTTTTTGGTTTTAACACACTTTTATTAGCTTCACTTGTAACTAACAATGTAATCAAATCTTGGAAGTCTAGTAAACTCCTCGAGTTTAGTCCCATTTGGTTTCTTTTAATAAGTCTTACATATAGCCTTACATAATATAGTTGATCATAAACTTGTTTTTAGTTTTTTTGTTAAAGTATTATCATAAAACATTTTGTCAATCTCAAACAGGTTCCAAGCAAAGAACACGATCCTAGCCACGGGCGGCACGGGGCGCTCGTACTTCAGTTGCACGTCGGCGCACACGTGCACGGGCGACGGCACCGCCATGGCGGCGCGTGCCGGCCTGCAGAACGAGGACATGGAGTTTGTGCAGTTCCATCCTACTGGTATGTTTGTTTATGTATACTAATATTTTATAGAGGAAAGATTTGTTTGTTTGTTTGCACCGAATAGGTTCTGAAACTACTGAACCGATTCAGATAAAATTTAGTAAAAAGATAATTTGAGACTTTGGGAAGGACATAGGATCGGAAATCATCCGTTAAGGGGGTGAAAATGGGGATGAAAGTTTATATGGGGAAACAACCCGAGCGAAGCGAGGGTGAGTCACTTGTAATATATAAGAGGGTTCGCGTTAGTATTTTTTGCTTGTTAATTGTTGGCGTGGAACAGTGCGTTGACAAAAAAGAGTAACTTAAATAACATGAGATGGAAGAAATAAAAATTGTTGTTATCGTGTATCAAGGGGTCCTTAAAATATATATATAGAAATACGGATATACACTCAGATTGCGACAAATACAAATGTATAGGAATAAACTATAATGTAAATAAAACTGACTATGTAGGTATAAATTATTAAATTGTCTGAATCGATATTTGACACTGCCTACACTGTCGTATAGACAGTTCCAGTCACATTGATATAAGAATGATCACATTAAAATTTTAGACACTCAAGTGTGTGATTAAGTGAGTGTGCATTTATGATTTTTTCGCAAAACTAAGCCTTGATTGAAATACGGAATGGAGATGGCTTATTTATTTTATTTATACACTTTATTGTATACCACAGTAATAAAAAAAATAGACAGTGACAAAAAATAAAAATAGGAAAATAAAATATCAAAATTCCTATAGGTATGCATAAAAGACGGCCTTATTAGCGATTTGTTCCAGATAACTAAGTTTATGGGTTCACATTAGGTTATATTCAATATGAGCGAAGCCACAGACAAAGCTAGTTATTTATATGTCACTTATAAAAGGATTCTACAGTACTATTGCCTTAGTACTAATAGATTGAAGCTGAAATATACAAACAAATATTTGTTGTGTTTAATCAACTACAGTATTTCCGTTGCCACATGCTTGTTTCATTCATAATAAATGTTTTATTGACACCAGATAATAATATCCTTATTTCCTATTGATGATTTTAGATGCATAACATCACAAGGCGTGCATGAAATAACACTGACTCATTAAATGCATTAACGAATTAATTATGCATTAATTATTATTATCAATATCAGATGTGTTTTTAAATAACTTGTGGGTATATAAAATATTTCATTATAATGATACAATAAAATAAAAAGAGTAGATAAGTTACTAGCGTTCTAAAGAGGGAAGCGCACTAATGGAGACTATAGCCTCCATTGGCCTCAGTTCTGTTGAATAAGTAAAGAATACGCACGTGCTTCCCATTTTGCTAACCGGTGTACAACATTCGTTTTTATAACTAAAATGTCGTCTTGTGTATTCCCTAAATGCACTAATTATCAAAGAAAAATAAACTAAAGTTGACGGGATCACATACCACAGCTAAGTTTGCCGAAATTATTATATTTTATTTGGTTTATAATCTTTTGTAAACCAATAAAAACGTCATGATTACGTAATACAAAGAAAACTAAGTGCAAGTGACACACTAGTTTCTAGTCTTTTTTTTACTTATAGTTTTGATTACGACATCCCTTTCATATTATTTCAATTATCAATAAATGTGTGAGCATGTGTGCTGCCGCTTGATTCGGAACACTTTTTTTCTATAGTTTAGTAAGCGTATAACGTGTCTATATTATAAAACATTATGGATGGTATCTTGATGTATCGGATAGAAAGGTGTTTTTCACTCGCCGCCCCTAAAATTATCTTCTTACAAAAAAAAATATTGATCGATATACATATTGGTCGTGTAAAAGAAGGACGTACTGCCATGGGGTCATCACTAACAAAGAAAAATAGTTCAAATATATGTCAATAGATGACGTTACATGTATCGAATTGTTACTAAAGTCGTGTTAAATTAACAAAAGATATATGTATTAATGTTTTAAAAAATATTCTAAGTAAAGTGAAAAGAAAGAATGCGTGATTATTAAAATATCAGCAATCAGATGATGGATTTGTAGTGTATATTTACAGATGACGCTTTGCTTTTTATGAATTGTTTATCACAGTTAAAAATTGTTAAAATCACTGACGTATTTAGCATACGTTAATTTGCAAATATTTATAAAATAAAGCAGTTTTACTAAAAACTATTTTATTTTATAAAACAAAAATAGCCCGAATTAGCGCTGTCCTATTTATTTGTATGGCATGAGACATCTGTACTAGTACAGTATTATGTGTTATGTGATACCGCCTAGTAAATACTACTAGTAGACTTTAACATTGAAAATATTATTAAGGAATCATTCAAGGCTTCCGAAATTTTTTATTTCGATTGCTTGAAGATGATATTTTGTGCGAACTAAATAAAATAAAATTTGTATTGCTATTATATATTCTTAGGTATGTCAATCTATTCAAAAGGAATGTGATACAATAAAAATAAACTGCATAAGGATGAGTTGCTCATGATTTATCATAATATCGCGACACACACTTTGCTGACCGTGGTATTAACTATTAATATATGTACGAGTATAATGAAAGAAATTAAGTATTGCCTTCTCTTCTTACGGCGGCAAGTACGACGCATTGTTTAATTTTATATTATAGATTTATTACATAGTACCACATAGACAACCACTTTATATGTACATGGTAAATAAAATTAATTGCACGGAGAGATATATCACCATATTTTAAAACTGTTTATATCGTATACTTTTTACTTATCGCAATAACTTATATCTGATATCAATCCAGGACGTTAGTTGTTTTAATACGACATCGTTAGAAACTAGCATTTAAATTGTTGTGGTCCCTATCGACTCCCAAAAGACTGGGAATATGGAAGGTAAAAGCAAGAATTGAGTTGTAAAGAAGGTTCAAGGGCGATCAATCGATGGATGTTCATTATGTACCTATTAAATTTATATCCTATCGCAAGAAGTAAAAGAAAATTTTAACTCTAAATTACAATGATTGCTATTAAACCTATTATTATTCAGTCCTTTTTAAAGTCCCACTGCTGGGCACGGGCTTCCCTCTTCAATACGATCAGACCACAATCCACCAAGAAAAAGATGCAATCTATGTTTTTGCCTTTTAACGAAATCTGTAATGATATATTAATTGGTACAATACAGGTATCTACGGGGCCGGCTGTCTCATGACTGAGGGTTGTCGTGGAGAAGGTGGTTTCCTGGTAAACGCCAAGGGTGAGCGCTTTATGGAGCGATACGCCCCCGTCGCCAAGGATCTGGCCAGCCGTGACGTTGTGTCTAGAGCCATGACTGTGGAAATTATGGAAGGTAAGAATATTAATAATATAATCATTCTAATTTTTATTTTTGCAAAATAATATTTGTCATAACATGAAGCTTAATCAATATTTTTCTCATTAAGGCGTCAAAGTGTAAGATAACTAGTTTCTACGTTATTGAAGAGACAAATATTGTCGCTACTAATAATTTCTAAGCATCTCGTTCAAGACGTGTTGAAAAACTTATCAGTGAGATAATAAAAACTTAAAAAGAAACCGACTTCCAGGCACTGAAAAGTAAAAAATAACTAAATGGGGGTTTTCATTTAGAAAAGATACCTAATCAGATATTTTCGAAGTCGGTGTGCTTTGATTTGTATTGGCTGGCTATTTACTAGCTATATTAAGATAAAAGAACTTTTAGAGGCCATGAACTTAATAGAACAAAGTACATCTAATTAAAATGACAAAAGACGTATTTAAACCAACGATATAAATAGAATAACCTTAATTAACATTTGGAGTGAGAGATACGTCCGCGCAGTAATCACAAAACCGGCTCGTTTTAATTTAAAATTGTTTTATTATAAAGATAACCTACATACATATGTATTTATTTATCATAGAAAGAAATTAAAATTAACTAGGTTTATTTTAATTTGTTTCTATACGATACGGGGGCGATTTAGATTACTGTACCTACTTTCTTTATTTATCACCGGGCAAGAAGATTTTTCTCTTCAAATAAGATATTACGGTATAAAATACAGTAAGGTAAGCCGTACAATAGATGCTCGGTGGTCTTTGTTTTTATAGGAAATTCGGCCATATGCATAGATCGCGGCAATTTACAGTTATATCCATTATACCCTAAAGTCGTTTCTCGACTCTCATATAAAAGTACGTATGATAGTCGGGTGGTCTGTCGATGTTCGTTAGATGGATGTATAAATAAATAGAAATATGTCAGGACATTAACACACAGCACCATCTAAGGTAAGGTATTAAGCTTGTGTTATGGATACCAGATAGTCGATACACTACACATATTATAAATATTAACACCTACGACTGGAGTACAAACATTCGTGCTCATCACACAAACGAATGCCTCCAGCAGGACTCGAACCCGCGACCGCTGGCACAGCATGTGGGGTTACTACAAACTGAGCCAAAAGTGTCATCAAATTATAATGTATGGATTAGTAGACTGTGTAAGAGGCAGTGTGAGGTTCTTATTCCACATTGTACACCCGTAGGTCGCGGCTGTGGTCCGGAGAAAGACCACGTGCACCTGCAACTGCACCACCTGCCGCCTGAGCAGCTCAAGCAGCGCCTGCCCGGCATCTCGGAGACGGCCATGATCTTCGCCGGGGTCGATGTCACTAAGGAACCCATCCCTGTGCTGCCCACCGTACATTACAATATGGGCGGCACACCCACTAACTTCAGAGGCGAGGTTAGTTCAATAGCTAACAAATATGTTTTTTTTATATTATATTTTTTTTCTTAGGCACAGACACAAAATAAAAAAATACAAAAAAAGGAATAAAATATAATGTATATTTAGGCAGAATCCTTTAGCTCCACAGCTCATACTCGTGTTACTGGTTATAGTAATTACTAGAGACTGGTTTTGCATTTGCTTTTTTGAATAGTTTCTCTTTTTTTACTATATATTGCATATTTTGCGTTAAATTTAGTAATGATGCATATTTTATAGAATTTACTTACCTTTATTGTTTAGAATTGATTTAGAAAAACAACTACGAAAAACTATTTCTTATTATTTGATTTTGAGAATTTTGACCCCTTCTCATGTATATTTAACGTGAAAACATGTATGTATAAACCCAGACAGAGGTCATCATCATAGACATAAAATAATAAATATGACAAAAATATTTGCAGAAAAATTCACACCATTCATCCACGAATATACAAATTTTAACATACCCGTGAGCAAATTTATATTTTCATTGAACGACATGATTTTCGGATTCTACATCATTACCAAACATTTAATAGGTTCAATAACGTTCTATCAGATAGACACGACATATTAAAGGTCATGGTTTCCAATCGATTGACGCAATTCTATATTAAATGTAGTTGACATATTTTTTTATCTTTAAATGTTTTTACTTTTATCTTATTTCCGCTATTGCTGGCTTTAGGGAGTTGTTTAAAAAATGTTGCGTCCTATTAGCCCATACCTAGGGCTATTAGTTAGTACTCGTAGGTAGTTAATTATTTAATAGTCCGGAAACTCACAAGACTTGCACAAGTAACTAGTTACTAGACTGACTGCGAGTTGCGACAAATATATGAGGCATTCCACGCCAAATTGGACGGTTTGAAAAAAAATGTTTTTACTTAATATTTTGGTATTTTTAGTACCCCTCAAAAGAGGCTTCCTGGTAAATTTTGAGATTTTTTGATCACTGGTTCAAAACCGCTCCTTTTTTGGTGTTTGTTCATAACTTTTTTTAATAATGGTAAAAATTCAACTTAAACTTTTTTTTTGCTTTTGGGTGACCTTTACAAAGTGACTAAAGGCCTTCCCTAATGAGCGTAAACCATTCCGGTCCTGAGCAGTCCGCATCCATCTACTGCGCTAGCCTTTGGCTTTTAGGTACTTTGGCTTTAGCTGTTTGGTCAGCTAGTCCAAACTAATATTATAAATGTGAAAGTGTGTTTGTTTGTCCTTCTTTCACGTGGAATCGGAATGGCGGATTGTTTTGATTTTTTGTTTGGAGACAATTTGAGGGCTGGAGAGTGACGACGTAGGCTACTTTTTACCGCGCGAGATTATCTTATTCCCACGGGGAAAACACGTAATAATACAAACCAAAAAAAAATATTTAAGATCAGAATTACTTGAAATTTGGTATAATTCCTCTTCAATACAATTAAATAAATATGTGTTTCAGCATTTTTCGAAATACATCCCGTCAGGTGGTAAAATAGAGCATGAAAGTTTGTATGAAACTATCTTTTTAGATATTTTTTGTAGTTTTAGCGCGAGCGAAGCCGCGGGTTCTGCTAGTATTATATAAATTTTGTTTGCCCACAGGTGATAACCCACAAGAACGGTCAAGACCGAGTGGTGCCGGGGCTGCTGGCGGCGGGCGAGGCGTCGTGCGCGTCGGTGCACGGCGCCAACCGCCTCGGCGCCAACTCGCTGCTCGACATCGTGGTGTTCGGCCGCGCCTGCGCGCTCACCGTCGCCGACACCAGCCGGCCGGGCGACGCGCAGGCGCCGTTGAAGGACGTGAGTCATTTGTTCTATGTTCTTTTTTTAAATTTATTTAATTATTAGTTTGACTACACCTTTGGTTCTACTGACCCTACTTGTTGTGGCAGCAGTTGCGGATTCGAGTCCTGCTGGGGGCATTCATTTGTGTGATGAGCGCGAATGTTTGTACTCTAGTTATGGATGTTCATATTTTTAATATGTATGTATTTAAAGTTAAATATGTGTAGTGTATCAACTATCTGGTATCCATAACAAAAGCCTCGTAACTTACCATGGAACTAGATGGTGCTGTGTGTTAATGTCACAATATATAATATGGGGCCCCTCGAGAGTCGTGTCTTCAAGTCCCTTACTAGGTCGGCAACGCATTCGCAACTCCTCTTATGTTGCAGATGTATATGAGCGAAGATAGATACTTACTATCAAATGAGTCATTTGCTCGTTTGCCCTTTTTAACTATAAAAAATATATATTTATTTATCACTTGCGACTTACATCCCTAGGTTTCAAGGAGACACGCAGGCGCCGTTAAAGAGTATGAGTATTGTAGTTTTTTTTTCTAGATTTGTTCTTGACTGCATAACCAAACAATGGCTATGTGTTACTCTAGGTCATTGTACCTGTTTAACAAATTACATCCAAATCGTTCCAGCGTAAAAAAGTACCAAATATACACACATACACATAACTTTCGAAATTATATTAATAGTCCAGAGACCTGGTGACGCGTCATTATGTTCATCAGCCGATCAATGCAAGTTCGAATTTCTTAATTTATAGTTGTTACGAAAATTGGAAATAAAAAAAAACAGTAATATGTCTTTAAAAACATATCGTAGAGCCACAAATGCAATTAATAAAATATAATCTAATCGACATATTCTCTAGAAACAACATAAATATTTTGTCAGAAAAATTAATACCCTTTAGAGAAAGCAATGCCATCTATACTGAATTATTTTAATGGTTTTGGAAAGTTGGGTACGATAAAATCATTTGTTGAATCCTTGACGATGCTATTATATCAGTAGCGGCTGATGTAACATACTTAAATGTTATTAAAATCAAAATATCAACATTTTCATTTATCCGCTTCACTTGAAAAACATGATAATATGGAGAATAAATATTTTATTATTAAAAAAAAACTACTTATTTGACTGATCTTGCGACTTCGGCTCGTGAAGATAAGAAAATCAGATCATGTTAAATTTAGACACATTAAGAGAATTATATTGTCGCGAATTTGATGATCCCTATATTTTAAAATTCTTATATTACTGTTTTTTTTTATGCTACTGTTAATAAATAAACTAGCTACTTACCCTCACTTCGCGTGGGTTCGTCCCGAGTGAAAAACAAAAATAAATCTACGGGAACCGTACGTTTTTCCGGGATAAAAATTTCATCCAGATGCGTTAAGTCGTTCTGGCGTGATTGAGTATATATTATGTAGTATATACTTTAGAATATAATATTAATGGCATTATAACAAAATCACAATTATCGTAAACAATTTAAATTTTTTACAAAAATTTCAATTAATTATCTGTGTATATTTCTTCAATATTACTTTACCGGTTCGCACGCACGGACGCAATTTTCATTTAAATATGTATTAATGAAGATGACGTTCGATCGAGTTGGTACTTAATCTACTAAAGCCTAGGACCAAGATCGTTCATTTATCATAAGAATAATAAAATTAGCTCAGAAGTTACAAGAGAAATTATATTTGGCATATTTCAATAATATTGTCATTTTTTTGATTATTTTGGGTAATTATCATTTGTGGGGTACATCGTAATCTCACAAATACAGTTAAATGTGTTTTTATGTAATACGAATTTAATCCATACTTACATTTTTGATTACAAATTAAAAAAGCCATTTTGTGGCTTTTTTTATTTAAACAGATTCACAAGGTCGAAAAAAAATTGTATTGACATACATACATACATACATACATATGTATATGTCTAATTATATAGGGGTCAGATACATTTTAGTAAGAAAATACGTAATAAGTTTTATAATCACAACAATAGTTACAATAAACAGCATTGTAATATGAAATGTTTTCGATAACTTCAATGACGTTCGTTCAAAACGAATGCGTCACATATTGAAAAATATTAAAAAAGCCCGCCTACGTAAAAAACGAACTAAAAAGATAGGAACAAGTTGACGAAGGATAATAGTACTATGCAGTCGGAGACGTAAATTTTTATTCCTTCCTGCGAGGATATAATTTAGGAGAGTTGCTTTTTAATCAGCCAGATTTTTCATTTTTATAGTATTTGTATTATTTACAGTTTTTAGTCTTGGCTAATTATACATTTGGAGTTTTATTTAACAATTTCTTGAATTTAAATATTATATTAAACATAATAAGTTGTATATATTATTGTGAATTCCACTTAAAAACCTTCATTTTGATAGCATTTGATAAGTACTCGATTAATGATACTAAGAAAAAAAATTAAGACAGAGAAGAAATAATATCCTAACTTGACACAATATGGCGTTATAGCTTTTTCACTTCAAAACCATCCGATATGATAATAGTATTTTTTGATATATCAAATACTTTTTTATATATCAGATAATGTGGTACTGATAGTCTTATAAGTGTGATGAAATAATTAACATATCTTCCAAACATCGTCTCTGCTGATATTGTTAGATTTATATGACGTATAAAGCCATAATTATAACACTCGCGTCATCAAAACTAATCTAACGACCTATGATTCATTATAATCGGTTAAGCCGTTGAGTAATTATGAGCGAACATAGGGTCGGACATACGTATATACATACATGTCAAACACATAGTAATTAGTAACACATAACACAGTCGGGTAAAAGGCAAATATATAGGTGCCCTTTGTTAAAACTTTTGTCGACGTGACTCAAGTCGGACTTTCTCTCATCTTATCTGACCTACAAATGCTATTGGAAATTATATATGTACGCCGAAAATAATTAAGATATTGCCATAATTTACATAAACGTTTTAATCTTATATGTAAAATCTTATGTATCTGTTATCTTAATTATTTAAGAATTAAAATTAAATTGTTTTAGACATGACGTTATGGTTGACATTTGATAAGTTCATTTATATTTTCCATACCAAATTATCAGTTATGAATAACATTCTTTTAGAAGCGTAGATAAAACGTTTGTACCTATTGATTTAGGCAGTGGTAGCCCAGTGGTGACGCGCTCGCTTGGGTAACCGAGTGAAGTGGGTTCAAATCCCGGGTCCCGCACCTCTGATATTTTCATATGCGAATCATTTTCAACATGATTACCACTTGCCTTACGGTGAAGGAAAACAGCAACCTGCATGTCGAGAGAACCTAGCAAGTTTTCGAAAGACATGTGAAGTCTGCCAGCCCGCACTTGGCCAGCGTGGTGGACTATGGCCTGATCCCCCTCGTATTGAAGGGAGGCCCGTGCCCAGCAGTGGGGCGTTAAGAAGGGCTGAATACATACCTATTGATTTAATATTTAAACCCAAAAAAATATAATAAAGTCATTCTAGTTTATCCACACTACATCTATAGGTACTAATATTATTAAACGACAGTTTGTTTGTTTGAAAGCGCTAATCTCAGGAACTACTAATCCAATTTGAAAAATTCATTAGATAACCCGTTTATTGAGGAAGACTAAAGGCTATATTTAATCATGCTACTACCAAGGGAGCGAAGCAGTAATCATAAATGTCAACAAATCGGGTAGACTTCCACACATTATTGTAAAACTGATGCTTACAATTAAACAAATTTAACGCGGGTGAAACCGCCGGGCACAGCTAGTTGTGACATAAAATAGGTACATGAAAGTACCACTTTGAATGATATTAGAACGATTTTATTGTGACTACACAATCACGACAGCGGACAGTCTATTATTCGTCAGTCGTCTTATGAAGACGCCGCGCTCCCAACTGTCATACATTTTATATTATAACAGTCGGGAAAACTGACCAATCTCTTTTGTGTCTTCTCCATGCTGTGTCGTCGGTCTAATTCGTTAACCTGATAAGTGTAATTCTGCATAGTTTACATGACGAAGAAGAAACTGAATTATATCATTAAATTTTTACAAATCAAAATTCTAAAAATACCGTTGGTTCCTTTTCTAACCTTTTTATATTTCGTCGTTATTACTTTAACATAATGTAGGTAATCGTCTGAACTTTTTGACCGGCATAAAAAGTAAAATTGTTCAAAAACGGACTTACCAGGTTATAAAATTAGGCCGACGATGTGACATTGGCGAAGTAATCTGTGCCCAACTGGCGGTCTTTGAAGTCATTAACAAGAAAATTGAATTGAACGGTCGGGAAACTGCTTTAGGGTTGACAGGTGTAACTTTACACTGTCCGGTGTGACATGAGATGGTATTTCACTTCAAAACATGCTATGAAATATATTATTTTTATCTAATATTTTTTTTTATTTTGAGATAAGATTACGAAAATGGGTAAGGATAATGTCTTGTAAATGATATGATTAACATATCTTCCCAATTTCATCTCCTTGCACTGATATTTACAGAGGATTTATATGACGCATGTAAAATTAAAAATATTATAAGTAAGATTTGAGTTATTGGCACCTATAAGCCTGTGTGACGATAATACATACACTCGTGTACTAGAAAGGTTATCTCTGTCTATAATTTACTTCGCTCGTAAATAACAATTTAATTGTGTAGGTACCTTTCAGTATCGTTTTTTTTTTCATTTTGTTTGTTTAGCTGTCATGTTCATTGAAAAATCTTTAATTATTTTGACTTGATTTTTTAAAATAAAAATACAATACAACTTGATAATGTAAGACATACCTTACGTGATCAAATATTATAGATGCCTTCTACACTTAATGATTTTATCGAATCTTAATTTATAATCATAAATAATTAAATAAACCCTAAATGTAAACGAAGGAAGCTGAAATACTATTTCTTTTAATTCAGACGACTGGCCAAGAGAGTATCGCCAACTTGGACAAGGTCAGACACGCGAACGGTAGTATTTCAACGGCGGAATTGCGCTTGCGCATGCAGAAGTGTATGCAGAAGAACGCAGCCGTATTCAGACAGAAGAGCACCCTCGAAGAAGGTGCGGTATACACTGCTTTTTTATTATTTTTCATAAAAACTTCATATTGAAATTTTAAATTGGGTACATTTTATTTATACTTATTATATTATTAATGTTTTTAATCAAAAGTGCTATTGCAACTCTAAAACATTATGTTATATTTTACGTCAAGTATAGTATAGATATTCTTACACTACACAAGTAAAATATTTATACCTACACTCTCACAACAGGTCACCAGCAAATTCACGAGATCTACAAACAGATGGCAGACGTAAAGGTATCAGATAGGTCCCTGATCTGGAACAGTGATCTGGTAGAGACCTTGGAACTCCAGAACCTTCTAATCAACTCCGTGCAAATAGTTGAGGGTGCTCTCGCCCGTGAAGAGTCGAGAGGTGCTCATGCAAGAGAGGATTTCAAGACTAGGAGAGACGAATATGATTATTCTAAGCCTTTAGATGGACAGGTATGTTGGTTTGTTTAATATATTAATTGGGCATAGTGAATATGATTTAAAGTGTGTGTCGTGTACGTACATATATCTATAATACATAATTTGGATATTTTGACGGGATCGTCACCTATTCGTTTAAGAATTATGAATACAACTACAATTTTTTTTGTCAAATAATTATTAATTAGCTTAAGAATTTAAATGGACTAATTTTTATCCGCATAAAAGGTAATCTATTTCCCCTCTCATGATGCATTTTTATTCAATTACATCAATTCGGTGGTTTAAGCGTGATAAGATAACATACACTTACTTTATGTCTTCTTGACCCATGTAAGCCAAGGTGGCCAATCTCACTGAGGCTAGCCAACTGCGCAGGAGATATTATGCTCAAGGCAGATACAAGTGCACTCTGTATTCCTTTCACTCTCATACTTCGAAATGGCGCAATTTGAGAGATCAGGTGCAGGCACAGAGGTAACACCGCTAACTTCAGTCAATTTGTTAACAGAAAAACTCAGTAACTGAACTTTTCTCCACTCAGTACTAGAACCTTGGAACTCCAGAACCGCAGCCGTACATGCTAGACACTACACTACTAAGGCAGTTTTATATTACATACTTTTTAAGGCAGTTTTGTATTACATACTTAACTGCTTCGGTGGTGTAGTGGCTAGCATGTACGGCTGCACACCCGGAGGTCCTGGGTTCGAGTCCCGGGCCGGGCCAAGTTTAGTTATTAAGTCTTTCTGTATAGAAAGTCTCAGTAACAGCCCGGAGTTGGGAAGTTGGCGGTGTTTGACCCCCGTGCCTCGGAGAGCACGTAAAGCCGTCGGTCCTGCGCCTTAACTCTCACCGGTCGTGTCGAGTGGTCGTCCCACCGGAGTATGAGAGTGATAGGAATAGAGAGTGCACTTGTGTCTACGCGTACACTTGAGCACTATAATATCTCCTGCGCAGTTGGCTAATCTCAATGAGATTGGCCGCCGTAGCCGGAATCGGCTAGGAGAACATCATCATATTACATACTAGTAATTTTAGCATATACATAACAAGTGCGTCATTCCAGACGAAGCTCCCGTTCGAGAAGCACTGGCGCAAGCACACGCTGGCGGAGATGGACGTGGCGACGGGCGCCACCGCGCTCTCCTACCGCCCCGTCATCGACCACACGCTGGACCAGCGCGAGTGCCAGACCGTGCCGCCCGTCATCCGCACGTACTAGCCGCGCCACCGCGCACGCATTCACTGCACGTGAGTTCAAGCTTTTTGTAAAGAATTTCCTTATTGTATTGTATATTGGACTCGTTTTCCGTACTTAGACTCTAATTTGGTCCGTTGTACGTTACGAATTCTGGCTAGTCCAGCCAGCCTAACTCAGTCCAAAAGCGTGTTAATATCACAAGTCACAACTATCAGAATATTAGAAACAAATATTGGAATATATCCTCCCATGCAAGCTCATGCTTCTATTTTCCTTCCGCTTTCACGTTTGTCGCTATCAAAGGCGTCGTGTAGGTCTGGCGATAAAACAATACTCGTAAAACATGCTTGAAAACAAATATTCAATATTTGTATAAGTATTATTATTAACCCAAAATGTCATTTTTGAAGTGAAACTTCTTTAGAATCGTTTTGATTTGAAACTGGATGAAACGGAAATGCAACACTAAAAAGAGATAAACACATAAATATATAGTGTTGAGCCGGCGAGAGAATGATATAGAATACATTGCCCTGTTGCCATATTAACCGTTGTTAATGTCTGACAAATATATAATGATATATTCTTTCCGTATATGATATTCTATAAATATATGATTGTAACATGCCTAACATGCCTTTTTAATAACTGATTTGTTTTAATTTAATTGCGATATTTGCCAAAGAAGTTTCACTTCTACCGTGAGTGAAATTGCATTCACACACACTTTAAAAAAAAAAATTTTTTTTAAAGGTAATCTCTGAAAGGGTGCTGACTGAGCAAGGCAGTATTTCCCATCGCATCCCGGCCCAAATAATGTTCACGTCATTATTTATTTCATTATTTATTGTAGTGATAGCTTTTAAGCGTAACAACTTTTTTGCCACCTGTATATATGGTGTATGTAGGTAAGTACAATATATTTCGCCTCCGCGCCGGTTGTATCGTCTTGATTTCCAATTTGTAATTTGGAATTAAATTACTGTTTATCTTGTTCAGAAATGTAAATATTTTTCAATGAGCCGCATTTTTAAATATAATTTTAATATTTTAAATGGACATATTGTCAGCACCGAGGTACTTAATTAGAATAAAATCAGTACCTGTGAGGATTAATGGTTTCGATATATATAAAAAGGCCACTGACTCCACCGTTATTAAATGATAATCAAAAAAAAAATCTATTATTCATGATCAGTGCGCAGTATTAAAACGAAATTACTTTTACAACATTGTATAATTTGTGTAGATGTAAGAACCGAAATATGTTAAATAAAATATTATACGTAATTAACTATGAAGTTTTATTTTTCTTGATAACTTGAATATTTCATTGATAGAAAATATTTTTTCTTTGATATACTTTTAACATATGTTTAAAATAGTTTAATCGTCTAAAGTTCTTTTCATTAGATGCAATCGATGTGGTTAAGGTGAAATTGAGGCTCAAGTAAAGTGGATCTGGAGCATTGACGCATACAACGCTTGACGTCAAAAACCTTCGTTATATAATTTTTACATAAATACAATTAAAGAAAAATGTTGCAGTGTCTATGTAATTTCTATTTTCTATTTCTCTGTTGTTAATTATAAAATACGTTCCTCAATTAACTTTCATCATTTGCTTCATGTTCCGGCTCCAAACTGTGACCTTGTTGCGCACTTGATACCTAATCTTACCTAGGTTTCTAATTTTACTCAATTTCACATTTTTAATTTCACAGCCGTATTATATACATACAGAGTTCAACAAGGTCTTCTCCCGTCCTAGCTTATGTAGCTTTTTTAAAAAAAAATGATTAATCAGTTAATAAGTAAACACTATAAAATGAAAGTTATGACATTTTTTTTACAGGCAGCCAAAAAGCGACATGATGAAGTTGGCTGAAAGCGACTTGATGAACTACGCTGATAACTGTTTGTTGCCATGTTAACTGGTGTTATGGTCTGACAAATGATATATAATATTACCAGCGACTCACTCTCGCTCCGCTCGGGTTCGTCCCTGATGTGGGCCACCCTTATCACTTAGGGGTATGGAAAATAGATAGTAGCCGATTCTCAGACCTACTGAATACGCATATAAAATTTGGTAAAAATCGGTAAAGCCGTTTCGGAGGAGTACGGTAACTAACATTGTGACATGGAAATTTTATATATTAGATATTCTTTCCTTAAAATGATGATTGTAATATGCCTTATTTAATTATTTTATTAATTTATCTTTCGTTTTACAAGCAGAGAATTGTGATATACGGGATGAAATCTTTAGCTATTTTTGTTCTGTTACGCCAAAGAAGTATAACTTCTTACGTGCGTACATAAATACACACAAACGTTTTTTTTATAAGTCGATTGATCACGAATGAGGGCACATGATACAATTGTAGGTACGAGAGGTGTCTACTGTATCCAGAACACTTATCAGCTCTTGCAAACAACGTTTTTATAACGAAGTATAAGTAGGTATGAGTAGATTATAATTTTAACAGTGAAATATATTTTTGGTGCTTTTAAGAGTGACATAACAAAAACATTTTTTTAGTCTGTCATGTGACTGCCATATTTTGAATGCTATTATTATTATATCAGATTAACCATTCATAAACTATTTTTTTTTTCTCAACACTAAAGTTATTGCGCATATTCTAACCTAATGTTAATGTGTTGTTGTCGACAAACAGTTTTACCAATTTTTTATCCTTTATAGAACAACTAGTGACTCACCCTTGCCCCGCTCGGGTTCGTCCCTTGTTACATTTTAAGGTTTAGTATAGATTTCTCAGAGATGAGATACTTTCCCACAGTAAAAAGTATCCCATATATTGACCCGGATAGCCAGCTATCATCATACTAAATTTCATCAAAATATGTCCAGTGGTTTTCTCGTGATGCGTTCCCAGACAGGGAGATAGACAAAAATTTTAAAAACTACATTCGGCCTTTGTATGGTTAATAATGACTTTCAATAAGATTTTCCAAAAAAATATTTAATGTACAGATTTGACCCAGTTAGAATTTTATTATATGTACTAGCGACTCACCCTCGCTTCGCTCGGGTTCGTCCCTAGCTTGATTCCCCATACAAACTTTCATCCCAATTTTCACCTCCTTTAGAGAAGATTTTGGGATAAAAAGTACCCTATCGCCACCTAGGGCTTAAAAGTCAAACTATCTTCTTACCAAATTTCATCTAAATTGGTTCAGTAGATCCAGAGATTACCCCCTACAACGTGAAAATGGGGATGAAAGTTTGTATGGGTAATCAAGCTAGCTGGCTAGCTTGTAATAATTTTGTAATTAAAGCTTCCTTAATTCAATCAATGTAATCGTAATAGGTAAATTTTAAATAGAATTCAACAATGATTATGTCAACGCGAATGTACCTTTCATATGTTGATAAAGTTCACTCACCGGTCATATATTATTAGTTGTTAATAATAACTAATTATATATATTGTACTTACAATTAGTACATAATGAAAAGCTTCCTTTTATCGTCGCATAGCGTTTCCTTTTCGTAGTAATAATAAAATTTGTGTGAGAACACTTGTTCTTATTATGTACCTACATTGTATATGATCGATACACCGTTTAAGCCTTTACAAAAGAATTACATGCAAAATTATTTATAAACTAGCTTTGCCCGCGGCTTCGCCCGCGTTCAGATGACTTAAAACCAAATTCTTAGGTTTTACATATTAGTATACTCTTACATAGCAGTTTTGTATTTTTTATCATAAATGAGATATTTTCCCGCGGTAAAAAGTATCCTATATGTTGACCAGGATAAATAGCTATCACCATACCAAATTTATCAAAATCCCTCCAGTAGTCTTTCTGTGATGCGGTAACAGACAGACAGACAAAAATTCTAAAAACTATAGATTCGGCCTCAGTATCGATAATAATATTTATTTTAATAAGATTTTCCAAAAATATTTAATGTACAGATTCGGCTTAGTTACAATTTTATTATATGTATAGATATCGCGGGTAAAATTATTTGTCAATTTTGTATAAGTTTAAAATCCTTACTAACACCTATTATAAATGTAAACGTATGTTTGTGTGTTTGTTTGTTTATCTTTCACGTCGAGTGATAGATTGGCGTGGTTTTTTGTGTGATGGTTGGGAGGACTGGAGAGTGAGATAGGCTACTTTTCGCCGCGAAAGATTATCTCGTATATAATGCTTTTATTTATTAGCACGTAAAGCAGTCGATCCTGCACCTGATCGCTCACGGGTCGTGTCGGTGAAAGGAATAGAGGATGTATTTGTTGCAAAGTGCAAACACATGTAGTACGAAATCTGGTTGCAAGATAGCTACGTTCATCGAGTATTTAATTCACACCAAATTATATATAAACGACGAATATACGTCATGAACGTATAAATGTAACAAAATATTACCTGCTTACACCTGGCTGCGGAGAGGTTGCGGGCTGCGGCCAAGTGCGCAACGGCAACTATCACTTTTCAAGTTCTCTACGTAAATTTCTGTTATATTTTTTTTTCAAAAAGTCAATTATTATAATTTAATTAAAAATACTAGTGGGCACATTTTAATAGGCAACCCGGCCAAAACATACCACTGTGCTCTTTAATATTTCTAACGTAATAGACTAGTCTCAATAACTAATGAGATTGGCCGCCGCCGCGCCGCGGGGTTGGATGAATTCGACCAGGAGGCATTTTTTAATACATATTAGCTTGACCGGTACGTATGTGCTTACCTATATACGTACAAATATGAATATAATTAAATCTTTCTATTCAACATTCAATTACATACTTCCAAGCATCCGAATGCTTAAAAATTATACACATTGTTAAATCGATGATAATTCATTTTTTTTTGTTTGGCACATTAAAACACAGTACCATCTATGTAGTTCCATGGTAAGCTACGAAGCTTGTGTTATGGATACCAGGTAGTTCATATACTACATAATATATGACTTTTTAAATAAATATATACATACGAGTACATACGTATTATAAATATAAACACCAAGGATTGGAATACAAACATTCGTGCTCACCACACAAGTAAATGTTCCCAGCGGGACTCGAACCCGCAACCGATCGCACAGCAAGTGGCACAGCACTAGAGACTGAGCCAAACGTGTCGTAAAAAGGTTAAAATCAATTTGAATTATTTTGAACATGTGATTTAGTTTCCATTTCTCCAGTTGTTGTGAGCAGTTTTTTATTTCATATCTATTGTCTAGGTAGTTTAAAGTATTTAGGCCTCTTACCAAAATTTAGGCCTCTTACCAAAACTTCGATTTAAGAACTTATTAGACTACAATCCACGGCTATATAACTATTTACATACATATATACTTGTTCTTATCTCAGAATGACCCATAAGACTGCTAGAAACTGATAACACCGGGGGGGTCAGTATTTCGCAGCCATTTTGAACAGTGCCATCTTGGACACGCATTGTTTCGCTCGTCTCAGTGCTCCCTCACAACTGTTGTGTGCATCTCTTATTTCTGAATTTGATATTTTTTAAGGTTTCATGGTTCTGTCTGAAGCTTCCTTTTTGAATTCCTACAGCGCTCTCCGCTCGAGCCCTTTTAAAGGCTTTATAGAAGCCTTAAGCGTTATCTCAAAGGGCATATTTCTAAAAGTGTGTAAAGGTAAGGACCTTGCACTTTCTTAAACACATGTTACTATTTTTTTAAATATTTAAATTAATATTGGGTTGCTTTAAACCAGAAGGTACTTAAACGATAATAGATAAATATATGTTGGCGGTCACCGATGACCTCTTAAATTTGATAATTAAGAATCGGTATTAAGTTTAATATTTTGTGTTAAAACTTTTAACATTTCCCAAAATTTTGTTTGCATTAACCGTTTTATTATGTTCTTTATAATAATTATTATAAATATTTAGAGGCAGGTTTTTTTGTTAAATCTACTCATTAAGTAAATTATATTATATGATGACTTTATTGTTTTAGCCTGTCAAGAAAATATGGCTTCGATTCCCCCATCGGCGTTTTCTGCTCGTCGCATTCGAGAAACTCAGCGTGATATGAAAGTATCCAATATAAAGAAAGGAACAGAACCTCCTCAATATTTTCACACTAAATGTAAGGATAGTCAATATTTGAGATGTTTAATAAAAAGTAAAAAAACAGTCGATAAGCAGTTCATATCAACTGAACTAATACCTACGGCTACATACTATTGATATTATTGCCTTACTAAATAAATTATCGTTTTCTGTTACAGTGACGGAACTCACTCCATTAAAATACAACAGCAAGCTGATGAATAGTATCTGGGGTTTTTATAATCGTTACTCTCCCCACAATGTAAAGAAGATCAATGATGCTCTCACTTTCAATCAGGAATTGCAGCAGTAAGTAAAAATGAATTTTCTAATATGTAGTTGCCTTTCTAAGAGAGTAACTAGGGATATCATATGTCTTTGTTCTATTTATAGAATTCTGTCAAATTTAAAACATGTTTTATAAAGTTTCCAATGCTGTGTTTCCACACCAGTACAGGTACTGAAACTTAATTAGAGACATTCACTGTGAACAACTAAGAATTCGCGTTCTCTGGCATCTGTCAACAATGTCTGAAAATAAATTATGACTGAAAATACTATGAAATATAAAATATCTAATTGCTTATAGTTAAATATGTAACTAAATAATATACCTACACTAAATGCTACATTCCTTCTCAATCATAAGTTTGACCTTTCTGTGTTATGAGGCCACGTATGTATTCCGATATTCGTAGTATTAGATTACAATAAACGAGAACTAAGAATGCCTCTAACATCTCGGCTACATTAACAATGTATCTTTATTTATACTATAGTTTAATTAAAGGAAATACAAAGACAGTCTTGTTCAATTATACAATTGACCAAGTTCTCGGGTATTTCAACAGTTTACAATTTGATCTTTAGGTTTTTGTTTTACTAATACTTACGTATGCAATGTTCCAGATCTGCTGCCAATTCCTCAAACAAAATTCAATCAGAAACCATGCTCACTCTACCGGCCACCAAGCTTGAAAATGTGTGGGCCTCCATTAACGTTTCTCAATCTCACTAATTATAATATATTTCTAAGCAAAGCTGCATATATCCGAGTTTAACATCATTTAAACTTATAAAAGTTGACTTTGATTTTTTAGTATTGTTATCAAAAATATGTATAGGACATATTATATACATATGTGGATGTAAACTGTTTTTTTTTCAATACCTACATTTATACCTACTTTCTATAAGGTTCTAAGTAAAATTGTTATATATAAATAAATTTAAGTTAATTATGCATTAAGCATCCATAACTTTGGGATACTTTTAAACAGTTATGACACTGATTTAATATAAAGCTCTCGAGTTGGTAATATTATCTTCAATTCTATAATTATTTATTATACCTATCGGCAGCAAGCATATTGCTAATAATTGTATTTTATAGAGTACTAGGGCCTTATGTATACAACTTCCCTATTTGAATCGGATATTATTACATTTTTCATTGGTTTTAATTTTTCTTCGTGGGGCCCTATTTGTTTTTTCTAAAATAAAAGTAGCCTAAGTTACTCCTTATTACATCAGCTATCTGCTAGTGAAAGTCTCGTCAAAATCGGTTTAGCCATTTCAGAGATTAGCCGGAACAAACAGACAGACAGACAAAAATTGTAAAAAATGTTGTTTTGGAAATGTATCGTGTATACAACCATATGCATTTAGTAAAAAGCTATTATTTTGACATTTCAACCGGACACTTCAATTTAATGTATGTGTATCTGTATAGATTTGTTTTTGAGTAATGTTACCATCGTATAAATATTGACAAATATTGACATTAATATTTATACGATACTAACGTCACTCAATTGTTTTGCCTTCCCGGAACCTCTCCACTAACACTTAAACTTTATGGTATGGTATTAAAGTTTAAATTGAGTTTTAAGTATTATTACGAAACTTTTGTACAGGAGTATAGAAAACTGTTGTTATTACTTTTTCAGGCATTTTTTTTAATTGTTTCTCCGTAAGAACCATCCTCGTACTTCAAGGAATATTCTAAAAAAATAATTAGCGAAATCGGTTCAGCTGCTCTCGAGATTTGCGCTTACCAACACATTCAGCGATTCATTTATAAAAATGAATCGCTGAATGTCTATAATATAAATTATAGATATAGATTTATACTTTATTGCACGCCATACAAGAAATTTACAGAGAAAATAAAAACTTTTTAACAAAAAAATAAAAACCGACTTCAAACAAAAGCACTAAAAAGTAAAAATAACTGATTGGTAGTTTTCATTTACTATACATACCTAATCAAATATTTTCGAAGTCGGTGTGCTTTGGACAAGTAATTAAAGCCTACCTATTAAATACATACCTAATCAACTATTTTCGAAATCGGTGCCAGCCCATACAAAGCAAAGCACACCGACTTCGAAAATATTTGATTAGGTATGTATAGTAAATGAAAACTACCAATCAGTTATTTTTACTTTTTAGTGCTTTTGTTTGAAGTCGGTTTTTATTTTTTTGTTAAAAAGTTTTTATTTTTCCCTTTTTAGTGTAGACAGTAGTAGCAAAGTAAGAATTCTAACGTGTTAGGCTTGTCAAATCAAACAAAATAAGCCCAAACTCAAAGTATCTACTATTAGCCGTTGAAGAGTTCCACCTATCCACCTTCTGGCCTTACCATCAGATCAGGTCAACAATACCGAACCACTGTACTATCAACGGAAATGGAAACACTTGCAAAGTTTCAAGTCAATATGACAATTAGAAGTAGGTTAAATTCATCATTAGCTATTTTTCCACCCTTAGGAGTGGTATTTTTTATTGAAATTTAAATGGGACCAATCTGGAAGTATACACTTTCAAACAAAACAAAAATTATCAAAATCGGTTAATAAATGACGAAGTTCTGAGGTAACAAACATAAAAAAAAAAAAAAAACAAAAAAAAAATACAGTCGAATTGAGAACCTCCTCCTTTTTGAAGTCGGTTGAAAATACACATGAAATAAAAGATCACATTCAGTAGGTGGTATTAAAAACGATCTCTTCCAGGCAACCTTACGGTGGAAAAATAGTATTTGAATTAATAGGCGTTGTAGTTGTTATACATATACTTAAACAGGTATTCCGTATTTCTGCATAAGTGCATAAATACAAGCCGATCTACATATTACATACATAATATAGTATAAGCGTTCTATAATATCACAGATCATATAATAGTATTATATACTATGCAACAAAATCGTCCGAGATGCTAAACTAAGAAAGATAAGTAAGTCATATTTTACATTCCACAAGTGGGCACAAGCTTCTACTAACTTATAAGCTATAGCTTTATATTCGTTCGGTTCGCGGACTTCGAACATCATGTTTTCGTTCGTCATTTCAGAAGCGGTAATTATATAAAGAACAGTTCAAACAAAAATGTCAAAAATGCGAGGCCGGGGTTGAACCAGCTAGCTTTTCCAAAGCGAGCGTGTTACTAATGGGTTGGCTCCTGTCTCATATAAGTCAATCAATAAAATGTAATGTATCACAGAAGATATTCGTCTTCTGAATTCCAAGACTATAATTTCTGAAAAAATGGCTATTAAATCCTACAAATTAACCAGGTGTGGTGGTATACAAGTATTCAATTTTGAAGTCAACATTCTAAATTAATTATTAATAATTTGATAAAAACACTGTTAAGTTTTAGTTTGACAGTTTTCTGAATATGTTCAACAGGATGAAATTAAATGGTATACATATAAATAAATCAAAACTGTAGACAAATAAATACATTTTGTTATAATATATTATAAAGAAATTATTTAATATAAATTAAAAAATTAAATAATAAATATTACTTTGCAAAATTATAAATTAAGCAAAAATTTTAATCATCATTTCAATTTAAATAAAAGAGGTATGCTACGATGCACATGCTTATAATCTATTGTATGTATTAGTAAAAATAATACACTCCTTACAAAGACAATAAAAATAAATAATTTAATCTAATATATTATATTTCTTTTTACACTATCTCATATTATCACATAAATAATTATAGATACAACAAAGATTATTCATTAGTCAATCTTTATTGAAAAACTAGCTCCACATGAACAACCAAGATCTGCATTTGGATTCGTCACTACCCGGAAAGCAGATCGAATTAACTCTGTTTGGTAATCAATTGTTGACCCTTTTATATATTCTAGGGAAGTTTCATCGACTACAACCTTAACACCATCTTTTTCAAAAATCCTGGAACACGGTAATTATGCGAGATTAATGTGAGTGTAAATAAACAACAACAAATGTAACATTAATCTACAACAAGTTACTAAATCAATATTTTAGAAACTACCATTCTTTTATATTTAGAAATTTGAGTTTATTTAAGGCAAAAGTATTATTACAAATTAAAAAAAAGATTTATAGGTTAGTAGTACGTGTTTTCTTCTATAATATTTTCAAAACTATTTGTAAATATTTGTAAAAAAAAACTTAAATTATATTTAGTGTTCAATTTTTTTCATTATTTTGGCTGAACTAACTTATCATCATCAGCTAATTTGTCATCCAAATCAAATTTATACTGAAATCCTGAGCAGCCTCCACTTTCTACGCACAATCTTAAAAATAAATTATTATCACATAGTTGTTTCAATTTTTGCACACAACTATCACTTAAAACGATTGCGTCGTTAGAGAATACTTCTGGTTTTTGGGAAGAATAGTATTTACAATAATTATAACCAAAGCGTAGCGTTTTCCACGGTCGAATGAACATTGTGAAGAAATATTTTAAAGAATTGTACTACACATCAAAACAATTACAACATCATTTCATAATTCATGATTTTCTTATATTTTCTTTTCAGTTCTTTGCTTTTTAATAATCTAGATTCTAAACTGTCAATCTGACTTTGACATGTGCACCATAGATAATCATTAAAATGTTCATTTCTAACATGAATAATGTTACCTATATAATGTGATTCCATTATTGTTAGAAATGCTCTTTTAAATACATAACATTATGACTAAAGAGTAATGGCTATCCTCACGTCACGTTTCTAAGTTATAGTGCCACGAAAACTATTTTTATCTGCCCTCTTTGTGAAACAAAAATAAATAGTTAACTGTTTTATTTTCTTACTGAGGACTGAGGGGTGTTAAAAATAGCTATAAATCAATACATTCGGTGTTTTTAATTGGGAAGATTTCTTAAAAGGAGGGCGCTACACGTATGATCTATTTACTATTTTTCGAAATTGTTTTATCACATTTAAATGAATAAATACAAGTTGAACGATTTGATCCATATTTTGGTAAAATGTTAGTTATTTTGGAAAAATGTTGCTGAAATGTTAGAAGATTATTGTTGTTCGTAATATAACAAGATTTTACAATTCATAAGAAGAAAAGTTAGTTCTTGGTCATTTTTTCTCTAAATAAAATATACTATATTCCGCGAAAAAATCGAAATGATCGTTTTATTTAAAATGTTAAAATTGATTGAAATTCCCGGGTTAGTTATATGTACGAAAAATCTCAGCATTTAGAATGTAAAAAAATATATTATTATTGAAAATTATATTATAGTGGAATGTAAAATGATTATTATGAGTATGATTAAAAAGGAATACTTTTGGCTGCACATTGTTTTGTCTTTATCGCTTTCTGCCATTTTATATATTTATAATATGTATGTATTTAAAGTTATATATATGTAGTTTTTTTTGTTTACGCTGGGGAAACCCATCATGGGGGTATATGTGTAGTGTATCAACTATCTGGTATCCATAACACAAGCCTCGTAGCTTACCATGGAACTAGATAGCGCTGTGTGTTAATGTCCCAACATTATTATTGTTATTACATTTTTAGCTGACGGCTGATAAAGAAACGCTCATTGTTAGTCCACTTTAGTCTCTATGGTCTATAAGTACTAAGTAGGACTATCTGTGTATGAAAAATGCCCGTCGAATGACGTTTACTTCGGGTGGCACTACTGTAGCACGTGGGTAATTTTTAATGATAACGCCAGTACAGTATATCAAGTAAACAGTAGGAATTAGGTAGGATAAAAAAGTAAATAGGGAAAAAATTATTTTGGACTAAGTAAATAGATGAGATTTTACATAGTGCAATTTCATGAACTATTTTAATAATCAAAATATCAAGTTATTTAACTCAGCATACTTCATTCATTTTTCATTCATTCTCTCTCTCTCTCTTTCTGGCTATATATCCCACACGGTGGTGGAGTCAGCCTTCCTTATTATATTGTTAGTATATTGTTTTCCACTTCGCTATGTTGGAGACATCGTCTTCGGAAATCCTGCCCTTCCCCATGACCATTGACACTACATCGTTCCATCTTGTTTTCGATCTGCGTCTAGATCTTTGACCTGGGATAGATAGTTGTTGTGCCAAATTTCCCATGCAGTCAAGCGATTTCTTTTTCACGTGACCATACTACTGCATAACACTTCACTCAGTTTACAACTACTAAATTCACAGAAAAGAAAAAAAAGGGAAGTGCGATGTGACGATTTTTGTATCGGCACTTGTATCGTCAAACTCATACGAAAAGACCATTAATCATGTATTGCCCTGAAATAAACAAGGGATTTGTTTGGTACATTTTATTTTGTAAAAAACTATCATGATTATAATTAAAAAATCTCTTTTTCGACTACAAATAAGATTTATGTACTACTAGGAGACCCGCAGCTTCGCTCGCGCTAAAACTCAAAAAAAAATCTCTAAAATGGTAGGTGTCATACAAACTTTCATCCGCTATTTTACCCCTTTATGGGATGAATTTCGAAAATTGCTAAAACACGTAATTAATTAATTGTATAAAAGAACATTTATACCAAGTTTCAAGTAATTCTAATCATAAATATTTTTTTGGATTGTATTATAAAGTGTTTTCCCGTGGGATAGAGATGATCTTCCGCGGTAAAAAGTAGCCTATATAACTCTCCAGCCCTCCATCAATCTCCACACAAAAAATCGCTCCAATCCGCTAAGCTGTTTTGGCGTGAAAGAAAGACAAACAAACAAACACACTTTCACATTAATTATAATATTAGTATGGATGTACTGTAGTACGTTATACGTAATTATGATTTTGTATTCTAACACGTATATTCTGCTTTTTGCCTTTAGAGGGCAATCTTAATGCCACACGATTATGAAAACAGTTACATTACTTATAAGGTTGGCATTCGCATCGCAGGTGATGTATACCGCTTGTGCCATGCGGGTTGCTCCTAGTACTTCTGATAGCAGAGTGGACTGTGGAGCAACCCCAAAGTTGTTGTGGTCTGCTTAGGCAGACCTGCCGTTGGGGCGTTTTGGTTGGGTGCGTAAGCAATCGGGGAAAAGCGTAAAGACGGGGAAAGTTCCGTTGGGTTTAAGTGGGTAGTACTGGCTTTGCCGGTGAGTCCCACACCGCGTGCCTAAATGCATTTCTCAACGTAAAAAAAGGTGATGTATACCGCTCCTCAAATAGTGCAGTAAGACGGTGACATTATAAATATACGTTTAATTATTTAATTTAAAAATATAATAAAAAAAGTAAAAAATATGTTTACCAGCATTTACCTAAATTTAATAAATATACAATACGTATATTTATTTTATCTAAACTAAAACGTGAATCTCTGAAAATACCTGCCTGATTTGAAATATTATTATTATTATTTTTTATATATTTCTGAAGCAATCACTATTTGCATTTTCTTTACTTGTGATCTTTTGTGGAATTAAAAATTATGTACAATTTCATAAATATCAAGAAATATTTTTCGAGGTTAAAAAGATTTAAATTTATATATAGTTTAAACCACATTATAGTATTGTCTGTTCAATTGATTGATTGAACTGATTATTATGAACATCATATCGATAAAATGCAGCATTCCGTTGTTCAGCCTAATTGTGATAATATATGTGCCACGCCTACTTAGTAGTTAGTACTACCTTTATTTCTTATCTTCCAAGCTTGCCTAGCTACCTAACAGTAGCCTAATTGTTACTCCAGGTATGGCCTGAATTCAATTTAATTCTCTTTTTAAGTTGTCTTCAACCTAAGGGTAAAATGGAGAAGACACAAGACTTTTTTTTTTTTTTTTTTTATGGGACTAAGGGGGCAAACGGGCAGGAGGCTCACCTAATGGAAAGCGATCACCGCCGCCCATGGACATCTGCGACACCGCAGGGCTTGCAGATGCGTTGCCGGCCTTTAAGGAAAGTGTACGCTCTCTTCTTGAAGGTGGCCAGGTCGTAGCGGTTCGGAAAGACCGCCGGCGATAGCTGGTTCCACAGAGTGGTTGTGCGAGGCAGAAAATGCCTTAAAAATCGCACTGTGGTGGAACGCTGGACATCGAGGTGGTGTGGATGGAATTTACTATTTTGGCGCGATATCCGATGATGAAATTCAGCAGCCGGGATCAGTCCGAACAATTCCTCGGAACACTCCCCATGATAAATGCGGTAGAAGATGCAGAGTGATCCAACATCTCTACGCAGAGCTAAAGGATCAAGCCGATCGGAGAGAGCTTGATCGTCGATAACTCGAGCCGCCCTACGTTGAATGCGGTCAAATGGAAGTAGCTGGTACTGGGGAGCTCCCGCCCAAAGATGAGAACAGTACTCCATGTGGGGCCGAATTTGCGCCTTATAAAGAATAAGACGCTGACGCGACGTGAAGTACTGTCTCGCCTTGCTGAGCACACCAAGCTTCTTTGAGGCCAGTTTGGCCTTACCTTCCAATTGACCACGGAACTGGACGTTGCTCGAGATGTCGACGCCAAGTATTCCGATACTGGCTGTGGGAGACAGAGGAGTGTCCTCAAATTGAGGAGCTACGATAAATGGCGACTTTTTAGCGGTTAACGCGCAAACCTGTGTCTTTTTGGGGTTAAATTGGACTAAGTTTAGTCGACCCCAATCCGAGACTTTGGTTAACAAAGATTCGACTTCAGACACAAGTTTGTTTCGGCTCTCGTCGACGAATTCCCGAGAAATATTAGCGCGGCCAGTGTACAGGGCATCCACAGTGCTATCGTCTGCATAGCAATGAATGTTGCTGATTTGCAACATGTCATTGATATGCAGAAGAAACAGAGTAGGAGACAGTACGCAGCCTTGTGGAACACCAGCATTGACATATTTAGGATCAGAGCAAGCACCGTCGACAACGACCTTGATGCTCCGATCTGCCGGTAGCTTCGAAAGAAGCGCTTTGTGCCATACCCGATCAAAGGCCTTCGCTATATCCAGACTGGCTGCAAGCGCCTCCCCCTTGGTCTCAACTGCTTCTGCCCATCTATGTGTTAGGTAAACTAGAAGATCACCGGCTGAGCGACCTCGACGGAAGCCGTACTGGCGGTCACTGATCAGCCGGTGCTCTTCTAGGTACCGCAGGAGCTGGCAGTTAATAATGGACTCCATTATCTTGGAGAACAAGGAGGTAATGGCTATAGGCCTGTAATTGGACGGATCCGAGCGGTTGCCCTTTTTTGGGATCGGGTGCACTAAAGCGGCCTTCCAGGATTTCGGGACTACGCCTAGTGAATAAGAGTGCCGGAAAAGACGCGTTAAGACCGGTGCCAACTCCGGAGCACATGTCTTCAACACGATCGGAGGGATGCCATCGGGCCCACTCGACTTATGAATGTCCAAGGAAAGAAGTGCTTTCCGAACTGCACTTTGCCGAAACTGAACTTCCGGCATGGTAGTATCACACCGCGGGATTGTCGGTGGTGAGTTTCCTTGGTCATTCAGAGTCGAATTGGACGCGAAGAGAGTGCCCAGTAGTTCGGCTTTCTCCTTCGCGGTATGAGCCAGCGAGTCATTCTCCGTGTGCAGAGGTGGAAAAGAAGGCTTACAGAAATTCCCTAAAACAGCTTTGGAGAGAGACCAAAACGCACGTGTTCCTGAAGGGAGACGCCCCAATCTCTCGCCAATTCTGCCGATGTGCTTCGACTTCGCATTAGCGATACTATTTTTGAAGGACCTGGAGGCAAAGTTATACTCCTTTTTAAAGGCGCTCGTATTTACATCACTAGACGCCGATGCGCCAGCCCAGGCTTGGTAGCATTCCAGCTTTCGGCGAGATGCCGTCTTACAGGAGTGACCAAACCAAGGCTGGGATTTGCCTCCAATGGGTACTGCAGAGAACGGAATAAATAGTTCCATACCCTGAAGTACCACATCGGTGACAGCGTCAGCAACGACGTCTGGATCATCTGGCGAGAAGCAAATTTGCCCCCATGGGTAGGACGCAAAGAATGACCGCATCCCGTCCCAATCCGCTGACCTGTAATGCCATACACGGCGACAGCCCGCAAAGCGAGGCCGTGTTGAGCGCGTCACTGGCACTGTACTCCGGACAAGACAGTGGTCCGACGAACCAAGAGGGGGATCGACGGAGACCAGGTAGCCGTCCGGATGAGAGGTCAACAGAAGGTCCAACAGGGAAGGTGTATGATCTTCCACATCAGGGATTCGCGTTGGCGAGGTAACCAGCTGTGTCAGATCATATGCCAATGCGAAATCGTGAACAGATCTCCCCGCATGATCGGTAGTACGTGATCTAAGCCATTCTGTATGATGGGCGTTAAAGTCGCCGAGAATCACGATCTCTGCGGAGGGGATCTGCTGGAGCACGGAATCTGTAGCCATTTGCATGTGCTCAACGAGTCGTTCAGTTTCGGCATTGCCGCTATGAGACCTATACAGGCACGCGTAGATTCGCGGGTGGTCGTCGCAGTCTACACGTAGCCAGAGGATGGATAGGTCCCGCCCTTCAAGGCTGCCGAGGCGACGACAGCAGATGTCTTCTCTGACGTACACGCACACTCCAGCCCGCGGTACAAAGGAATGCTCCAAATTATATCCCGGGTAAGAGAGGAAAGAGGTGTCAGTCGGGGACGATATCTGCGTCTCAGTAAGGAAGAGCAAGGCCGGCTTCGCCGTCTCAAGGTGGTAGTGGACGGCGTTCAAGTTGGAATTTAGCCCCCTTATGTTGCAGAAGTCCACAGCAAGTGTGAAAGGGGGCCTTATGTGGCCTGCTCCGCTTGCCCCGAACAGAAGCCGACGACGACTAAACACGAAAATTTATATACACTCAAAATATTAATCTCTCCACGACCGCGGACACGCCGGCGTTACAGTTAACAATAGATTTCTTAGAAATTTAATTAATTTCTTAGAAATTTACCTGGAGGTGTTAATGAATGGGACGGGTGAATTTTCAGGGCAAGGATATCTAAATAGGATAAAGGAATCTAAGACAGTTTAAAAGAATATGGGAGAGAGTACTTCCATCAAGGCTTCATTCACACACAGGGAATGATCCTTAACCATGACCTTCTCTAGTACTAACCTAGATAGTAAGTATATAATTATAGAATATCATATACGAAAAAGATATAATACTGGATTGTATTCTATCTCATTCTCTCGCGGACCTAATCCTACCTATATATTTATAAGTTTGTCTCTTTTTAGTGTCGCATTCTCGTTTCATCGAGTTTCAAATCACAACAATTCTAAAGAAGTTTCAGTTCAAAACAGATAAACAAAAAATATGGCTGCATCAGTTAAGTAGAATTTTGGTACGTAATTTAATTTCTATATAATGAATATCGATTAATCATAGGAGCATTGATTACAATTATACAACACAACAAAACAATTATAGTTATAAGGAACAGTTTGTCTAATATCGTCAGCACCATGCTATAATTCAAAGAGATAATATATACTAGAGCACTATAGTCTCAGACTAAAGAATTATATAGACAGCGTCCGCCAAAATAAATTTCAAAGTCAAAAAAGTAGCGTAATAAGCTGTACTATTCGACGATTTATTTCGTTAACAAATTGTCATTTGTAGTATACAAATGACAATTTGTATACTGAGGAATTTTAAAACATTATTACTAATCAATTATCTATCTCTACCGTGTCTTCTCCATTCTACACGATATTGGCGAAGTAAATTGTTCCCAAATGGCACGCCTATAAGCAACAAATCTTAGGTAGCACAAAGAACATTTAACATTAAAATATTATTCGGCTTCATCTTTACTATGACCCTGTCTATATTATTAATTTAATTGATTATTACTTAGTCTCAGGCTACAGTAAAAATAGTACATATATTAATTTATACAGATGCATTATTAATACATAAACATAAAATGGAGATTTTTTGAAGCTGCAACTCTAGCTGTTATTGCCATACGATAAAACGAGAGGGCAATATAAGAAATAGAAAGAGATGGGTGAAATTGGGGTAAGCTGGCCAGCGGACCAGTCTAGCTAGCCATTCACAGTAGTTTCTTTTATTTATTTTAAATATTTTTTCCTTACAAAATACTTATTTGTATAATGAAATTGTATAGTTTATTATAAAAAAGTTCAATACATTGTAAGTTCCAGCTTTTAAATTCATAAATTTCAATATCTATACGTTTAAACTTACTGAAATATCATTTAAAAAATGTAGTATTTAATAATAATATAATATGCCTTGATGTTACTTTATAATTTGAAAATATTTGACTTGAAAATATATTCATCAGAGGTAAATAATATTCGAAAGTTGGTCACCCACTCCACTTTGCGCGGCAGCGGTCAGAAGGCGGAGCTTATCGGCAAACTCGCGTCTAAGCTGGCTTCACTGTCAATTCGAGAGCCGCGAAGAGTACGCTCGCGTTTATTACGTAGTGTGTTTACAGTGAAGTGTATATTGTGAAGAAATTTCGAATGTCGTGAAGTGAAAGATAGTGTTGTTTTTTCACAAAGTGCAACTTGTGTTATCAACACAATGTCTATAGTGTATTAAAAAGTGATTTAATCAAAATGTGTGCAGCACCGTTGTGTGCAAAATTGATTTTTGCCACGTAGTGACGCGAACGGGTAATGATTCCTAATGTGGAGTTCGAAGCAAGATGGTTAGAGAGACTCGGCACCTGTGGGTTGGAAATTTACCCGATAACATACGTGAAGATCGAATAAGAGAACATTTTAAACGGTAGGTTACGCTATTCTGTACGTAAACATTAAATTATTATGTCTAATTCCGAGCCAATATTATAAATAAAACGATTAGCACTACAAAATGTCGCTGCTTGGTACCTACTTTTATATGTAAACATCCTGTTTCACGATCAATTGCCTACGGGCTTACATTATTTAAATGACATGTTTTAGCAAGATTTAGGTAATGATCTTAACAAATAAATTGTTTACTTTAAAATTGTTTAGCTTTTCAGGGAATTTTTTATTGTAACTGCGTTCATACAGCCTACTTCCTAAAATTTCCTTTTTTTTTTAATATAAACTTATTTAGTACGAGCGAAATAGTACAACGTAACCAATATATATTAAATAATAGATTTGAGATGCAAAAATATTGTATTATAATAATATACAACAAAATAGACTTATTATTATTACCCCTTTCATACTCGTTGATTTAAATCGTTCTTAACAATTAAACTTTATTTACTCTTATCAACGATAATGCTAAAAAGTTGTTTTTTTTGTGCGGTTTTAAATTGGTAAGTTACTTTGTTTACTTAAAATAGAGACATCTTGATACGTTTACGTTCGGCAGTAATGTGAAACACTAACATACTATTTTTTTACCAAAAAAGGATAATCAAACGATAGTCTTTGCGTATTATGAACCAATTTAAGAGATCATTTTTTAACTAATATGTCTGCTTATACCTCAATAACGATCCCATGTAAATTTTAATAAAAATCTAAAATATAACAAACGACCTATGGAGTGAAGTATTCTATTCCGAAGTATTATACATTTAATTATCTTCTAATTCGATTTATTTGCATATTTACGACATCTTACAACAAGAAGTTCTCAGTTTGTGATAACTTTGAAGGTTCACCAACATGAGATCAAATTCACCTACGCATTCGTGGGGATGTGGGATGTTAGCTTTATCTTTTTGCTGGTCTAACTTTATACATCTAAAACAGAAACACATGTTGAGTTGTTTCCATCTCCGGTACGATCGAGTATAACATTTTCATATCTCTTGGGGAGATTGCGCCAATTTTAGCTTATTCACTGCAGAAAGGACCTCGTCCAGGCTACGACAACAGACTCGTAAATGATAAAAACACACTGTTATCTAAATGTTATCTAAAAAATTAAATGCTTTTACTGTGATCTCGTTGAAGATATGAGAGGAAGATAGAATTGTCCAATATGTCCCGTAATTTGATATTTATTTACATGCCGACAAAATAGGAAGCACGCAAGCAAGTAAATTTACAAAAAGTAATATTTACCAATTAAATAAAAGTCACAGCTATGTGGTATGGTTACGTTTACAGAAGGTCCGAAACCCGCTTAGTGCTTAAAAAATACTAGTTTCTAAAAGTGGCCGGGTATAATTCTCGCCGATTAAGAAACAACAAAAATAATCATAATATATTATTATTCATGAGAACATATATTAAAAATGTCTGGAATAGTTTAGCATTTTTAAAATAATTATAAAACTGAATTGTTGTGAACTGAAAAAAATTAATAAAACTGGTAACGATATAAAACACGACTAGTTTATGCCACTCTTTTTCCAAATCCGCAATACACGGTGCACATAATAACACCCAGTAAAGATGTATTAAAATCCGAAAACTTTTAAATGTTTTATTTTATAAATATGTAAAGTCTAAAATATGTTAAATATTAACTTATCCTGCATTTATTTGAAGAAATTTCAGTGTTTTTTATCGTGATGAATCTGTATTATATACTATAATGTATACTAATATTATAAAGAGGTAAAGCTTGTGAGTCTGTGAGTTGTAGGGGGTAATCTCTGGATCTACTAAACTGATTTAGATGAAATTTGGTAAGAAGATAGTTTGAGACCTTGGGAATGACATAGAATGCTTATTATCCCGGAAATTATCCCTTAAAGGATGAAAACGGGAATGAAAGTTTGTATGGGAAAGCAAGCTAGTAAATCATAATCTGTAAATTTGCACTAAAACCGATTATCCGATTGCTGATTTTTCAATAATCAGTAAAACGATGAAAATTTGATTTACGAGTAGGGCTGCCAGTAGAGCCAACTTATTTTATACCGCTGGGTCACTCAAATTATACAAAATCAAATTTTATTGTACAAATTAGCAAAACTGTGGAGAAATAGACTGTGACGAATAAAAAAATTCAATAAAAATATGTAATAACTTAAAAATATACATAAAATAACCATATTTTACAATTTTCGTATCCAATAATACGATCTGGCAACCCTGTTTACGAGCGTTTAATTTCGTTTTCGTTCACTTAGGAAAAAAATATTAAAACCAAAATATTATATCATTTGAAGTCTATTTTTATCTTTTGCTTATTTTATACAAACTTCAATAACAAATCAATACATACATATAATTATGATCTATTGACATTTAAATGTGTGGATTAATGCTTAAAATTGAGCACCATTGATAAGGAATGAAATTATTACGTATATATGAATCATTTAAAAAAAATACCAGTTTCCGTTTGGGTCGTGTTTCCAAGATTTTACCCTACGCGGCACAGTATGCTGTTGTAATAATACAGAATCTGGTTTTTTTCTTACCTCAAAAACCACGGATTCGAAGATCGTTTGGCACATAAACGTCCCATTGACTTTGGCCGAACCTAGACATCGGCTAACCGCCAAGAACTGTCACTGACCAGAGAAGGACTACTTAATTTATATTCTACGCGACATTGGCGAAGTAAATTTTGCCCAAATGGCACTCCTAGAAAGAAGCCATTGAACATAAGAATTGAATTATTTACTTTATTAAAACGTAAAATACACATATTTTTATCTAGTAAGCTTTGTGGCAGCGAGAACCTATCTGTAATTTTTGATTCCAAGAAAATGGATCTAAGAACAACAATATAAAGTTACTGTAACATCTTTGGTGTCAAATTATTTAAATATATTATAGTTTATTGACTCTTAAGAATGTTTTTTTGATATGGCTAGACCAATCGAAATTCGTTTATTTTTAAGAGAAAAAATATATTGAAAACCTGAAGGTATATAAGGAATAAAAATTCGTAAAATGCCTCCACATGCCCAGCTACGCCCGAGAAATGGGGGGACGCAAAGCGTTGAAAAATAGTTTTTTTCAATTTCCGGCTTACTGTGATGTTCTATCGAAAAATGTTTTCTACAAAAGGTTTTGGTCTAGTAAAAATCTACAACTTTTATAAATAATAACACTCGTTATCTTGGTTTTTTATTATTTATTTCTAGAATAATCTTTTGATTTCCATGAAAATAAGGGAATGTAATCTTCGAAACACATATAATAAATAACAAAAAAATGAAATTGAAATGTTTAGCCATTTACGAGAAAAGTATGTTTTATGGACTCGAGAGGCTGAAAATAACCCCCAACAAGTTCCAAGTGGGCGTTTATATTTAAAAAAAAATCGTTCAATTTTCAGATAGGGCTCATTCTTTTTGTCTTGAACTTTACTTTTTGAAAATATAAAATCATTGTAGGGTCGTCTTGTAAAAACACCCTTAAAAATTTAAAAATTTGGAAATATCGATGATTTTTACTTGGTAAACTACATTTTTTTCAATTATCATTCTAATATCATTGAAGAAGTGTACTTTATTGACCAAATTTTTATAAACTGATTACACCAATGTATTTATCAAAAAAAAAAACGAAAAAATCGTATGCTTAATTGCGTTTTTAATTTGACGCTTATTATTTATACAATGTCGCCGAAAACATTCCAACTTTGCAATTTAACGAGTCGTGAAAAAATAATAAAAGTTGGAATTCACCTAAAGTATACCACTGCTTTTGTATTTTTTTTTTGCCGTAGAATCTATTTATGTCATATTTTTTTCGAATTTATCGATATTTTATTAGTTTTTGATCGATTTTGGAGGTAATTTTATTGAATTATAGAAATAAAGAAAATTCATTCAGAGTAATCTTGTTTATTCATTAGTTAAAAACATATTTAAAAAAATCAAGTTGATATAAATATCAACTTGAATTTTATGTCTATTTTGTAAACAAAATTTAGTTATAGTTTTGTTAAAAAAATCATAAAAATGTTTTTTTTTTTTAAATATGATAGATAGGTCCTACCTTTTACAAATATGATTTAAATTTATAAAATAATCTTTTAATCTACTTTGCATCCATTAAATGCTAAGATCATGAACGAATTAACCACTGGACCAGACATATAAGCGGACGTACCTTTAACGGTCATGTCAGTAACCAGGGAATTTTAGCCTAGGTCGTTTGTTTTTTGTGTCAGTCTGAAGCACTTACTTGTCAACAAAACATCTCCCAAAAATGACTAAATGTTCTGTTAATTGGTGTAAAAACTATAACGGCGGAAGCAGCACTATTTCTTTTCACTTGTAAATACATTATTTTATTATATTTATTGTTATTTATCACAAAATTTAATTAAATGTAAAATAAAATGTCATATTATCCAACTATGTTAAATATAGTCGATATTTCTATGTATTGTTGACATCTGACAACCATCATAAAATCCCTGGAATATACCATTCAGAACAAATGACAAAACTGTCGAGTGAGTCCATTTGACATCGACTAGTGCTTGACAATGTCGAAAAATATATCGATATTTGACGAAATAACTGAACGAATTGTGTTATTTGTACAGTACAATAACATAAAATACTTTTATCACAGTATCCTACAATCTGATGACAATAAATTTATAAAAATATTTTCTAAATCAAATAAAAATATAAATGCAAAAATTATAATTAGTATGTGTACTTAATTTTTTATTTTATTTTATACCACATTTATATACTTTGGAATATAATTCCATTGTAATAATAATAAAGATCATTTTATTTCAACACATAAATTACACAAAATCAAACAGTAATGTTTTAGCACTAAACTTCTGGGTTGGCGATTTGTAATAAAACACTTTACTTTCACGATCCAACACTCACTTTTTCACAATTT